TCAGCGAGCCTGACCACCCGATCCCGTTGTGATTTCTTACACTGTTAGTGGTCATAATTTTCTTAAATGTTTGGAAACTTAAGATATTGCTTATTTAAGAGTTCATATCGCCGTTGGTGAAAAGCTTCACATTGGAATAAATAATGCAATTCATCTCCCATAGCGATAGATTCACAGAGTGGACACTGGCTGTCTTCCCTGGGAATGTTCAGCCATCGACCTGTTTCAACTGGTAATCCTTGGTTAGAAAGTTCTGACTTTAATTTTGAGAGCAGTAGATATTTCGCAAATGAAGGTTGATTCTTCAGGTAATACGACCTTTGGATTTCCGCTTGGGCTTTCTAGCTGCCGTGAGTCAATTTGCTCGTTAACGCAACCGAGCGTGACAAGAGACTGGGCTACCAGTCTGCAAGGACAGCTAGATAAGCTTACGCATTTTTGAAAACTGATTGGTTACCCGTGATCTATGAAGATTTCAACAAAGGGCGCATGGTAATTAATTTCTTCAGCCTAAACAAACAGACAAATAACGGCGAAAGCTCATCGGATGTCGTTATTTGGAAATACCCCTGATGGTTACAGTTTCATAATAAAAAAAGTATCCCTGAGTGAAAGCATTTGCGGATTTCGGATTGTGTGGATGATACAATTACTACACCCTTGTTGTCATCCACATTTTCTGGTATAACCCTACACTTGTGTATTTGTCGTAATTCACTTGCTGCTCAGTTAATGAATTTATAACATGTATACTTAGTTGTAGCACCACTCAGATTATAAAGGTTCAAATTTGGTCTTTCTTGTACCTGGGGTAATTATTCAATCTAAATCCAGGTTTGAAGTGAGGTGGAATGTGAGTTATGTGATACGCACGTGGCAGCCCAGCAAGAGATGTATGGTCAGTTGCTTTAGTTTTTTTGTAAATCAACTGATCATTCCCAGACATCAAAGGATCAACAGGAAATACGTTGATTGATTAATTACTGTTATCTTGCACAGTGGATATGTCAAAAGTAAGTGTTTACATGTGAAGGTAGGTTTACTAAACCTAGGCAATACACTCATATCATGGCGTGAAGTACAGATGTAAAAACAACATACTTTGTTCAAAGGGTAACCGATAATACACTGACTGGTTGTTCATTGTTATCTGACTCAATGTATGTTTTTAAGAACCGAGGACATTATAAAAATAGTTGTCACGTGGGCTTTCTCAGCTAACTTGGCAGCTATGTGAAACAATTGAAACAAACTAAGTGATCAGTTAAGAAACAAACACGGGTTATAATATTCGATACATTTAAATAACGTTTAAAACGATATTTTTAAATATTTTAATATATTTCATATATATTCCAAATATTGTTTCCAAATAATTATTATTAAAGTATTTGATTCTCACATAGACATTTGACATCGAATTAGTATTTTTGTACAGCTGCAGACGCAATGGATATTGTTCCTTTATGTTGATATTCCCGGATACATTATAACTTTGGTAGGTTGTAATAATTATATTTGCATTTTGTTGTCATTCATTCGCTGCAGCTTTGAACAGAATCATTCTTGTTCCTTTCCGTTTGGTTGGGAAGTTTTTCGATGCGCGATAGCCGTTGTTTTCACAAGTATTTTCTTTTGTAAGCGTGTATATGTTACAGTCAATGTGTAAAATATGATTCACTCAGGCAATTTATTAAATATCTAAATGTTTCAGTCATTTTACAAATTGACTGAATAATCCATCCATTTATTTAACCGACAGACTAAAAATGATAAAGACGATCAAAAGAGCTTAAACACATCACAATATATTAATTATGCTAAGAAATGAAGCCCAACAATACAGAACTGTACTTGGTGATGATATTAAACATAAACAAATATTTGGAATTCGTTATCATATTAATAAAGATGGACATATTTTTCAGTTAATTTGTAAAATAAACTGAATATTTAGGCGTTTAATAAATTTCCTTAGTGAAATATGTTTACATTTTGAATGTAAACATATACACACTGTAAAATAAGCAATGTTCAGATGAAATATTTACTTTGTGTTGCAAGTCAAAATAGTGTACACAAAGATCGCACAATTACCAAGCAAGTGACTTACCAAAACTGCATCACCATTACCGATGCTCCCCACAAATACACCTACATTTCCAAAACTGTATTTCATTTTTGTTGATCAATGTGACAATACGTCCTTCTACTTTCAATAAAAATGCGCTTACGAATGGCGAGCACAGGTCGCGAACAAGTCTAGATTTCTGCTATATAAACCGGGTACCCACTGGGAAAATACAGTAATGCACAGGTAACAACTACTCCCGCGGAATTGCTTTAGATCAGTGCTCCTTTGTACGTTGAAGTACTATATATTGTGAATGCCAAAATGATGTATCAAGGATCAAGTAGAAGATACATTGACCGTAGCGCTGGGAGTTTATTCAACAGACCCGTGAAAATAACACTGCTGTTTCTTACTATTTATTTTAGATGACGCAGTCAAAGCTCACTTCTCCTGGCGGCCATTATCGAACGGCCAGCTAAAACACAACCCCGCGCTTACGTCTACAGGTCTCTTCCTGTAGTACGGTAATCAGTATTCTCTCCCTCAAGTGTATCCTCAATGATATAACCCACCCTCATTAATTACATGCTGGTATTTCCCAGCCTCACGGCTATGGAGCTGAGATAAAGAGTCCAAGTCATCATAAAGTAATTAGGGTCCAATAAAAACAAGGCGCCGCCAAACCTCATACATATTATCACTGAAAGTCGTACTACAGACGGTTAATGTCAAATCACAATAAAAGCATTTCAATTGCAATAACATGTTCCAGGACCATGTATTCTCTTAACACCATCGGATTTAGAAGCAATGGTCGTATAAAACAAGACAGATCTATTTAAACACAACAGTATTCATGTTATTCCCACAAAATCACATAAAGAAAGGAGACATTAGCAAATACATGTGTATTATCATTTTTCGTCAGGATAACAAAATTTTCTCTCCTTGTTACCACCTCCAGGTTCAGCTTAAGACGGGTCCTCCTTTGGTCAAAAGTTTGTTCCCCCTCTAATGAGTGTGTCACGCGTTGCACACGAGTGGCGGACGGGGTGCACACCCGTGTGCAACGCGTTGCACACGGGTATCACACGCGTGACCAACCCGATGCACACTGGTTGCGTAACGCGTTGCCCATGCGTGTAAGGGGAATGAACTTCTAGGCAGTGTATACGTGACCCGTTGACATGTTGCTGGTTTGGTTGGTTTGTTGTTTAACGCCGCGTTCAGAAATATTACAGCTAACTAACGGGTCTGTAAATACTCGAGTCTGGACCAGACAATCCAGTGATTAATATCATGCGCATCGATCCACCCAATTGGGATCGATGACATGCATCAACCAAGTCAGCGAGCCTGACCACCCGATCCCGTTAGTCGCCTCTTACGAAAGCATAGTCGCCTTTTACTTCAAGCATGGGTTGCTGAAGACCTATTCTACCCCGGATCTTCACGGGTTGCCATACTGCTGGAATACCTCCTGGTACTCATGTATATCCATATCTACTAACTGAAACCAAACGCAGCATGACAAACAGTTTTAACAAAGGAGTATGATGTCTGAAATGTTTAGTTCCGTGCGCAACAACAACAACACAGTGTACAACATGTACAACACTCAAGCGAAAATAACTGTAAAATGGTTAACGATAAACGTGTGTGTAAACATTGAGCGTTAACTTATGATAATTGTTATATGGCAACTGTAGTACATGTATTGTTTCTATTGAGATTCAGTAGAAGTTCATTGCATTGTATTTGGACAATGATTAGTTGTCAGGAATGTTGTACTTTTTAATGTAAGCAGTGGTGAAGAAGATATTATATGTAGATGCTCGAATCGTCTGTTAACTCGATTGTATAATATCTGTTGTAGCTCTATGCATAACTATACATTATGGAATGCAAAGATAATTTAACCATCTGATTTGGTTTAATAAAATGTTTGTAAATGTCTCTCGTTTTCATGAAATTCAATCAGTTCTGTCTCATAATGGTAAAAGCTGTAAAAGTGAATGTGGTTGGTTTTTTTAAGAAAAAAGTAGTTCCGGTGTGACCGAGGTCACGGTTATCAAATTAGTTCGAGTACCTCACCATCTGTATGTTCACAACGCGGGAAATAATTACAGGTTATTATATGGCAGTTTTCATACCCCATACCCCATATCAACCCGAGACTCCAATATCAGTCCGAGGACCGAAGACCAGATCGGGTCGAGGGTTGATATGGAGTACGATATGAAAACTGCCATATATAGCCTTTTTATCATGTACCATGACATCAAATTGTAAAATGTAATCATTCATCAAACATCGCTAACTTCCGTGCATGTCCGTATAAACAGCCGAAGACCTGGGTTCGATTCCCGACATGGGTACAATGTGTGAAACCCATTTCTGGTGTCCCCCGCCGTGATATTGCTGGAATATTGCTAAAAGCGACGTAAAACCCTACTCACTCACTCACTCCGTATAAACATGTTCACCTTGTTTGGAAGACACGGGAAAGCTAGCCGAGCAGACGACGCACCAAGGGACGTAACTCTAATTTCTTTCCGATCAGACTGACATCAATCGCCCATTCGAAATGCTTTGACAAGCCATATCAGCCCGGGAGTGGGTATAATACGGGTCTGGTCATTTCCGCCACCCACCCGCTACGCCCACCCCTGTGATATGACCGTCTCCATGTTGGCTCTATCAAACGTGTAAAATACCTCATGTCATTGATGGGTATACGATAAATGCATTTATAGCACCCGAGTCAGGAAATTGGCTTAAAGATAAACCTCTACACCATATTTTCTTTTTGTCTACAATTCTGAGTTGTAGACTTTGGATTGTATATTTGATAACGTTGTGTGAGTGCGTATGTTATCGTGTGTCTCATCGCCCACAGTCGCCATGGCGCAGTGATATGTTATCGTACTTATGTGGCAACAAGATAAATATAACCCAGTGAAGGGAATAATACAAGGTATCTACATGTACATCAGGACCACTGCATAATGACTCCGCTGTATCTATGTTTGGCTGTTGCAACGCTCTTTTTGGCGAGTTCTGATGCCTATTCTCCTCATATTTGTGAGTATCTTAGAGTTTAAATATGTTTAGGTGCACGATATAAACATACCTTGTCCATCACGTGATTGTCTGGTTAGTTTACATGCCGCCATGATTTCTCGAACTGTACAAAACATGGATATCAAAGGTCACAGTGCCGAACAAGTCACCGAAATCGATCTCCATCCTCTATATATTCAAACATCTTTCGGTGTACTTGCTGTAACCCTGCCTAGCCTGGTGTCTCAGTGGGTTCGCTCTATAAAATGGCATTAGTCTGGACACAGTAAACTACGGTTATAACGAACTAACGGATATAACGAACTAACTTTTTAGTCCCGACTAATTGCTGTAGTTATACTGTATATACGCTTATAACGAATTACGGTTATAACGAACTAAAATTAGTAGTCCCTTTGAGTTCGTTATAACCGTAGTATACTGTAGTACAAACAGGCACACACACACACACACACACACTTGAGACGTTAGGACCCATTTCACCTCACCCCGTAGGGCAGGACTTGCCTACCCTTTTCACGAACACCTGGTGTCATCACTGATTTTCAGTGATCCATTCATATAATATTCACAACGTTTTTGCCGGTCACCCTCAGTAGTATATGTTTAATCGGATAATCAAGACAGGTTGTTCTCTGGCATTTTTTTTTTTTTTTTAAATAATTGCTCGGAATTGCTATCTTGAATGTTAAACATTCATTTATGAAGTTGATGTTTCAATTACCAAATCAATAAAATTTTACTGTATAAGGAGGCACTTAACTTTAGACACAGTAAACTGATATGCTATCATGTGTTCCCAAGCTTGTCTACCAAATAGGGGCGGTCGGGTAGCCTAGTGGTTAAAGCGTTCGCTCGTCACGCTGAAGACCCGGGTTCGAATCCCGACATGGGTACAATGTGTGAAGCCCATATGTGGTGTCCCCCGCCGTGATATTGCTGGAATATTGCTAAAAGCGGCGTAAAACCAAACTCACTCACTCACTACCAAATAGGCGTTGGAAACACTGCACGCAAACACTTCACAACATTTGATTCTGATGTGTTGAATTTGTATACATGCTATTTCAAATGTACTGACAGTAAAGCTTATTTCTCTATATTTTTCTTTGTTCCCTTATTAGTGTCCATCAATATGTGTACACCATATACATGACGGGTTATAAAATAAGACGCCACCCTTATATGAATAGACCCGTGACGATCCGGGGTAGAATAGGTCTTCAGCAACCCATGCTTGCCGTAAAAGGTGACTATGCTTGTCGTAAGAGGCGACTAACGGGATCGGGTGGTCAGGCTCACTAACTTGGTTGATGCATGTCATTGTATCCCAATTGCTTTTATGGCAAGCATGCAGGAGTTGCTGAAGACCTATTTTACCCCAAATCTTCGAGGGTGTACACTGGTTGTAAGCGTGGACTTCATGGATAAGGTGGTCTGGGTCGGTGACTTGGTTAATGGTACGTCAACGTACTCCGACGGCGTGGATCGTTGTTCATAATATCAATCACTGGATTATCTGGCCCAGACTCGATTATTTGCAGGCCGCTGGAATTTTGCTGAACGCGGCGAACAAGGTCAGTAATTGGTGAACAAAGTATCTGAGAATGGCGTATTATTGATAAAGCGTCCGATCCAATATCCTATGACAGTACGATAGGTTCACGTGTTTTTCCAAGTGAGCAATTACCTTGCCTTTGCATGTGTCTGTGACGGGTGTCACCGGTGGGGCAAGATACGCTAAGCTTATGCGAACACCTGGAATCATCACTGGAATCAATTTGATACTTATTCATAAACACATAATTTTGATACAGTCAGAATCGTACAACGGACTCTGCTTGTTCGAGAGATTCTTATGATAATAGAAAGGGCTTTGTCGTTCTTACTCACATAATATCGACGTTGAGAGTAAAGTCAGCTCCGTGTAACAAAGGAAATATAAAGTAAATGAAGGATTATAGATGAAGTATCATCTTATATGTTTGTACAGTAAACTACGTCTATAACAAACACGCTTATAACGAAGTGACGGATATAACGAACTTAGTTTTTAGTCCCGACCATTTGTTGTAGATATGCTGTATGTATGCTTATAACGAACTACGGTTATAACGAACTAAAATTAGTGGTTCCCTTGAGTTCGTTATAACCGTAGTTTACTGTATATATTACCAGATTATATGGACGTGCAGTGCGGGTCGAGAAAAGGTTTCACTAAGGATGTGAGACTGCAGTTGACGTACTCTCCCAACACCCCCCTTATCCACAAGTCGCCATGCTACATGATGATGGAGACGGATACAGAAGGCGACCAGCTGCTTGTCCGGATCAGAAATCTACACACATCACCGTCTATCAACTGCAGTAAAAACAGTTTGAAAATAATAGCTCCTGATGAACACACAGTGTTAAACGGTTAGTGCTGATTCTATACAAATCAACGTTTGCAAAAGCGACATTGATGTAGTTGTGCTTCATACGATCATATTGGCTGTAATCACATCATATTCGTATGATGATTGTTTGTTGTTTAACGCCGCACTCAGCAGTATTGCAGCTGTATGACGGCGGTCCGTAAATAATCAAATCAGGACCAGACAATCCAGTGATTGACATCATGATCATCGATCCACGCAATTGGGATACGAAGCATCAATCAAGACAGCGAAGCTGACCACCCGATCCTGTGTTGCCTCTGACGACAATTATGGGTTGCTGAAGACCCGATTCTAACCCGAATCTTCACGGGTCAATAATCGCGATGAAATTCAGCGATGTCGTATTAAGACCGGATCTGGGGGGGACCAAGAGTGCTGTTAGTTGCCGGTATGCTGCAGTCAATCTGGTTATTGTCATGAGGTCACAGCTGACAATCGCTGTATCCTGGATGTGAAAACACGCGAGAGCGCGCGTCGATTAGGAAGATTTTATGCGTGCATTAATCATGATTTGCATGGACTGCAAAATGCACGGATATCAAAGGTCACACTGCCAGAAAGCTATGCAAAACAGGTGGCCACAATCCATTGCCACCCTCTGTACATTGAAACAGCTTTCAGCTTGGACAAATACTACACATGGTGGCCATCTTGTCGTCCATGGCGGGAGTATTGCTGTGCGACGTCATGAGACACCAAACAATTATTTTTATGCAGATTGAGTGGGTGCCGGGTGCTACCGGTGAGGCAGGACATGCGTACTCTTTTGGCGAACACCTGGTGTCACCACTGATTTTCAGTGATCCATTTTTTAAGTTTCACTGCTATTTAGACCTTTACGCCCAGTGGAATTTGTTGTTCCCCGGCGTTACAGCAGAAAGCAATTGGCTCACATTAACATTACAATAGGAGAGCATCACCACTATGAGTTCCAAGTTAAAACATGTCATTTTACAACAACAAACAAAATACGACCCGTGAAGACCCGGGCAGAGAATAGGTCTTCAGCAACCCATGTTTGCCGTAAAAGGCGACTATGCTTGTAAGAGGCGACTAACGGAATCGGGTGGTCAGACTCGCTGACTTGGTTGATGCATGTCATTGTATCCCAATCGCGTGGATCGATGCTCATGATGTCAATCAGATCTAGACTCGATTATTTTCAGACCGCCGCCATATAGGTGGAATATTGCTGAGTGCAGCCTTAAACAAGAAACAAACTAAAAGAATTACATCTCCACTTTCTACGATCTTTCAGTAATTATCGTAGCAAAATGGTAACAAGATTCAGAATTGGATAAGAACATGTCATCTATGTATTAATGTGTGATTGATGACAACCATTATAATTTACTGAATAGAAAATGCTATCAAATATGTATCACTATTATTTCCTGACAAATGCATGCTTTCAAGCATTGTATTGTCCTTTGACTGAAATTTACTCACAACTCTTCGTGAATTTCATATACCGATTGATGCAACAAGAGATCTGCAGTAAACAAGCACTTCCTGTTGACTCGTGAAAGGATGGTAACCAAGGCTACGCGAACATGCCAAAGTTGTGGCCACGTTTACTAGGGGTGTTGAGGATTTGTGGTGAGATCCTAGACCCGATTGTGTGTCAGGAGGGGGCACGGTAGGCCCAGTCGTCTAAGCATCCATTAGGCGTGTCAGAATCCTACGATCGTGGTTTAGGAATCCTGATTCGCCCTGATTATGTTTCTAGGCTAGTCAGCACCAAACCCGTGTTCGCAGGTTCCACAGAAATGGTAATAGTCTGAGACATGCATCACTTCGGTCTTTCATGCAACACCATGCAACACCTAAACACATTTTATAGTGCATCCTCTTTATACCAGGAGAGTACGGGGACTGCGGATCAACACCACCGACAAGGAGTTATCTGACCAATGGAAGTTCAGTCAGTTTCGTCTTCAGTACAGATGACACCACCCAGAATGGCCAGTTCGACATCCTCATTACGTCTTTTAATATATCTGATAATGGTACGTACATGTTTGAATTTCCATATAATTTCAACAAGATGAAATGATATTTAAGGAGGAGTTGGGTGCTTTTCTGTTAATCCGCACCAATCTGATTCAACAAACAAACGTATAGTCATCTGCGAAATAGGAAGTGTCATCGCTTTTCTTGCCAGTGATCCATTCATATACTTTGCGAGGCTATTTTGCTGTGTACGCCCAATGGATTACTAAGCGATTATTTCCAAATATTTTTAAATTTTACTTCTATTTCACATAGTTGACTTGATAACAATATTATAGGTCATGTTATTCAAACATATCGTATGGTTTTACTAAGTACAGGTCAACCAGGTGTGCATGTTATATATGACACAGAAAGACGCCTGATTTGAAGACCTCTCCGTGGTCTAGTGGTACAGCGTCCGCCCGGAGAGCGAAAGGTCCGGGGTTCGATCCCCGGCCGCGTCATACCAAAAGACGTTGAAAGATCGTACTTGTTGTTACCCTGTATGTCGCACGGCGTTAAGGGGCTCAAACAAGTTCTGGTCGGCTAAGAGTCAGTATACTGTGTCTGAGTGGGGTATTCATGTTAAACTGCGGCATGGTATCTCAGTGTGCTGGCACTATAAATCGACATCAGTTTGGAAAAGTACAAGCTGACACACACACACACACACACACACACACACACACACACAAAATAATAATGAGATCGAGCGAATCTTCTATTTGGATATATTATGTTCTGTACTTCGCATCTACGTTAATGCATTAAACCTCGACTCACGATGTTGAATCGCCCTGTAATGTATATCCAGGTGTGTGTTCAAGTGATCGCTTCCTTTGCGACAACAGCCGATGTGTGAGCAGCGACGTCACGTGCAACGGCTTCAACGACTGTGGCGACAACAGCGATGAACTCGACGGTTGTGGTTTAAGTGCTGCTGCCATTGCAGGCCTCGCCGTTGGGTCGTTTATTGGCTTCGTCATATGCTTTCTCGTAATCACCAGCAGAGTAAGAAGGAAGGGATTCAATAGAGGCCGTAAGGTAAACCTCTTCAGAGTGAGTGAGTTAGTGAGTTTGGTTTAACGCCGCTTCTAACACTATTACAGTTATATCACGGCGTGTCAGCTTAATTTGGGAGGAAAGCCCGAAGTGATGCAGGTCTCAGACGTTTACCACTTCGGTGAAACCCACGAGCACGGGTATGGTGCTGACAAACCTAGAAACATAATCGGGGCGAACCGGGATTCGAACCCACAATCATAGGTTTCTGGCGTGCCCAAGGGACGCAACTCTGCACAGCGAATCGCGGGGCCTTAGAGATCTGGGCCACCCGTGCCTCCTCAGAGTGAGATAGTGAGGGTACGTTTGTGAGTGAGTGACCGAGTGAGGGTGGGTGGGTTTGTGAGTGAGTGAGTGAATGAGTGGGAGATCGAGTGGATTGATGGGTGGAATGGTGCTCGAGTGAAGGGTGGGATTTGAGTCAGTGGGAGAGGGTGTTTGGGTGCGTGGGCGTGAGTAAGTCAGGGAGTGGGTTGGAGGGTAATTTTAGTTTGGTTGTTTTTTTGTTGTTTAACGCCGCACTCAGCAATATTCCAGCTATATGACGGCGGTGTGTAAATAATCGAGTCTGGACCTGACAATCCAGTGATTGACATCATGAACATCGATCCACGCTATTGGGATCGATGACCTGCATCAACCAAGTCAGCGAGCCTGACCACCCGATCCCGTTAGTCGGGTAATTTAGTAGGTTGGTGATTTAGTTTGGATGGGTGAGCGAGTGAGGATGTTTGGGTGGGTGGATGGGTGAGTGAGTGAATGAGTTGGAGATCGAGTGGATGGATGGGTGTGAGGGTGAGTGGCTGGGTGAGTGAGTGAGGGGTGTCTTCAGCTATATCATCTAGTCTTAGCCAGGAAAACCAGTTATCGATATTATGGCAAAAGAACCCTACTGTCAGAGTTCGTACAGATACCTTCAACTACGTGTCACATTGTCTACAGGATACCCATTTTAGTTGCCTCTTACGATCATAACATTGAGGGGTTTTGGAGGGAGGGGGTCGTTGTGCAGGAAAGTGTTCATGGTGGAGAGGGGGTCGCTGTGCAGGGAAATGTCCATGGTGGTGGGGGAGGGGGGTCGCTGTGCAGGGAAGTGTTCATGGTGGGGGTGGGGGTCGCTGTACAGGGAAGTGTTCATGGCGGGTGGGGGAGGGGGGTCACTGTGCCAGAAAGTGTTCACGGTGGGTGGGGTGGGGGTCGCTGTGCAGGATAGTGTTCATGGTGGGTGGGGGAGGGGTTCGCTGTGCAGGGAAGTGTCCATGGTGGTGGGGGAGCGGGGTCGCTGTGCAGGAAAGTGCCCATGGTGGGTGGGGTGGGGGTCTCCGTGCAGGATAGTGTTCATGGCGGATGAGGGAGGGGGGTCGTTGTGCAGGAAAGTGCCCATGGTGGGTGGGTTGGGGAAGGGGGTTGTTGTGCAGGAAAGTGTCCATGGTGGGTGGGGGTAGGGGGTCGTTGTGCAGGAAAGTGTCCATGGTGGGTGGGGGTAGGGGGTCGTTGTGCAGGAAAGTGTCCATGGTGGGTGGGGGGAGGGGGGTCGTTGTGCAGGAAAGTGTCCATAGTTGGTAGGGAAGGGGGTCGTTGTGCAGGAAAGTGTCCATGGTGGGTGGGGGGAGGGTGGTCGCTGTGCAGGGAAGTGTTCATGGTGGGAGGGGGAGGGTGATCGCTGTGCAGGGAAGTGTTCATGGTGGTTGGGGTAGGGGGTCGCTGTGCAGAAAAGTGTTCATGGTGGTTGGGGTAGGGGGTCGCTGTGCAGAAAAGTGTTCATGGTGGTTGGGGTAGGGGGTCGCTGTGCAGAAAAGTGTTCATGGTGGTTGGGGTAGGGGGTCGCTGTGCAGGGAAGTGTTCATGGTGGTTGGGGTAGGGGGTCGCTGTGCAGAAAAGTGTTCATGGTGGGAGGGGGAGGGTGATCGCTGTGCAGGGAAGTGTTCATGGTGGTTGGGGTAGGGGGTCGCTGTGCAGAAAAGTGTTCATGCTGGTTGGGGTAGGGGGTCGCTGTGCAGAAAAGTGTTCATGGTGGTTGGGGTAGGGGGTCGCTGTGCAGAAAAGTGTTCATGGTGGTTGGGGTAGGGGGTCGCTGTGCAGAAAAGTGTTCATGGTGGTTGGGGTAGGGGGTCGCTGTGCAGAAAAGTGTTCATGGTGGTTGGGGTAGGGGGTCGCTGTGCAGGGAAGTGTTCATGGTGGTTGGGGAGGGGGTCGTTGTGCAGGGAAGTATCCATGGTGGTGGGGGGGGGGGGGGGGGATCGCTGTGCAGGGAAGTGTTCATGGTGGGTGGGGGGAGGGTGATCGCTGTGCAGGGAAGTGTTCATGGTGGTTGGGGTAGGGGGTCGCTGTGCAGAAAAGTGTTCATGGTGGTTGGGGTAGGGGGTCGCTGTGCAGAAAAGTGTTCATGGTGGTTGGGGTAGGGGGTCGCTGTGCAGAAAAGTGTTCATGGTGGTTGGGGTAGGGGGTCGCTGTGCAGGGAAGTGTTCATGGTGGTTGGGGAGGGGGTCGTTGTGCAGGGAAGTATCCATGGTGGTGGGTAGAGGGGGTCGTTGTGCAGGAAAGTATTCATGGTGGTGGGGGGGGGGGGGGGATCGCTGTGCAGGGAAGTGTTCATGGTGGGTGGGGGGAGGGTGATCGCTGTGCAGGGAAGTGTTCATGGTGGGAGGGGGAGGGTGATCGCTGTGCAGGGAAGTGTTCATGGTGGTTGGGGTAGGGGGTCGCTGTGCAGAAAAGTGTTCATGGTGGTTGGGGTAGGGGGTCGCTGTGCAGAAAAGTGTTCATGGTGGTTGGGGTAGGGGGTCGCTGTGCAGAAAAGTGTTCATGGTGGTTGGGGTAGGGGGTCGCTGTGCAGGGAAGTGTTCATGGTGGTTGGGGTAGGGGGTCGTTGTGCAGGGAAGTATCCATGGTGGTGGGTAGAGGGGGTCGTTGTGCAGGAAAGTATTCATGGTGGGGGGGGGGGGGGGGGGGGTGATCGCTGTGCAGGGAAGTGTTCATGTTGGGAGGGGGAGGGTGATCGCTGTGCAGGGAAGTGTTCATGGTGGTTGGGGTAGGGTGATCGCTGTGCAGGGAAGTGTTCATGTTGGGAGGGGGAGGGTGATCGCTGTGCAGGGAAGCGTTCATGGTGGTTGGGGTAGGGGGTCGCTGTGCAGAAAAGTGTTCATGGTGGTTGGGGTAGGGGGTCGCTGTGCAGAAAAGTGTTCATGGTGGTTGGGGTAGGGGGTCGCTGTGCAGAAAAGTGTTCATGGTGGTTGGGGTAGGGGGTTGCTGTGCAGGGAAGTGTTCATGGTGGTTGGGGAGGGGGTCGTTGTGCAGGGAAGTATCCATGGTGGTGGGTAGAGGGGGTCGTTGTGCAGGAAAGTATTCATGGTGGGGGGGGGGGGGATCGCTGTGCAGGGAAGTGTTCATGGTGGGTGGGGGGAGGGTGATCGCTGTGCAGGGAAGTGTTCATGGTGGGAGGGGGAGGGTGATCGCTGTGCAGGGAAGTGTTCATGGTGGTTGGGGTAGGGGGTCGCTGTGCAGAAAAGTGTTCATGGTGGTTGGGGTAGGGGGTCGCTGTGCAGGGAAGTGTTCATGGTGGTTGGGGAGGGGGTCGTTGTGCAGGGAAGTATCCATGGTGGTGGGTAGAGGGGGTCGTTGTGCAGGAAAGTATTCATGGTGGGGGGGGGGGGGGATCGCTGTGCAGGGAAGTGTTCATGGTGGGTGGGGGGAGGGTGATCGCTGTGCAGGGAAGTGTTCATGGTGGGAGGGGGAGGGTGATCGCTGTGCAGGGAAGTGTTCATGGTGGTTGGGGTAGGGGGTCGCTGTGCAGAAAAGTGTTCATGGTGGTTGGGGTAGGGGGTCGCTGTGCAGAAAAGTGTTCATGGTGGTTGGGGTAGGGGGTCGCTGTGCAGAAAAGTGTTCATGGTGGTTGGGGTAGGGGGTCGCTGTGCAGGGAAGTGTTCATGGTGGTTGGGGAGGGGGTCGTTGTGCAGGGAAGTATCCATGGTGGTGGGTAGAGGGGGTCGTTGTGCAGGAAAGTATTCATGGTGGGGGGGGGTGATCGCTGTGCAGGGAAGTGTTCATGGTGGTTGGGGTAGGGTGATCGCTGTGCAGGGAAGTGTTCATGTTGGGAGGGGGAGGGTGATCGCTGTGCAGGGAAGTGTTCATGGTGGTTGGGGTAGGGGGTCGCTGTGCAGAAAAGTGTTCATGGTGGTTGGGGTAGGGGGTCGCTGTGCAGAAAAGTGTTCATGGTGGTTGGGGTAGGGGGTCGCTGTGCAGAAAAGTGTTCATGGTGGTTGGGGTAGGGGGTCGCTGTGCAGAAAAGTGTTCATGGTGGTTGGGGTAGGGGGTCGCTGTGCAGGGAAGTGTTCATGGTGGTTGGGGAGGGGGTCGTTGTGCAGGGAAGTATCCATGGTGGTGGGTAGAGGGGGTCGTTGTGCAGGAAAGTGTTCATGGTGGTGGTGGTGTGTGTGTGTGTGGGGGGGGGGGGGGGGGGGGATCGCTGTGCAGGGATATGTTCAGGATCGCAACCTGACCGGTTAATAATACTGATCAAACGTTCGTTCCACAAAGGGTGCAAAACTTAATTGAATTAGAATTAAGTTTCAAATAAAAATTAAAATAGGATTTTATTAGACATTTTAAAACACTGTGTCGTCCTTGACAACTCACGGCCGTTAGGGCAGGACATACGTACCCTTTTCGCGAACATCTAGTGTCATCACTGAATTTTCAGTGATCCACTCATATAATTGTCAAGCCTATTTTGCCTTTTACGTCCAATGGAATCTGTTATTATACTCGAGACTGATTATTCTCTGGCGTTGACGTATTGTATATATGTAACAATGTTCAAAGGCTCCCTACATATGTAAAGCCCGTGAAGATCCGGGTTGGGATAGGTCTTCGGCAACCAATTCCTGTCGTGCAAGGCGACTATGCTTGTCGGAAGAGGCGATTAACGGGATCGGTTGGTCAGGCTTGCTAACTTGGTTGATGGATGTCATCGTTTCTGAAATGCGAAGATCGATGCTCATGATGTCAATCACTGTATTGTCTGGTCCAGACTTGATTTTTACAGAACGCCGCCATAAAGCTGGAACAATGCTTTTACACACCAAATAATCAAGCAACTATATATGTAAGCTCATGTAGCTTCATACTTCAACTATTTCACACAATCACAATTGCAGATCAGAACACCAACAGATGTTCAGAGCAAGCCTCGATACGGGAGTATATTTGGTAGACGAAAACAGCACACCTATCGAGCCCCAATCGCTCGCAGTTTACCATGACCTGTTTGGTACCAGAACGAATGGCCAAATCTGGAAGCGGTCAACAGCCGACTGTGGACAGAAAGAACACCAAACAATGAGGACATTCAACATAGCCAGCTTCGTCATTACATTGCTATCTTTGTAATTACTCCTATCTCATTGGCTTCGTCATTACATTGCTAACTTTGTACGTTAATCCTATCTCATTGGCTTCGTCATTACATTGCTATCTTTGTACGTTAATCCTATCTCATTGGCTTCGTCATTACATTGTTGTCTTTGTACATTAATCCTATCTCATTGGCTCCGTCATTACATTGCTATCTTTGTAATTACTCCTATCTCATTGGCTTCATCATTACATTGCTATCTTTGTACAATAATCCTATCTCATTGGCTTCGTCATTACATTGTTGTCTTTGTACATTAATCCTATCTCATTGGCTCCGTCATTACATTGCTATCTTTGTAATTACTCCTATCTCATTGGCTTCGTCATTACATTGCTATCTTTGTAATTACTCCTATCTCATTGGCTCCGTCATTACATTGCTATCTTTATCCTACCTTGTATTGTGTAAACATATAGTAGGTGAATTCACCCGAGGAAGGAGAAAGAAGGAGCTCTGAAACGCCAGGACAAAGAATAAAAGAAGTTGTTATCCATAAAAAGTGTCATGTCACGTTCTGGCTTTAGTTGGTTGTGAGATGTGGACTCCGAAACCTGTGTGTTTTGAGATCGGATCTGATGATCCGTCTGTGTAAATGTGACACCAATTTGGCCAATTTTCGTGTATGTATGCTAGTGTGGTGGTTTTAGCTATGTTTAGGTCGGTTTGTTTATTTATTGTGCTAGCTAGTGTTATGTTTATATTATCTCTTAAAATCCCAGAAATAAGCTTAAACTTACCCATCTCAAAATCAGAAATTAAAAGTGTCAACAAGCAAAAAATCACCAAAAAATGGCATAACTTATATGTAAACTCAAATAGCCAAATCAAAAAAGTTCTCAAAAAAAAACCTAACCAAACGAAACAATTCTACATCCGTCCAAAAAAATCGACAGAATAGTCACTTAACTCCAAACTCCATTGTGGTTGATTTAGGGGCGTTGTTTTATGCTTAATAGCGTTTAATGGGAATGAGTGTGGGTTTTGTGGGTGGGGGTAGGGTGTGGGGGGCCTAAAAAAACGTTAAGAGTCTGTCGTGGTAATCATATATACTTTCATTGTCAGCTTCCTGTGTGAGAGAAATACTGTTTGTCATACAGCAACAATAAATTTATAAACACATAGATTTTAAACCTCGGCGGGATCATCTTCCCGAGGCAAGGGAGTTAACTTACAGTAAAGACCCAGTTTCCACCCTTGCTGAACTAGGCTGGAATTTCTGGGCTCGATCGTAGCGCTAGCAGTGGCTGTTACGAGTTATGTCCCTTCTATGTCCCTCCTATTGACCAATCAGATTGCACCTCTCACGTGCATTTGCTTCAAACAAAATGGCGGCGCCCAGTCAAGGCGATCGATAATCAAGATCTATTTATAATAAAACGGGTCTTATAATTACTCGCGAAGTTCATCACAACACGTCAGCTCCTTGATAAGAAACATGAAGGGATTTGGAAAATATATGTTGACGCCGAGTTGTCAGTTCACATAAAATATGCACGGCAGTTGATGAACCGGATGTCGAATTCGTTACGCGATTTTGATTGGACTATGCATATAACTCCTTATTTCCAGCCTATTTCGGCAAGGATGGAAACGGGGTTTTTTTGTCAGTTAACTCCCTTGCCTCGGGAAGATGGGATCCCCATATTACTGCAATATTACCTGGTACGGATCTCAGTAATGTTTTTAATAATCCGAGCAAAGACCACTCGCATTTTTCGCATTTAATTCACGCTCGCGTTAATTTCAAGATTTACAGTAACTGGAATATTGCCTGGTACTGATCGCCATAGTATAACTGGAATATTGATGACTGCGACGTAAAATAATATACATGCGCTTACTGACTGTTGGACCTCAGTTTTCTTGGAAGGGTGACTGAGTTTGGGTTTGAACGCCGCATTCAACATATTCCAATTACGTCACGGCTTGTAGGTGTAAAGCCCGAAGTTTTGAAGGTCTCAGACGTTGACCACTTTCGCGGAACCTACGAGCACGGGTATGGTGCTGTCAAACCTAGAAAAATAATCCGGGGGAACCGGGATTCGAACCCACAATCAGGATTTTGGCATATCCAAGGGATGCAACTCTGCACAGCGAATTGTGATGCCTTAGACGACTAGGCCACACGTGCCCCATCGGAAGAGACACAACCAGTGACAGAGACAATGACAAAACAGACGGAGTACAATACATAAGGTCCTTAAACATCGTATCGCATATAACTATAATCACTTCCTAACCCTTGACACATGTCCTCTGATTTTGACGCTTGTCGCCGCCCACTGATATGAAATGAGATATGATATGATTTAATGTCATATGATCGCTCGCCTGAAACACGGACTCAAGCCTACTCACTTATATGTGGCTAACATACCGACTGTCCTTCGACTGAGTACATAACACAATGGCTTCATCTCGTCTCGTCATCACTGTGCTGTCCCTCTGCATCATCAATGCATATGGCTTTACCCCTATAACCTGTGAGTATAAGTTTCCTTGTGTGTGTGTTACAGGGACTATGTATAATCAGGGAATATGTATAATCATAGCCCAGGACAAGTTCAAACATACACACATACATTCACTATTTACTCGACCGCCTCCATGGTCTAGTGGTAGAGCGTCCGCCCGGAGAGCGGAAGGTCCGGGGTTCGATCCCCGGCCGCGTCATACCAAAAGACGTTAAAAGATGGTACTTGTTGTTACCCTGTCTGGCGCTCGGCATTAAGGGGCGATACAAGGACTGGTCGGCTCGGAGTCAGTATGTTGTGTCTGAGTGGGATATTCATGTTAAACTGTGGCATGGTGTCCCAGTGAGCCAGCACTATAAATCGGCATCAGGCCGGACGTGTACAAGCAGCCACACACACGTGCATGCACGTCGCTATATAAGTGCTATAATCTTGGACGCGACGTTAAACCCCATTTCACCTCACCTCACCTCGTTTTATACTCCACTTCCCTATCCATTCACGGTGTCGTTTATTTCAACCGTTAGTGTACTGGGCGACATGCAGGTGCTTGCATTCTTGACGTAAGTGATTTCTTACAAAAATCCCAAACGTGAATATTAAGATATAAGTCAGATCACTTTCCCGCCCTGGATTCGATCTCCGAGCATTCCGAATGTCAAGCCACTGACATTAACACTCTGCCACCGGAGTAGAGGAGTGAGTGGGTGAGTGTGTATGGTTTTACGCCGGGGGACACCATAAATAGGCTTCATACATTGTACCCATGTGGGGAATCGAACCCGGGTCTTCGGCGTAACAAGCCAACGCTTTAACCACTAGGCTACCCCACGCCCCCCGAGTTGATCATGAGAAAGTTTTACGGAAAGTGTATTGGAAATTTATATTTTATATGCGGTTCAGTTCATTTTATCAGCTGGAGTGCGAAACTATCACATACAATGGAAAAGTAATTACTTATTCATTCCCCTTGACCAGATATAAGCTAGTAATAACAGTACTTACATCTGTAAAGTCACGAACGTGATCTAAAAAACAGATTAATGTCCTTGCACATCACAATTAATGATAGTAAAACACAACATAGTGTCAAATAACGAATTTCGATACCAGAATTTCCATGTGAAATATGTGAGGTGGGTGTTTGAAAATCCAAGATGGCTGTTACTGACGGTATACGGTCTCATATTAGGTCAGTAGATCTGCTCTCTGATTGGTCCGTCTTACTTTGAGGTATAATAATAGCCATAACTCACATTAAAATACTAGCTTCTGATTGGTTAAGGAGTGCCTTTTTCGAAATTTCTGTCCGTCAGCAAGGAAATAAATATACCATGCTTATCATGTAGAGCTAGCGTACCTGTAGATTTAATCGCGCTACATTGAATTTTGAACCCAACTGCGACGATGATTAACAAAGAAGTTCTATTATTTATGAGGGGCGGTCGGGTAGCCTGGTGGTTAAAGCGTTCACTCGTCACGCCGAAGACCCGGGTTCGATGGGTACAATGTGTGAAGCCCATTTCTGGTGTCCCCCGCCGTGATATTCCTGGAATATTGCTAAAAGCGGCGTAAAACCATACTCACTCACCATTATTTATGACATTAGCCTCCCCGGTGATGTAGCCGTCCAATCAACTGTTTCAATCGGAAGTGATTATCGGGATTGGAGTCCTCTGACTGATCAATGAGAATCGAGTATGTTAGATTAACAGCAATGCGTTTCATTATGTTTTCAGGGGCGGTCGGGTAGCCTAGTGGTTAAAGCGTTCGCTCGTCACGCCGAAGACCCGGGTTCGATTCCCGACATGGGTACATTGTGTGAAGCCCATTTCTGGTGTCCCCCGCCGTGATATTGCTGGAATATTGCTAAAAGCGGCGTAAAACAATACTCACTCACTCACTCATTATGTTTTGTAAACAGATTACATGGACGAAGAATGTGGCTTCAGGCTGACCACGACCAAGGACACGCGACTGAAGCTGACGTACCATCCGAACAGAAGCCTCCGCCCAAACATGAACTGCACCACCTCATTTAGGACGACTGTCTTGGGGGATCGATTGCAGGTTCGACTGAGGAGCATTGACACTGTGTTGACTCCCAAATGCCATCAAAACACCTTGCAAATATTTGATAGTGATAAAAAGACACTTTTGAATGGTAAGTTCTCATTTATATTCATTTTTTTATTCTATGATATTGGAGATAGGAGGTCTGTAGAATATTGTATTTGAGTATTTGAAATATTTCCTCTTTGGAGGTAGGTCATATGGATTAATGACATACGACCAGAACAGTATACTTGTCTTGATCAGCACGCACACGCACACACACACACACGCGCACGCACGCGCACGCACATACACACACACCCACGCGCGCGCACACACACACACACACGTCGCGATATAAGTGTAATAATCTTGGACGCGACGTTAAACCCCATTTCACCTTCACCTCACCTCAAATGTCATTCTCGACTCCCTGGGGAAGCTGCACATTGTGGATAATCAATGTGTTGGCGTACAGATAGTTTGCCCAAAAGAGATCAGTTATATCCGGCTGAGTGAGATAGGCTTGGACCTCTCACATTATGCCAAAGTCGGAAATCGGACGAGGTGACAAAAAACGCTTTGACCATTACGCCGCCCATTTGTATATGGCGTTGTAGATGGCACGTGGCCCTGTGTTCAGCGCACAGGTCACAAATCAGACGAAGATAACCAACGATCGTGGCGGAGATCGGATGCATGGGTGACCGCGTTGAGCAAGCTTGACCCCTGAGAATTTATAGGGCTTTGCTCCTGCCGCGAGATCTTCAGTAAACCCGAGGCTGTCAGGACTTGTGGTTGGTTGATTTGTTTGTTGTTTAACGCCGCACTCAGCAATATTCCAGCTATATGACGGCGGTCTGTAAAAAATCGAGTCTGGACCAGACAATCCAGTGATTGATATCATGAGCATCGATCCACGCAATTGGGATCGATGACATGCATTAACCAAGTCAGCGAGCCTGACCACCCGATCCCGTTTGTTGCCTTTTACGACAAGCATAGTCGCCTTTTACGGCAAGCATGGGTTGCTGAAGACCTATTCTACCCCGGAATTGGTTCTCTGTGAAGCCTGTCACTGAAGTAACCTGTAGGGGATTGAAATGATGTTATTTAATGCCGCAATCAACAGTATTCCAGCTACATCATGGCGAACTGTACATAATCCTGTCTGGACCAGACAAACCAGTCACTGAAAACATGAGCTTCAACACCCTTCCCCAGCCCCGCCACAGAGGCCCACTTACACGCAATCCAGTGTTATTTCTAATGTATGTAAGCATCTGCCTGGAGACCAAAAGGTCGATGGTTCATCATACCAAAAGCCGTTGAAAGATGACCGCGTTTGACGCCGACATTGAGGGTATAACACAAGGACTTTCCGACTGGGCTATGCACGTTTAACTGCGGCAATGTACCCCAGTGTGCTGGTACTTTAAAACCGACATAAGTCCGGGCTAGTACAAGCAGCCACACATGTCTGTGAACGTCGACCGAATGTCTATATCATTATACAGTAAACTACGGTTATAACAAACTCAAAGGGACCTCTAAGTTAAGTTTGTTATAAGCATATACAGCACATGTACAGCAAATGGTCGGGATTAAAAAATTAATTCGTTATATCCGTTAGTTCGTTATAAGCGTGTTCGTTATAAACGTAGTTTACTGTACTATACAACTACAATAAATATATACCATGCTTATCATGTAGAGCTAGCGTACCTGTAGATTGAATCGCGCTACATTGAATTTGAACCCAACTGCAATTATAATTATTTGCAAATGCCTTACGACGTTGATTAACAAAGAAGTTCTATTATTTATGAGGGGCGGTAGGGTAGCCTAGTGGATAAAACGTTCACTCGTCACGCCGAAGACCCGGGTTCGATTCCCGACATGGGTACAATGTGTGAAGCCCATTTAACCGTGATATTCCTGGAATATTGCTAAAAGCGGCGAAAAACCATACTCACTTACTACTATTTATGATATGAGCTGCCGCGGTGATGTAGCCGTCCAATCAACTGTTTCAATCTGAAATGATTATCGGGATTGGAATCCTCTGACTGACCAATGAGAATCGAGTATGTTAGAACAACAGCAACGCGTTTCATTATGTTTTGAAAACAGATTACATGGACGAAGAATGTGGCTTCAGGCTGACCACGACCAAGGACACGCACATGTACAGCAAATGGTCGGGATTAAAAAAATAAATTCGTTATATCCGTCAGTTCGTTATAAGCGTGTTCGTTATAAACGTAGTTTACTGTACAATACAATTTACTAATTTAGGTGTCATTTTTCTATGTCCAGCTCCATTTGGACACTGCGGTACAGGATTAGGGACCAGGACTTACCGGTCAAGTGACAGCTCCGTCACACTCAAGTTCCAAACAGATGCCAGTTTCCAGTATGGCCAATTCGACATCCTCGTCACCTCCTTTAACACAGCTTTCAATCGTAAGGATGTGTGTTATGAAATAGTGTCTGATGCATCTTCATCTTGATGTTAGAAACTGATACACTGACCTACGTTCATGTGTTCACCATTGGACAGGTTTTGACCATTTGACCATGTTGACCACCCAATCCTCACAAGTCACCCCTTACGACAAGCATGGTTCCTGTGAACCTATTCCGACCTTGAATTCAAAGAGGTGTAAACGTAGGAACTGACAGTATAATAAATAGTCAAAATAATGTTAATTCCCTGTCGAAGGTCAAAGGTATAAAGAAATGTATTGTACAAAAGGCCCCCGGTCCATATACAAGAGACTTACGCATGTTATCATAAATGTTACACATTGGGATATACACCTTTTTTTATTAGTTCATTTCCTTTGGCTGATGCATGTTTAATATATAGAGAAAGCTTTAATATATTAGATGTGTTCTTTGTCGGGAGAAGGGATGCAAAAGAGTTTATTATAGGACATTGCTTATAAATAATCTTTAATATACTTCTTTCGAAGTCCATTGTAAAATGGGCAGACAAATACAAAGTGAATTCATTATCTATCTCTGTGTTACATAATGGACAAATTCTTTTCTATTTTTCAATTGACAGCTTTCTTCCTTCATAACGTAAACCAAGTCGATATTTAATTCAATCTTTTTACTTAAGTTTTCCGTAGCAAGAACTAATAAATATATTTCCGGTTGAAGTAAAGTCATGAACGTTTTGTAATATTCATAACGTGAACTATCCTCGAATGTGGAATGCTTTCCTGGTAGAACATATTTATAGACCGATTCCGAAATTCTTTAAGAAACATATTTACATTTCCAACTGATCGACATAGCCATATAAAACCAAAACCTTGACAAAATAAAAGATTTCTTAAATGCGATGTACACGTATTCTTACCCATGTTATCAAAATGTAAAAGCATGTTATAAGCTAATTTAGGGAGACGTTGTTCATGCATATAAAGAATTTTAAACCAGTATTTTGAACATCTAATCGGAGAGTTAATATATAATTGTTATCTACCATATTCACCGTAAACCTAAAAATATGTTTCCGAATCTGCTTTTGATTTAAGAGTAACTTGAAATGTTTTTTCTGGTATGGAACGTATCCTCTTGTGTTTTAATTAGCGACATTCAGTAAGATACTCTAACAGTTAAATTGTTGATGCAATGTCTTGTGACCTCCAAACTGGATTACTGCAATGCATTGTATGCTAATCTTCCCATGAAAGCCATATCAAAGCTACAACGCATTCAGAACTCTGAAGCTAGATGCATCTCTAAAGTTCCAAGATCCAATCACATAAGTCCTGTCCTCAAAGCACTACATTGGCTTCCAGTCTCCTTTCGTATAAACTATAACATATGTATCATCACTCACGACTGCCTCAACAATAGCGACTATCCAGACTATCTCAAAGGTCTTATATCCCTGTACTCTCCAGAGCGTGCTCTCCGATCCTCTGGTGGAACTCTACTGTATCAGCCTCTGTCTACTTCTGCTATGTCTGACCGTGCCTTCTCCTTTTGCAGTCCACGGTTATGGAACTCTTTGCCTTTGAATCTGAGAAACTCTGCTTCTAAGGAAACGTTTAAGTCTCTCCTCAAAACCCACTTCTTCACTTCAGCTTTTCAATAGATCTCCTGATTGTTGGCATATGTACATAGACATTACTTTTTAACTTTGTCACAGCGCCAGTGAGCAACTGTCGATGGATATTAGGCGCTTTACAAATAAATTATTATTATTATTATTATTATTATTATTATTATTATTATTATTATTATTATTACTAAGTGTGGGCGCTATTCAGTTAGTAAAGTAATAGTATGTGACGTTATAAAACTATGTGCGTTAAAGCCAACTCCACTGGGCGAAGCTGCAACGTATGCAACATAGCTATTTCAAAGCACTGTCTCACTCCCATAAAACGTTAATCTGCACATATTTACCTCATATATATTTATTTACCTGTGTGTTTGTATTTACCTGTGTGTATTTGTATTTACCTCTGTGTGTATTCATTTACCCATGTGTATATGTATTTACCTATGTGTAATATGTATTTACCTCTATGTATATGTATTTACATCAATGTATATTTATTTACCTGTGTATTTGTATTTACGTCTGTGTATATTCATTTACCTCTGTGTATATTAATTTACCTCTGTGTATATGTATGTACCTCTGTGTATATTGATATTCCTTTATGTATATTTATTTAACCTCTGTGTATATCTATTTACCGCTGTGAATGTGTATTTACCTCTGTGTATTTGTATTTACCTCTGTGTATATGTATTTACCTCTGTCTGTATGTATTTACCTCTGTGTATTTGTATTTATCTCTGTGTATATGTATTTTACTTCCAGGTATATTTATTTACCTCCGGGTATATTTATTTACCTTCAGGTATATTTAATATTTGCCTCTGTTTGTATCCAGACTCATGTTCTGCAAGTCGATTTACTTGTGACAACGACCTCTGCATCAGCAGTACCCTCACATGCAACGGCTACAACGACTGCGGTGATGATAGTGATGAGATCCACGAATGTCGCCTCAGTGGAGGGGCCATTGCAGGCATCGCCGTGGGTGTAGTTGTGTTCCTGGTGATATGCACCTTCCTCTCCATTGTCGGCCGATCAAGGAGGAGACGTTATCAAAGACTTTGTGAGGTGAGGAGTGAAGGACTAAACCTTTACGCCGGGCTTAGAATATTCCAGCAATATCACCGGGGGCGGGGGATACCAGAACTTTTGGGAATCGAACCCGGGCCTTAATCATGACGAGTAAACACTTTAACCAATGACCTGTGAAGATCCGGGGAAGAATAGGTCTTCAGCAACCCATGCGTGCCGTAAAAGGCGACTATGCTTGTCGTAAAAGGCGACAAACGGGATCGGGTGGTCAGGCTTGCTGACTTGGTTGATTCATGTCATCAATCCCAATTGCGTGGATCGATGCTCATGATGCCGATCACTGGATTGTCTGGTCCAGACTCGATTATTTTACAGACTGCCGTCATATAGCTGGAATACTGCTGAGTGCGGCGTTAAACAACAAACAAACAAACAAACTTTAACCAATAGGCTACCATGTCTATCACAACTAGAACGATTAGCAAATAACTAGAATTTGGAATTAAAAGTAATCAATCAGAATTTAAAGTTAAATAGATCAAATGGGAAAACGAGACGTCCAATTAAATGGCATCTTCGTATAAATTACGAAAGTCCTGCGCTGGACTCAATGGTGTATCGGTAATGCTATTAGAACAATGATGTCATTCCAAGTTACATCTTTGCAGGCCAAACCTTACAATGCTATGCAGACGACCACGACAACCTACCCAACCAACGTCCAGAACCGGTATCAGCAACCTTCATACCAGACGTACTGACACACGGACCCACACACCACGTTCCCAACACCCAGAACCAGTCACACGGACCCACACACCACGTTCCCAACACCCTGACCAGATACACGGACCCACACACCACGTTCCCAACACCCGGAACCAGTTACACGGTACCACACACCACGTTCCCAACACCCTGACCAGACACACGGACCCACACACCACGTTCCCAGCACCCGGAACCAGTTACACGGACCCACACACCACGTTACCAACACCCAGAACCAGATACACGGACCCACACACCGCGTTACCAACACCCGGAACCAGATACACGGACCCACACATCACGTGACCAACACCCGGAACCAGATACACGGACCCACACACCACGTTACCAACACCCAGAACCAGATCCACGGACCCACACACCGCGTTACCAACACCCGGAACCAGATACACGGACCCACACACCACGTTACCAATACCCGGAACCAGATACACGGACCTACACACCACGTTACCAACACCCTGAACCAGATACACGGACCCACACACCACGTTACCAACACCGGGAACCAGATACACGGACCCACACACCACGTTACAAACACCCAGAACCAGATACCCGGACCCACACACCACGTTACCAACACCCAGAACCAGATACACGGACCCACACACCACGTTACCAACACCCAGAACCAGATCCACGGACCCACACACCGCGTTACCAACACCCAGAACCAGAAACACGGACCCACACACCACGTTACCAACACCCTGAACCAGATACACGGACCCACACACCACGTTACCAACACCGGGAACCAGATACACGGACCCACACACCACGTTACAAACACCCAGAACCAGATACCCGGACCCACACACCACGTTACCAACACCCAGAACCAGATACACGGACCCACACACCACGTTACCAACACCCAGAACCAGAAACACGGACCCACATACCACGTTACCAACACCCAGAACCAGAATCAACAACATTCATACCAGATTTACTGATACACGTTCCCATACACCGCGTTTACAAACGCTCAGGACCAGTCTCAACCACGTCCTCCAAATCTTCTGATACGACACCAACACACCATGTATATTTTACCTTGTTTCATTTTGTTTCATTGTACATTTCCAATGCGCTTCTCAGTCGGTTCATTGTCTCAAAATTCCAGGTTAGACCATACATACAATATGTTGTATATTTTGTAATAAATATTCTTTGTTACGATATCGAGTGTTTTCAATTGGTTTCCGAGCATTTCTTTGATGTATGGTTAACACGTTTGTTTTTTTAATTCCACGACTTCATCTAGTAGGCTGAGGGTACGGTGGGGTAGCCTAGTGGTTAAAGCGTTCGCTCGACCAGGGTTCGATTCCCCACATGGGCACAATGTGTGAAGCCCATTTCTGGTGTCCCCCGCCGTGATATTGCTTGAATATTGCTAAAAGCGGCGTATAACATACCCACTAACACGCTCACTAGTAGGCTAAAAAGTCGCCGATTTAACGTTAGATTTTAACCAACTCTCTCACGTTATCACGTCGGCCTGTGACTAATCGAATCTGGACCAGGCGAACCAGTGATTAATACAATGATCAGCAGCCATCATCATCGAGGCACGATGACACGCAATCAACCATTTCACCGACCCTGGCCACAAGATCCAGTTTAGTCACTTCTTAAGGGCGATGGAGTTTTACAATGGAGTTCTGACCTGGTACCGCACGCGTGATCGTATTTCTATCTCACCATTTCGGTTTATCTGTGTAATGATGTCTCATGCATACATTTAGTAGTGAGTGAGTGAGTTAAAATTTAACGTCAGATCGGCGATATTTCAGCCATATCGGGACCGTACATTTAGTAACAAATATATCTCCATGGTTTACACCGATCCTTACTCCCAAGACCACAGCCCATCATCACTGATTCCTGTGCATGGTGGTCAAGCTCCGGTCAACCATCATTAGTAGCAGATTGGTGGATTTTGTTCCTCTACAAACCAATTGTTTTGACATGTATATGAGTGAGTGAGTTTTTGGGTTAACGCCGCATAGAACAATATTTAAGCTATGCAAGATAACTAAGACAAAATTGTTATGGATGAGCAACTTCTTTATTACAATTTCGTTTCGGTGTAGATTCTAACACCGTTATTAAGCAAATGATGTACAAACTAGGTATGAGCATGATATATATACATAACAATAGATAGATGTTTATATAACAGATAAGGTTGATGTACACTGATTGATTAGGTAGTTATGATAAGACAATTGTCGCCCAATTGTAATAAAGAAGTTGCTCATCCATAACAATTTTGTCTTAGTTACCAAACCAAATTCCATAGTTAATAGTTGGTTTTAATTAAAATGACGTGGGAATTGTATATGTGTCTAATGCAAATGCGTATATAATAATCCGTTTTGTAGGAGTGCATTAATGAACTTCATATTATTATCAATGGGCACACTAATCAGAACATCCCTCCATACATGTAGATTGTATGTGTTTCTCAACCAAGTACATGTACGTGTACACACATCAGCTGTGATAAAACCAGTGTCACAGTGATCTTTATCAAACCACTACATAAGTATATGCTAGTACATAAATCAAGTATCCATGTCAAAAAGAATATTTAATGACAGCATTATGATAGGGAAGAGAATTTATGGATGTCAACTTCTTTATCGTGAGGAACATAACGTTTCGGAGTATATGCTTACTCCTTCATCAGGTGAATAGCATTATTATAGCAGGATTTTTTTTAAAAACTGGTGTTTGCGTTGAAAAATGTTTGATAGATAACGGTATAAGAATCTGCATCGAAATGTCGCTAATCTCTTATCGCATACTGCCCCCTTGACATTTGATCAGTTGGTCCTGATAGCTATCTGTGTACCACATGAAAACTCAAAATTCTTAAACATGCACATTGATGCACGTTGATGCACCTGTGCTGTACACCTCTTCTGCTATTGACTTGATACAGCTGCAATGAGTTTACTCAAAGTCACCGTCGTTCTTTTGTGTTTGAGGCTTGATGATAGCTCTGCACCTACCGTTTGTGAGTACATATTGTGAACACTGACAAAACTGGTCGTTACTGAAATGTTCATGACAAATTCTATTTCTAACACGTATACTACGATGATCCTGTCATTGGTCATTCAGATCGTTAAAAAACTCGATTCAGCACAAAAAAACGTGTTATTTAAGAAATAAAGGAGTGGGAGTGGTGTATCGCACAATAAAACACTGCAGGGAGAATAAACCATGAGGGCCGCCGCCCGAGTGGTTTATTCTCCCTGTAGTGTTTTATTGTACAACGACCACGAGTCGTTTTTTTCTTATATGAGATATCAACATTATGCATAGCCTCTTTAAGGATAATGATAAAATGAACACGCTTTAATAATATTTACCCGTATTCAAATAATAATGACTCCCTTAATAGAATCCGACCTCGGCAATGTCGGACAAGTCCATTTTATGCACAGGTGGGTATTTCCCGCATATTCTCCCAATCCTCACGTCGATTATCTGTACCTTTTCTCCCAAAACCGATTGTCATATCTCTCCCGCTTTTGGATGCGATCATTCTGCCATTGCGTTTATCTGCGTTGCCCTGCTACATCTTTGGGAAGCAACTCATCAGGCAGTCCCCACTCAACAATAACGTCGTCCAATACGCGACGTCATCAAGTTACGAGCATATGTTCGAATCTCCAGACATGACGTCATGACAGAACAATGTTTTATCGTGACATATACCACGCTTCGTTCGTCATTATTCTTTAAGATTTAGGGGCGGTCGGGTAGCCTAGTGGTTAAATCGTTCGCTCGTCACGTCGAGGACCCGGGTTCGATTCCCGACATGGGTACAATGTGTGAAGCCCATTTCTGGTGTCCCCCGCCGTGATATTGCTGGAATATTGCTAAAAGCGGCGGAAAACCGTATTCACTCACTCTTTAAGATTTATCGCGTAGCTATCTTATTTAATTACATATATCATTGACATATCATATACAAATAGAACATCATTTGTGAATGATAAAAGCATTGAACTATGTCCTGCAGTGTTTGGGTTTTTTTAAAACACCTATGAATTTACATATTATTTGTGATATTTTGTATTGTACCGTGTGTTTTTAATGCCTCATTCATCAATATTCTAGCCAGACAGACAGTGACAGCGGCCTGTAAACATTCGAGACTGAACCAGACAATCTCCACATTGAGATCGTGACGACGATCTACGCAATTGGGATCACATATGGCATCAAAATGTCACCGAGCTTGAATACCTATCCGTAAAGTCTTCATGAACAGGGGCGGTCGGGTAGCCTAGTGGTGAAAGTGTTCGCTCGTCACGCCGAAGACCCGGGTTCGATTCCCGACATGGGTACAATGTGTGAAGCCCATTTCTGGTGTCCCCCGCCGTGATATTGCTGGAATATTGCTAAAAGCGGCGTAAAACCATACTCACTCACTCACTCACTTCAATCACAGCAAACGTATGTAGGTTGCTGGGGACCTCTTCTAACCCGGGATCCTCCCAGTGCCATATTATTTATGAACAGTAGTCTATTATTATGACGTGTGATAAGAAAATAAGAAAAACATCCGACTCCTTCATTACCGCAACATTTTACTGTGGTTAACTCAAAATGGTTTTAGACCCGTGAAGATCCGGGGTAGAATAGGTCTTCAGCAACCCATGCGTGCCGTAAATGGCTACTGTGCTTGTCGTAAGAGGCGACTAACGGATGGTCAGGCTCGCTGACTTGGTTGATGCATGTCATCGATCCCAATTGCGTGGATCAATGCAAATGATGTCAATCACTGGATTGTCTCGTCCAGATCGATTATTTACAGACCGCCGTCAGCTGGAATATTGGGGGACGTTGCTAATATTATCCATCACCTGTTCGTCTGGTCGACTCGATCAATTTCAGGCTGCCATCATATGGCAGGAATATAGCTGAAAGCGGTGTCTCAAACAAAAACAGTATAAAATCTTGAAATAATGTTATCACAGACTACCTTGACGACGAATGCAACAAAACAACCAGAATGACGAAGGACGTGAGATTCCAACTAACCCTCCACCCTAATGTCCATCTGCGCTACAATTGGTTGTGTACCAGCACCGTCAAGACAGATGTAGCAGGTGACCTTCTCCTTGTCGGCGTCAGAAGTCTCAACACAGTATCAACATCCAGCTGCACCCAAAACAGCTTGACAATAATGGATACTGACAAGGAGACAGCTTTGAATGGTTAGATCTAATGTTATCATATACCATGACACATTTGCAAGATACTTACATTGTTATCCTAATGATAACGAACTTAACAAGAGAATTTCATCTTCAATAGAGGAGATGGGATGGGGTACTATGGCAGTGGCAGTGGGTTTCATTGAAATTCAGCAAATATTTTGTCTTTAGGTTTCCTTTTTAGGTCATATGCCGCAGACATGCCTGTAAATGTACAACGTCAGAGTCAGACCCGTGAAGATCCGGGGCAGAATAGATCTTCAGCAACCCATGCTTGCCGTAAAAGGCGACTAACGGGATCGGGTGGTCAGGCTCGGTGACCTGGTTGATGCATGTCATCGGTCCCAATTGCGTGGATCGATGTTCACGATATTAATCACTTGATTGTCTGCTCCAGACTTGATTGTTTACAGACCGCCGTCATATAGCTGGAATAGTCAGAGAAAAAACAGTCTCGATTATCCCCCAAAACAACTTGGCCGTAAAACATCAGTGAAAAGTATATGAATGGATCACTAAAAACCAGTGATGACACAAGTTGTCCGCGAAAAGGTAAGGATGTACTGCCCTACCGGTAGCACCGCCACTCACAAAAATGTCATTAAAAGGCAAGTGTTTAATCAAGGTAATATCCCTATAAATACATGTGATCTTATGTTGAGCTGACGATAAGCATTTGGGGCAGTAGATGGCATTTGTAATACTATAGCTGCTGCCAATAGACTCCGAAAATGTATATATACTATGCCAAAGAAGTAGGGGGAAAATACAGTCATGAAGAGATATCTTCTGTTATATATGGTTTTGGCAAATGGAAATGATATGATATGATCATATCTGCTGGGGAGTTGGCGATGAGATCTTATGATTTCTAATGGTTGGTGTTGCGCACATGGTCGTTAAAGAGGTTTTGGGGTCAAATTTGAGATTTGAGATGTTGGCCAGACATGCACGTATTCTTCGCGGTATGCTCTGATGACGACCATTAGCTTGACAACATCGAGTTCATTGAGAGTTGTGATGGATTTTGACGCTGACGTAGACGTCTGCCAATGACGTCCCAGACGTGTTAAATGGGGGAAAGGTCAGGACTGAGTGCTGGTCATGCCATGGCATTGATGTATTGCTGTTGGAGGAATTTGGTCACAATGCTAGCACGATAAGCATGTGCATCATCATCTTGAAAGATGTTGTGCAAATTGTACCCCGAGTGGTGCAGTGTTGTCCTGATAGTATTGACATGTGACTCGGGCATGGACAATATTTGGCGCAGTTCGGCCAGTCATTGTGATACCACCAAATACCGTTATTGACTCCCATGCTGTAAGGTCCATAAAACGCGAGTGAACGAGAGTGAACCACGATTCGCCAGAAAACATGGCGTTGGCCCAACGTCGATTAACCCAGTGTTGACGTTCCCTACACCGCTGACGCCTCTGATTCAAATGACGTGCAGTCGTGCAAGCAAATGTCATCAGCGCAGACGATTTGGCACCGTCTGGGCATGTGCTCTTACACCAGTTGGCTTCAGCAACAGGTCCCTTATCTGAGTGCCAGTCTGCAACCGATTTCTTAACGTCATCGTTCTGACTGAAATGTCCTGGGCTGGAGTTGCTGCCTTTGGGCGTCTAGAAAGGCGTCGATCATTGACGTAATGTGTTTGTTGGTATCGGACCCACAATCTGCAGATGAGAGATTGAGAAAGATGCAGCGTTTGGGCAACAATATTCTGATGAGTGCTCATGTTCATCTTCTTGATCAATGTTGTTGCTTCCTTAATAATTAAATGTGTTCAATAAAGCGGTCTTTGAGCGTTTGGCTCCAAGAAAACAACATGGGTCTGCTAACAACCGAGTCGGTGACAATTGTGACAACCGAGTAGTGACAATTGTGACTCTGGCATGCTGTCCGATGTCACGTTTTTCATGACTGTCACAATGTTGTGTTCGGGATCTTGATTTGTTCGGAAATGTTCTTGCCAAATAAATCACTTTCATTGCAAGACGTTGGTGTATTTTTCTGTAGTTTCATCTCGAAACAAAATACCCTCAACGTTTTTTTGCAATGTTATACATTCATGTTTTCGTCTGCAGTCGTCTCGTAATGTATGTTCTATGTATTATTCGTTCTGTGTATTTTAATGTATGTTCTAAGTGTTGTATGTTCTATGTATAATTCGTTCTGTGTATTTTAATGTATGTTCTAAGTGTTGTATGTTCTATGTATAATTCGTTCTGTGTATTTTAATGTATGTTCTAAGTGTTGTATGTTCTATGTATTATTCGTTCTGTGTATTTTAATGTATGTTCTAAGTGTTGTATGTTCTATGTATTATTCGTTCTGTGTATTTTAATGTATGTTCTAAGTGTTGTATGTTCTATGTATTATTCGTTCTGTGTAGTTTAATGTATGTTCTAAGTGTTGTATGTTCAATGTATTATTCGTTCTGTGTATTTTAATGTATGTTCTAAGTGTTGTATGTTCTATGTATAATTCGTTCTGTGTATTTTAATGTATGTTCTAAGTGTTGTATGTTCTATGTATTATTCGTTCTGTGTATTTTAATGTATGTTCTAAGTGTTGTACGTTCTATGTATTATTCGTTCTGTGTATTTTAATGTATGTTCTAAGTGTTGTATGTTCTATGTATTATTCGTTCTGTGTATTTTAATGTATGTTGTAAGTGTTGTATGTTCTATGTATTATTCGTTCTGTGTATTTTAATGTATGTTCTAAGTGTTGTATGTTCTATGTATTATTCGTTCTGTGTATTTTAATGTATGTTCTAAGTGTTGTATGTTCTATGTATTATTCGTTCTGTGTATTTTAATGTATGTTCTAAGTGTTGTATGTTCTATGTATAATTCGTTCTGTGTAGTTTAATGTATGTTCTAAGTGTTGTATGTTCTATGTATTATTCGTTCTGTGTATTTTAATGTATGTTCTAAGTGTTGTATGTTCTATGTATTATTCGTTCTGTGTATTTTAATGTATGTTCTAAGTGTTGTATGTTCTATGTATAATTCGTTCTGTGTAGTTTAATGTATGTTCTAAGTGTTGTATGTTCTATGTATTATTCGTTCTGTGTATTTTAATGTATGTTCTAAGTGTTGTATGTTCTATGTATTATTCGTTCTGTGTATTTTAATGTATGTTGTAAGTGTTGTATGTTCTATGTATTATTCGTTCTGTGTATTTTAATGTATGTTCTAAGTGTTGTATGTTCTATGTATTATTCGTTCTGTGTATTTTAATGTATGTTCTAAGTGTTGTATGTTCTATGTATTATTCGTTCTGTGTATTTTAATGTATGTTCTAAGTGTTGTATGTTCTATGTATAATTCGTTCTGTGTATTTTAATGTATGTTCTAAGTGTTGTATGTTCTATGTATAATTCGTTCTATGTATTTTAATGTAAGTGTTGTATGTTCTATGCATGTGTGTTGTAGGGATGCACGGGGAGTGTGGGTCTACAATGTCCAATAGGAGCTACACTACCCAGGGAGACGCTGTCACACTCAAGTTCCGGACAGATGATACTACCCAGATTGGTCAATTTGACATCCTTGTCACGTCCTTCAATATGGCCATAAACCGTAAGACTTTAATGATACACAAGAACGTAATATCAAAATGTAAGAATACTGCACAGTGATAAGGACGGGCTGTTGAGTACAAGTGATCCGTGAGGATCCGGATTAGAATGGGGCTTCCGCAACCCATGCTTGCCGTAAAAGGCGTCTGTGCTTGTCGTAAGAGGTGATTAACGGGATCGGGTGACGTGCTTCATGCATGTCACCATATCCCCATTGCTCATGTCAATCACTGGATTGTCAGGTCCAGACTCGATTATTTGCAGACTGCCTTCAAATGGCTGGAATATTGCTGCGTGTGGCGTTAAACAACAGCCAAACAAACAAACAAATGTTGAGTACAAGTACCTTTAGTTTCTACCAGATTAAACAAACAGCATTGCACTCAGGAGTATTCAAAGACTGTGTGCACCATAGTGACTTGGGGCTTAACGTCATTTTGCAGCAGTTTTCAAGTCTTTATGATATTTGAGGAAGCCCCAAAGGCCAAAAGATCATGATGTTAGAAGGGACATATCCTTTCCAAAAGTATCACAAATCTCTGCTGAAAGCGGAGTCCATTGTCCGGTTCCGACCATATCAGTAGCATGTGTTTATGAATCACAATGAAATAGTGATGATATCAGATACTTTTCGAACAGATAAGCGTAATGGTAGAACAGGTCTTCAGCAACCCATTTTTGCTTGTTGTAAGAGGCGACTAACCGGATCGGGTGGTCAGGCTCGCAGACTTGGTTGATGCATGTCATCGATTCCCAATTGCATGGATCGATACTCATGATTTCAATCACTTGATTGTCTTGTCCAGACTCAATTAACCAATCAACCAACTGTTTACGGATTGAGAACTTGAAGCTCAAGGATTGTGTCACACACTTCAGCATAATATATATAGAAATTCTATCCATATATTTACGCAGTTTAATTAGCCTCAGTAAAGCAATAATGTATATTCAGAATGGATACACCCGTGACGGTACGGGTCAGAATTGTTTTCAGCAACCCATGCTTTCGCAAGTGGCGACTAACGAGATCATGTGATCAGGCTCGGTGACTCATTTCATGCACGTCATCGTATCCCAATTGTCTAGATCGATGCTTATGATGTCAATCTCTGGTTTATCTGGTCCAGACTCGATGATTTATCGACCGCCGTCATATACCTGGAATATTGCCGAGTGCGACATTAAACAACAAACAAACAAACATAATGGACTCGACATACTTCCAGGCCATTGAGATTAAGTTGATAGTGGCCATCTTGTTATATGCTGTTGTTGGTTTGTTGTTTAACGCCGCACTCAGCAATATTCCAGCTATATGACGGCGGTCTGTAAATAATCGAGTCTGGACCAGACAATCCAGTGATTAATGTCATGAGCATCTTTCCAACCAATTGGGATCGATGACATGCATTAACCAAGTCAGCGAGCCTGACCACCCGATCCCGTTATGATATCAACTTATTATTTTCATAATTATTATTATTATTATTATTATTATTATTATTATTATTATTATTATTATTGTTGTTGTTATTGTTGTTGTTATTATTATTATTATTATTATTATTATTATTATTATCCAGATACTTGTTTAAGTAGTCGTTATTTATGCAACAACAACCGCTGCATCAACAAGTTTTTAACCTGCAATGGCTTCGACGACTGCGGCGACGACAGTGATGAGATTGATGGATGTAGTGATACCATAAGTGGAGCTGCCATTACAGGCATCGTCGTTGGAGTGTTGCTATTCTTTGCTGTATGCGTATCCCTTGCCATCATTGGACGATCCAAGAGTACCAACTATCGGAGACTTGATGAGGTAAGCATTCCTACATGCAACACAAGCACAGTCGATAGACCGCAACAAAACATGAATTGTTAAACAGAGCTTCACTCTCCGATCGGGACCACGGGGCCTCAGAGGTAATCATCGAGTGCCGTTTTAAAACGCTGCTTAGATCGAAAACAAGGCTTACAATGTCGTCCTAGTTTTAGCGTGACGGGAAATTTTCCGTATTTAGTCCTAATCCGTGGTTTTCTCACACAATACCTTTAAATACAAACGAATTTCTTCGAACTCTCGTGATTGTTTCATTTAGTCATCAAGAAATTATCCTTAACTGATTTACTAAATAATCTTTTTTGTGTATTTTTCATTTAATTTTAAAGCTTCAACAATATTGTCAATAGATATGTACAGAGTTTGTGTATTTGTAAGAGGATATCGTATAAAAGGACTGGGTACGAGACTATGTCAGTCTCACTTAAATAAAGGCGGACCAAAATAATAATATCAACTGCAGCATTGATTGTAATTTTCAAAAGTAGACCACAAGAGGGTTTGTCAACCTGGCAAATATACGTTATAAAAATCAAAATAGATTCTAACACGTATTATCTATCTCATCAATATTATTTCAATGAGATCCTCAGCATTAAACTGTGACAAGTTTACAGTTTTTTAACGACAAGTTCAGCATCTGTTGTCCATGGATAAACCGCGCACCCGCAACTATGGTTAATGGTCCTACATTAAAGCTTGATCAGTACTTCGGAAAATATTTTCTAAATCATCTCAGATGTATCCAATAACTATGGTTAAGCAATCATCATCATCATCATCAATCATCATCATCATCATCATCGTCATTGTTGTTGTTGTCAACTAATCCTATTAACACAACAGCTCCGGCCTATCAAGTTCACCAATAGGGGCTACTTAGGCGATATCCAGTATAGGAAACAGCCGTCGTACCGGAAGTAGTTCTATCTGGAACACGACCACTTGGACGACATCAACGTGAATGACTATCGCATCAGGACATGTACAACATCACAGGACATGTTATAGGAACTATTGTGTATCGATGTTTGTTGTTTAAAACGCCGCGCTCAGCAATAGTCCAGCTGTATGACGGTTCCCTATGATGACTCGGATCTGGACCAGACAATCCAGTAACTGACATCACAAGCATCGATCTACGTAATTGGGATACGATGACATGCAACAAAGCCACCGAGTAATCAAACTTATGTTAAATCAATATTTTCATCTTTTTGTAATGTGTCTGTTTGTTTGTTTGTTTGTTGTTTACCGCCGTACTCAGCAATATTCCAACTACATAACGGTGCTCTGTAAATAGTCGAGTCCGAACCAAACAATCTAGTGACTGACATGAGCATCGATCAACGTAACCGGGATATGGTGACATGCATCAACCAAGTAGGCGAGTCTGAATGACCACCATCGCCCCCCCCCCCCCCCCCCCCCCACCCCCACCCCCCACTACAACCACCCACCACCCCACCACCCCCCACCACCAACCCCCGATCCCATTAGTCTCCTCATACGACAAGCATGGGTTGCTGAAGACCTATTCTAACCAGGATCTGCAGGGGTTGTAATATGTATGTACAATATTGGCAATGTATGCTTCATGTCAATAGTTCGATGTCATGGCAACGTTTCTAACCTTGAATCAATGTATATGCCTTTTGTTTTGTAAATTCGTTCTTTTTTAAAAATAAAATCCTTTACCAAATTTTAACTTTTCGCTTTTCGTTTTTTGGCAACGGAGAGGACACGGGAATGATGATACATTACAATTTGTAATTTATCTACACCCAGTGTGAAAAAAACGTGTTTGGTCTGAACGTTTTAAGTACTATGCTTAACGCAAAGTTGGGATTTTTTTAAAAATGAAAGTGGCTGGTATCTCAAGTATGATTGCTAAGATAAAGTCTATATTCTTTGTACCAGAAATGTAACACCATCACATAATAATTAATGATTCAAACAGAGGGTACAGTTGTCTATGGCAACGCAATTCGCAGAGCAGAGTTACCTCCCTTAGGTTTCCCTGATCATGTTTCTAGGTTTGTCAGCACCATACCCGTGCTCGTGGGTTTCACCGAAGTGGTAAACGTCTGAGACCTGCATCACTTCGGGCTTTCCTCCTACATTAAGATGGCTGCCGTGATATGTTAAAAGCTGCATGAAATCACTCACTCACTCACTCACTCACACGTATTTATCGATCGTATCTGGTCTGACTTGTCACTTGTGTTGATGCTGACATTGCACCTACCAACGTGTCATGTTACACGTCAAGGTGATAACACTGTGACATCTTCTGTTGAATGTCATCTCAGTACACCATGGCGTCTATCTGTTTTGTTTGGTTTGTGTTATCTCTATGTCTGGTGGGTGCCTACAGATACCAGCCAGCCGTCTGTAAGTACTAGACAGTATTCAAATACAACACTTCAAATACAAACACTTCAAATACAACACTTCAAATACAAACACTTCAAATACAAACACTTCAAATACAAACATGGGTGGCCTCGTTGCAACAGCGCCGCCATTCGTTATGAGTTGAGTACCTCGAGTCTGCCAGGAATTTGTTTGTTTGTTTGCTTGTTAGTTTGTTCTTTAACGCCGCACTCAGCAATACTCCAGCTATGTAACGGCGGTCTGTAAATAATCGAGTTTGGACCAGACAATCCAGTGATTGACATCATCAGCATCGATCCACGCAATTGGGATACGATGACATGCATCAACCAAGTCAGCGAGTCTGACCACCGGATCCCGTTAGTCGCCTATCACGACAAGCATATAGTCGCCTTTTACGGCAGGCTGAAGACCTATTCCATCCCGGATCTTCACGGGTCGCCAGGAATTTAAGAACGTTGGTGTCGAATCCAAACTTCGCCCTGATTATGTTTTATCAAAGCGGCGAACTGTAATAAGATCTGCATAACCTCGGGCGTTCAGGACAATTTGTATAAAAAATGAAAGAAAAAATGAAAGTTTACTGTGAAAAAAAAGTGAAATTCTAGGACTTCCTCATTGGTAACATCTAGGTACATTTTGGGGGTAAGACATTAGGGCAAGAAGTAGCATCCCCATGGGCACCAATTATGCTCCCCTTTTTGCGGATCTGTTTCTTCGTGCATATTAATCGGAATTTCTCCTCGGATTGGCAAAATCAAAACAAGGTGATATGACCAAGAAGTTTGACTTAAGCTTCAGGTATATGATCTGATATTGTTCAATAACAATCAAATTGCCAATTCCCTTCCACTGATTTACCCACCTGAATTTAAAACAAAGGAGACCAGAGAGACCTCCCTATCTGTTTCATGTGTAGATCCATGCATAAAGATTCAGAATGACAAAACACTCTCCACAAGACTGTATGACAAGAGTGATGGCTTCAACTTTTCAATAGTCAACCCCCCCCCCCCCACACACACACACACACACACACACACACTTCATGTCGACCAATATTCCAGCAGCTCCGGCCTTTGGTGACTGGAATATTAGATTTCGCAACTTTTGAGATAAAATCGAGCATGTTCTTCCTACCAAGATTTCAAAGAGCGTCATATGACTCTTGCTCAAAAGTTGTTTGATCAAGGTTACAACATTCAAGGCCTCAGTGAAGCTTTCAAAAAAAATGACAAAAATGGTGTCCAATGCAATTCCTTAATTTGACTCTGACCTTATGTTCCCGTGTTTCCATTGACTTGCCTTTGCATGTGTTTGTGACGGATGCCACCGATGGAGCAGGATACGCACATCTTTTCACGGACACCTGGTATCATGACTATTTGATAAAGATCATAAACACATGCTCATGATATAGTCGGAATCGTACTATCATGCTGACATGTGATATAACTGAAATACTGATCAAATCGGCTTTAAACCCAACTCACTCATTAACCACTGACCCGTGAAGATTCCGGGGTAGAATAGGTCTTCAGCAACCCATGCGTGCCGTATAAGGTGACTATGCTTGTCGTAAAAGGCGACTAACGGGATTGGATGGTCAGGCTCGCTGACTTGGTTGATGCATGTCATCGATCCAAATTGCGTGGAACGATGCTCATGGCATTAATCACTGAATTGTCTGGTCCAGACTCGATTATTTACAGACCGCCGTCATAAAGCTGTAATATTGCTGAGTGCGGCGTTAAACAACAAACCAACCAAAAGCCATTAACCACTTGTAACACAAACTGTCTTCAATTATTGACCAAACAGAAGAGAGTCAGGGAAGAATTCACATTTCAATAATGGCTCATTTTCAGTAAGTGTCATCTTCCTGTATTTAAACTGGTAACGATGGCCAAACTTGATTTCAAAATAATTTATTCATAAATGCAACCAGCTATTGACACAGTTTCCATGGAAAGTGTATCTGGGCATAATAATAAACGTATTTTGATCGAAAATGACAGATTTATTCCTTGGAATATATTGAATATGAATCTCATATAATATAATCCCTTTGCATTTAATGTTGATGCTTACAAACTGACTCGAACAAACATTTTGATAATCTCCTTGGTAGTAAATTGGTCCATGTGCAATGAAGATTTTTATACCACCGGATTAATTGACGCTTTAAACGCAGAAGGTTCCTGCTGGGGATATTCTTATACGTAAATTAGATCATACCTGCCATAAAATGTGAATAGGGTCACAATTTAAGGAAAATTACTTTACTGCGTCAGATTTTGAGTGCAAAGTAGCCCCACTGATTGCTCAAACTTTGAAAGACCCAATTTTCCATTATAGCTGTCAAAGCACGATTGCACCAGAGCCTAGAGCACATGAATTAAATTTAACGCTCCTTATAATGATCACCTTCACGTGTCAATGTGATTTTCTCCTACTGCCAGATTACCTGTCTGACCATTGTGAAGACTCGAGTGTTACCTCCCTGACGAAGGACGTCCGGCTGCTGATGAATCGCTTCCCAGGCACACCCCTTCAGTACAACTGGAGGTGTGCCATGGTCTTTAAGACAGAACCCGGTAACAGACTGCGGGTGACTTATAGGAACCTCAATACAACCTGGTCCACTGGCTGTGTCCACAACAGTGTCAAGATATTCGACACCATTACACAGAGAGGATTAAATGGTTAGAGGTTCATTTAAATGATATTCAAATAAGGCAATTGATACCAAAGATGGTTTGAGTCGTTCGGTGGTGATATAACATTATCTGTACAATTAATAATATTCTTCTTTTGTATGATAATTGAATGTTATCTTTCTGGCTGTTTCCTCTGTTTTCCTCTTTTCTCAGTTGAGCAGATCGGAAAGATTTACGCCCGAATACAATAACCCTTGCTTTGCCGTTGTTAGGGCAACCTAACCCCAACCCTAACCCTAACCCTAACCCTAACCCTGCATATATTATTCTTTAATACTTCTCGCCAGGGCTGATGATTTTTAAAATAATTCAAGGCAGACAGGGCGGCATGCAGGCGGACAGTCGGCAGACAGACAGACATAATTATACTGTACTTTAAGCCCTTGGGATTCGAACCCACAATCATAGGTTTCTGGCTTGCCCAAGGGCCGCAACTCTGCACAGCGAATCGCGGCGCCTTAGACGACTGGGCCACCCGTGCCCCCTCAAATGTTTAGAAGTATATATATAATATCAATAAGTCTAATGTCTCTTGTCGATTGGCACTTCTAATGACATGATTACCATCATCCCTTTCAAATTCCCTACGTTTCTTACAGGTAAAAACGGTGACTGTGGTGTCCATCCTTTAAATACAACTTACTCCTCATATGAATACATGATCACCGTCATGGTGGAGACGGACAACTATACTCAGTACGGGCAGTTTGACATCCTTGTGACGTTATTTAACGCATGAAGCAACGGTGAGCAGATTGTTTAAATCAATCAGTATTTGTATTTGTTGATGTAAACCATAGCATGAGTTTTAATAGCGGATCAAATTATATATTTCCTTAGCCCTGACTCTTATGCTATTTGATGTTAAACTGAGCCCACATGTAGAGGGTGTGATTTCGCCCGGAAAAAAAAACTTGCTTATGTTTTCCTCATTAACTTTGCTTAGTTGAAACTGAAAAAAAATGGAAATTCTGTCAATGTCATTTCAGTGAAAGCAAAAATTCCAGACGTAGTAACTCTGCTCTTGCCAGGGAGTTTTGGCTTTATCGATATTTACATAAAAGAGCAAAGACATCAATAACAATATAAACCATATGAACTATGTCAATACCATAAAGAACTTAATAGTAATGATACATAATCGTCTTTAATGTGGCCACTGCTCTTAATAATTATACTACTCAAAAGAAAAGAAAGACCGTTTTTTATTTCACATCATTATGGTTAACCTGTCATGACTTATGGATATTGCAACAAACAGCCTTCCAATTGTAGATGTTCTTCAACTTGTTTTGTGTAGAATTACTCAAAAGAAGTTAAAGAACACCAGATTTTTTCGTATGACTATGGTAATCTGTCATGGCTGATATGTATTGCAACAAACAGCCTTCCGATTGTGGATGTTCCTTAACTTGTTTTGTGTTGTATAGATACACCTGGAATAAGGTACACTAAACTACGGCTATAACGAACTCAAAGGGACCACTAACTTTAGTTTGTTATAACCGTAGTTCGTTATAAGCATATATATATATAAGTATTTTCATATATCCTGAACTTCCATGTATCTCATATTATATATAGTAAGATATGATTAACTATTTTCCAGGTGTAATTATTTGCAACATGTATAAGGCAAACATTCGGGGTAGAATAGGTCTTCAGCAACCCATGCTAGTCGTAAAAGGCGACTATTCCTGTCGCAAGAGGCCTAGGCGACTAACGGGGTCGGGTAGGCGTAGATCGATACTCATGATGTCAATCACTTGATTGTCTGGTCCAGACACGATTGTTTGGTTGGTTGGTTTGTTGTTTAACGCCGCACTCAGCAATATTCCAGTTATATGACGGCGGTCTGTAAATAATCGAGTCTGGACCAGAAAATCCAGTGATTAATATCATGAGCATCGACCCACGCTATTGGGATTGATGACATGCATCAACCAAGTCATCAAGCCTGACCACCCGATCCCGTTACTCGCCTTTTACGGCAAACATTGGTTGTTGAAGACCTATTCTACCCCGGAATCTTCACGGGTCCACGATTATTTACAGACCGTCGTCATACAGCTGGAATATTGAGTGCGGCGTTAAACAACAAACAAACAAACAAACAAACAAACATTTGCACCGTTTTGTCTTTTTCAGAAACATGTACCAGAAATGAGTTTCTGTGCAATAACAACCGCCGTATCAACATTCATCTCTGGTGTAACGGTTTCAACGACTGTTCAGACGACAGTGACGAGCTGAACTGCAGCCTACGATAAATCCATCGTTCTATAAACGGCTAACATTTCATATAATGATAATAATAATACGTTTAAGTGGTGAAACCAATACAATGACACATATCTGGATTGGAACCATTGTTCAACCTTTATACTGACAACATGTAGATGGGAATACTATGTGATTAACCATCCGTTTGTTGTTTGTGTATAAAGTACATCAGGTGTGTCTGTGTTGTCTCGTTGCAGGAGGTACTGGGCCCAGTTGTGTGTTAACGCCGTATTGATTTGTTTGTTTGTTGTTGAACGCCGCACTCAGCAATATTCCAGCTATATGATGGCGGTCTGTAAAATAATCGAGTCTGGACCAGACAATCCAGTAATTGACATCATGCGCGTCGATCCACGCAATTGAGATCGATGACATGCATCAACTAAGTCAGCGAGCCTGACCACCCGATCCCGGTAGTCGCCTTTTACGACAAGCATAGTCGCCTTTTACGGCAAGCATGGGTTGCTGAAGACCTATTCTACCCCGGAATCTTCACTGGTTGGCGTTATGTGGGAGAAAAGCCCAAAGTGAGGCAGGTCTTCGACCGTTAACGCTTTGCTTATAAACCAAGAACCATAATCAGGGCGAAATGGGATTCAAACCCTATATGTGTGTATACGTGTTCGTCTGTGTCTTGCGAGGATTCCCCACGCCATGTATCTCCACAAGAATGTCTTTGCCTTGTATTGAAATATTTTGTCTGCCTGTCCAAATGAAAAAAGAAGTCGCCTTTTACGACAAGCATGAATACCTATTTTAACCCGGATCTTTACGGGTCGTATTCTATAGCTATACTCGAGAAATTTTGTATGCTATTCTACAGCTGTATTCGAGAACTAGTTATGCATTGCAATACTGACAATACTGGCAATGCTGGTATTTCCTGCACGGCCGATTGAGAGGCCATGAGTCCTACAGAGTAGAACTTGAAAAACTTTGTACGACCAACCAAGCTGAGGGAATAATTCCCCCCAAGGTAAAAGCCTAATTGTCCTAAAACTTGTAAACATATGGCAGTGTAGAGTGGCCAGCTGTCCTTTTAACCTGTTAAAGTAGGTCTTCAGCAGCCCCTGCTTGTCATAACTGGCGGGTGTGTTTGTCGTTAGATGCGACCAACGGGTTCGGGTGGTCAGGCTTGCTGACATGGTTGATGCACGTCATCGATCCCATTTGCGTAGATCGATGCTCATAACATCAATCACTGGACTTCTGGTCCAGACTCGATTATTACAGACCGCCGTCATATAGCTGGCATATTGCTGAGTACGGCGTTAAACAAGCAGAGCTTTCCTGTTATCTCACTTATCTAAACGTCAGACAACAGTACATGGCGACATTTCTTTTTGTTTCTTTGTTTATTGTTTGTTTTTTGTTTAACGCTCCACTCCGCAAAATAGCAGACGTATGACGACGGCCCGGAAATACTCGCATCTTGGCCAGACAAGCCAGTGATGACTAGTACGGGCATCATCCAAAGCAGTCTGGGATCACTGCATAACAGTCCCCAAGACGACCTATCCGGTCCGTTTCGTCGCTAGATTGCTTGGGACCTATTGGGACCAACTGCTGTAACGCCGATTTTAACAGTATTCCAGTTATATCGCGGCGTGTCAGCTTAATGTGGGAGGAAAGCCCCAAGTGATGCAGGTCTCAGACGTTTACCACTTCGGTGAAACCCACGAGCACGGGTATGGTGCTGACAAACCTAGAAACATAATCAGGGCGAACCGGGATTCGAACCAACAATCATAGGTTTCTGGCGAGCCCAAGGGACGCAACTCTGCACAGCGAATCGCGGAGCCTTAGACGACTGGGCCACCTGTGCCCCCTTGAAGTGATACTGGTACATGTTGGATATTGTTTTAAGGTGGAAAAGCCTCATACCAAACTTTAGCACTTCTATCGACGGTTCTGTCAGTTACCGCAAATGAATACAGAAAGTCCAAGAAATATTCGATATTAAATTACTGTAATTTTCAATGATGAAATAATGATTGAGATATGGTTTTGACTCCAAAAGATTACGAATTAAGTCAGTCAACATATCAACAGTGAGTGAGTCAGTGAGTTGGGTTTTACGCCGCTTTTAACATTATTCCAGTTATATCACGGCGTGTCAGCTTAATGTGGGAGGAAAGCCCGAAGTGATGCAGGTATCAGACATTCACCACTTCGGTGAAACCCACGAGCGGGGTATGGTGCTGACAAACCTAGAAACATAATCGGGGCGAACCGGGATTCGAACCCACAATCATAGGTTTCTGGCGTGCCCAAGGGACGCAATTCTGCACAGCGAATCGCGGCGCCTTAGACGACTGGGCCACCCGTGCCCCCACATATCAACAGTGGTTTGGTGTGTGTAACATCGATTCGAAGCTCGGAACCCAGGCACGGTATAAACACATTATCGATTTAGGAATAAGAGTAATTCGTGAGTTGAGGTGAAATTGGTTGAACGTCGCGTTCAAGATTATTGCCCTAATATAGCGACGTGCATGCACATGTGTGTGTTTGGCTGCATGTAACAACAAGTATCATCTTTAAACGTCTTTTTGTATGACGCGGCCGGGGATCGAACCCACGACCATATGCTCTGAGAGCAGACGCTCTATCCACAAGACCGCAGAGGCGGTCGTGTAATCCGTAGGCTAAAACACTTGAAACAGAACAATATCAAATATCAATTCTAGTTTTGTCCGAGGTGTATGAGTCCCAGTTTGGTCGAAATCCGTATGTGAAGCTGTGGGGTAGCCTAGTGGTTAAAGCGTTCGCTCGTCAAGCCGAAAGCCCGGGTTCGATTCCCCACATTGGTACAATGTGTGAAGCCCATTTTTGGCGCCCGCCGCCGTGATATTGCTGGAATAATACTAGATGCGGCGTAAAACAATACTCACTCACGTACAGAGTACAACATACACATGACCTACATGTGTAGCTTGTGTTGCCGTCTTCTCCTGACCTAAAGGAGGAACAGGTGAATAGAATGTGTTCATTGAAACATGATTCGGACGGAACGGATGAACAGTTTTCACTTATAAGTTGAGTGAGTGAGTATGGTTTTAAGCCACTTTTAGCATTATTCCAGCGACATCACAGCGGGGAACACCATAGATGAGCAAGACTGGTTATTGTCAGGCGTTGAAGTTTAAAATTCACACATTGTACCCATGTGAGGGAATCGCATTAAGACTGGATTAGAACTCAATAGAAGCAGAGCAATCATGGTACATCTGCATTGTTCATTGAGACACTGTTCGGACGAGAACGGATGAACGGCTTTCAGTTTAAGACTGGAATAGGACTGGGGGTCCGCCAGTACATTGTTCACGAGACACGTGGTCAAGAATGAAAGAACATCTTTCACATTAAGGGTTCACGGAAGCAAATGTCCGCAGTATCCGCGGGAGTCCGTTATGTCTGTCTGATCAGTAGTTCTGGTAGCCTCCTTTGTGGGAGCCATGGTGATGATGATGATGGTGGCCATGCGATTCAGAATTCTGGAAGGAAAACAATAATATTCTGTGAACTTTACCGAATCAGATTAATTGACAGGGACTAAAGTGTACATTTTAGAACTAGAAAAATTCATAAATCCACATTTTCGAATTACCATCACTTCAGACGGCCCTTGGTCGAGTAGGTGAGGTGAGGTGAAATGGGGTTAACGTCGCGTTCTATTTTACAGTGCTAGCCCACTGAAATACCATGCCGAAGTTTAACATGAATACCCTACTCTGACACAGTATACTGACTCTAAGCCGACTAGTCCTTGTTTTCATCCCCTTTATGCCATCTTTTAACGTATGTTGGTTTGACGCGGTCGGGGATCGAACCCCGGACCTTCCGCTATCCGGGCGGACGCTCTACCACTAGACGACGTAGGCGGTCTACAAGTAGGCTCGAGTTATGAACTATTTGTGCTGAACGCCTCTTTGAATAGTATTTCGGCTTTATCACAAACACAAGTACTCTTGGTACGCTTGGTCATCTAGCCTCAGACCATAGTGACACCCATGACCCGGAAGGAAAAAAGGAGAATGAGAGGTCGGGTGAGGTGATGTGAAATGGGGTTCAGCGTCGCATTCAAGATAAGTGCACTTATGTACCGACGTGCGTGCGTGCGTGCATGCATGCGTGCGTGCGTGCGTGTGTCCAATGTACCACGGAGGCGGTCTGTTCGGTGTGTGCCAATTGTTTTTGTGTGACTGTGGATAGCTTGGAGTGAGTGAGTGAGTGAGTTGGTTTTAACGCCGCTTTTAACAGTTTTCAAGTCATATCACGGCGTGTCAGCTTAATGTGGGACGAAAGCCCGAAGTGATGCAGGGCTCAAACGTTTACCACTTCAGTGAAATCAACGAGCACGGGTATGGTGCTGACAAACATAGAGACATAATCGGGGCGAACCGGGATTCGAACCCACAATCATAGGTTTCTGGCGTGCCCAAGGGACGCAACTCTGCACAGCGAATCGCGGCGCCTTAGACGACTGGGCCACCCGTGCCCCCTGGATAGCTTGGATGCAAGTTTAGACAATGTAATTTGGGGGGATTGTTTTTTTTGCCACAATCTCTCAATGATATTGACTACAGCTTCCCATGATTTGGTCCCACGTTTAAAGCCGATGTGTGCGTTTTGGCCCGATGTTTCTGGTTACCATTGTTGACAGTGGTAAGGGTGAAATCTCAATGGTGGGTCTAGTCTGATATTATGCTGTTTTAGTGGTGAGTGAGTATTGATTTACTCCACTTTTAGCAATATTCCAGCAATAACATGTCGGGGGACAACAGACATGGGCTTCACACATTGTACCCATGTGTGGAATCGAACTCGGGTCTTCGGCCTGACGAGTGACCACTTTAACCACAAGGCTAACCCACCGCCCCTTAAAGTGGAGAACAGCCTATGACCGATATTAATTACTTCGGACTGTCGCGTCACTGCGGATTGCAAAAAGAAAACCAAGTGTGGTCTGAGGCTACAGGTACCGTTATATGCAGCCACTTTAGAGAAGCCTATTCACAAAAGACAAGTTGAACTATAACAATAATTATCTCGGGAGTGCTGCAGAAATAGGTTTAATTGTACTCATAGCCTTGGGTTTGGCTTTGACTAATGACTCCGTATACCCGATAGGGTGTACTGTGAAATTTATTTTTAGCATAATTGGGGCAAACAATCGATAAGGAGGCACGACTAGTGGATCCCGACACGACTAAGGGAAGCAACTCGGGACTTGGGATGAAAGGGAAATAGAATTCAAGAGAAAATATGTTCAAACTGTAAAAACAGATGACACCATTTCTATGACGGTAAACAAACGTCATAAACTATTCACACGGCGACTAACGGGATCGGGTGGTCTGGCTCGTTGACTTGGTTAATGCATGTCATCGTATCCCAGTTGCGTAAATCGATGCTCATGATATCAATCACTGGAGTGTCTGGTCCAGACTCGTTTATTTACAGACCGCCGTCTTATTCCTGGAATATTGCTGAGTGCGGCGTTAAACAACAAACAAACAAACACATGTCACGTGATGGAGTTATGAATACCTATGCTGTCGCGAATTGCTTTTGACCGTTAAAAAGGCATTTCTAAAAGAAAAAAACGAAGTAGATAAAACAGAATGAATGACTCTGAAATGCATGTTACCCGAGATAACCGTCTGTACTTCCTCTTCCTGTACTTGGCGATAAAGATGATCATTGACACGACGACAGCGGCGACCAAAACTGCTGCGACACAGATGAGGACGATCTTCGGCGAGGACCCACATCCCTGTATCTCGTCACTGCCGTCCCCGCAGTCGTCGAAGCCGTTGCAGGTCACGTACTTCGATACACAACGCTTATTTTTACAGTGAAACTTCTCCGGTGGACACGTGCCTGGAACAAAACATGCATCACAGTGAGTTGGGTTTAACGCCGCTTTAAACAGCGTTCACGCTGTATCACGTCGTGTCAGCTGAATGTTGGAGGAAAGCCCGAAGTGATGCAGTGATGTAGCTTTACTACTTTGGTTTAATCCACGAGCTCGGTATTGGTGCTGACAAACCTAGAAACATAATTGGTGCGAATCGGGATTTGAACCCACGATCATAGGTTCCTGGCGTGCCCAAGGGACGCAACTCTGAACAACAAATTGCGGCGCTTTAGAAGATTGAGCCACCTGTGGCCCCATTACAGAGTCACGTGGAGTACATATGGAGTTCCTTCTTGAAATACAGTTGTTTGTTTGAATCTATTACAAATAAAAGCGACAAAACCATTTCCATCATCACAAGAAACATCTGCTTAAAGCAGAGTCCATTGTGCGATTCCGACTATTTAATAAATGAGTGTTTATGAATCACCATCAAATTTTGATGTCGTTGTACAAAACAACCTTAGAGCTAAGACTATGTTAAGGTATGGGAGTTCAGATCAACTTAGCGCTAAGATAGCTTTGTACAACGGCACCCATGTGTTCGCGAAATGAATAGCGTATCCTGCATCCACCGGTGGCTCCCGTCACAAACACATGCGAAGGCAGGGCCTGTGGATTAAGGGTTACACTATATTCCAGCAAGCATCTTCCCGAGGCAAGGGAGTTAACTGAATACTGGACTTTTACAATCAGTTAACATCCTTGCCTCGGGAAGTTGCCCAGCATCCTGTGTTTGACGTACGGAACGATCAGTGAGTGAGTGAGTATGGTTTTACGCCGCTTTTAGCAATATTCCAGCAATATCACGGCGGGGGACACCAGAAATGGGCTACACACATTTTACCAATGTCGGGAATCGAACCCGGGTCTTCGGCGTGACGAGCAAACGCTTTAACCACTAGGCTACCCGATCGCCCCTACGGAACCATCCTCCCGAGGCAAGAGAGTTAACTGACTTTAAAAGTCCAGTTTCCACCCTTGCCGAACTAGGCTGGAATTACTGGGCACGATCGTAGCGCCACCAGTGGCTATTGCCAGTTATGTCCCTTTTAAGCCTCTCCTATGGACCAATCAGATTCCACCTCTCGTATCACTTGCGTTTGCTTCACACAAAATGGTGGCGCCGAGTCAGGACGATCTGATCGATAATCAAGATCTATATTGTGATAAAACGAGTCTTACATCGCGAAGTGCATCAAATCACGTGAGCACCTTGATTAAAAACATGAAAAGATTTAGAAAATATATGTTGACAACGAGTTAGCGGTGCACATGCTTTGCAAATCCTGCAATCGACCGAAATCTGCATGACAGTTTACGAACCGGATTTTGATTTCGGAGCGCGATTTTGATTGGACTATGCATAGACTCGTTAGTCCAGCCAAAATGTAACTCCATAATACCAGCCTAGTTCGGCAAGGGTGGAAACTGGACTTTTATAGTCAGTTAACTCTCTTGCCTCAGGAAGATGCTACGGAACGATCAAGTGGATATACTGATCGTGCCATCGTACCCCGATGGCGTGGGTCGTTGCTCGTAATATCAATCACCGGTCACTCGATTATTTACAGGTCAACGTCATTTAGCTGGAAGATTTATACGAAATAAATATTGCATCAATATTAACAATCAATCAGACTTCCTGTATCAAAATATAGTTTTAGGAACTTCCTCTCAAATATCCTGATCATTTACAAGCAGATAGCAGAAAGACACCTGACCCATGAAGATCCGGATTAGAATAGGTCTTCAGCAACCCACGTTTGCCGTAAGAGGCGACTATGCTTGTCGTCATAGGCGACTAACGGGATCGGGTGGTCAGGCTCGCTGACTTGGTTGGTGCATGTCATCGTATCCCAATTGCGTCGATCGATGCTCCTGATGCCAATCACTGGTCCAGACTCGATTATTTACAGACTGCCGTCATATAATTCGAATATTGCTGAGTGCGGCGTTAAACAACAAACAAACAAACAAACAAACAGAAAGACACCCATGTCTTCATTCCTACTCCAGTTACAAGAGTAGCTGAGTGAGTTTGTCTTTACGTCACGTGTCGTTGGTCAGTTTTGATGTAAGAGATCCCTTTGGGATCAGACATAATGATACATGAAGTAGACGGCGATCTCTTTGATGAAACTCTATGTATGGGGCTGGTACCAAGGATCATAATGGGTCGAGCTTGGAGTATTAAGGTCTCTCAATGGCGGCTGTAGTCCTACCACTGCAGTTAGTATGTTAAACAACGATCGCTTTGTGCAATGGGACCTGGACGAATAGGAACAGAGCTATACACTTGGAAAAAGGTTAAGCTCCGCATTCTATACATTTCCATATAAAAAAGTCAGTTTTTGAAATCGTTACTCTTTAACATTATGACAAAACATACATTTTTGTTTACGAAGTGACGTACACGTCTTGAAATAAAGAACAGATATCAATTATCTAATGATATATTTTGTTGCCTCTCCACGCCAACAGGTATTTGATATTTCCCAAAGATAAATGAAAGGTTGACATATATGAAAATACACAAGGGATGGTGCTTTCAGGTGCACTTATTATTTAGCCACTAAATCAAACCCCTAAAATATGATGTATTTAACTTACGAATAAAGGATTCAGTTTGTCAACAAAGCAGTGGTAATTATTACTGACCGTTGCTGTGTGATATCGTCGTGACGAGCATGTCAAAGTTGCCTTGTTGCTCGGAGGAGTCTGTGTAGAATTCAAACGTCAGAGTGCTTCCCCCTGACTCAAACTGTCCGGTAGGGGTCACTTCTCCACAGTTACCATCGGGACCTTGAACGAAATTAAGCAACGGTTAGAGCACATGGACCTGGTGTCTTGTTGAAATCTAATCGTTAGTTAAAATCCTATTTGAGGTCTGAGTGCACTAACCCATCCTGGCCAACAATTATACGCGCCTAACATGTTAACACGTTGCTTTGATGTAACGCAATTATTAAGATAGTTAAGAACTCTGTGAACACTGCGAGTCGCGATCGGCCAAGAAATGCACGTGAAATTTGTTCCCGGAGCCTTCAGCACGTGCACTTCGACGTTTGGCGACTCGGGCAATGAAATACATGGGCCGAGGCAAGTGTGTTATTAAAGTACTCATTGAAATGAAAAAAAACGTTTTTGCTGGATTTAATAATCGACACAAAGCATTACGTAGATGTAAATACGAAATAACAAAACAACTGGAAAAGTACTAGTCTGGTTTTGCTATTTTTATCTCAGTGCTCAATACAAAATGTACTTTACAGGAGATAATTTGTAGGCACTTTCAACATTAAAAAATAAAACTAAGTCCAAATTGACATGGCAGAAACAGGCTATAGGCATTATGCAAATTAGCCTGGAAATTTTTTCATCAAAACAACAATAAAAATTACAGCTATGCTTATGTACATAATAATAATGACATGTAAGTTGTTGTTTGAGAAGGGAATATGTTTCTGACTGTATAATGCCAGAAGATCCGGTGTGTTTTAAATAGCATCTGGAATATATCTGATGCATGGGGGAATCGTATGTGAATCATTACGCAACGAGTTGACAATTCTTTTAGCTATGTCCGTGTGCGCTTAGACGGAACCCAGTCGCAAAAATGGCCACAAGAAAGGCACGAGTGGCTATTCTGTTTGTCCCGTATTAACACGAGATGGTCACGAATGCGCCATGACTGTGGAATTTATATGCTAGTATAGATATTTTTTACAAAAAGCCTTAGCGCGACTAGATCAAACTAAACCAAGTCTAATTTCCTTGATTCCACATATTAAAACAGCAGAAGAGAAAAGGTTCTTTTGAAGAATGAAATACAATTTCTTTTAGAGAAATGTCTTCATAGAGTGTTAGTCAAGCATGAATTCACAGTTTACCAACTGAAGCAGATTTATATCAAAAGCCTAAATGACAGTTGACCATGTTGATGTGCCTTTTTTTACATTTTACGTTTTAACTGCAAAAATAAAGTTTTAACATGAGATTAGACAGTAAGTAGGTTATGACACAATGACCAGAATTTATAATTCTGGAACTCAAGGTGGCTGAACATTCCGAAATGAAATATTATGTGTAGAGCTCCTGCCGCAAGACCCGGAAAGTTGGAGTACGTTTGGTGGATTTATACTTGAGTATGATCAATTTGAAAAGAATTAGAATTACATTTTTTATCATTTTTTTTCTGTGACAAAAAACAACAAGAATTCGTTTCCTTTGACGAAACAACTAATATCATACTACGTTCAAGTATAGAATAAAACCTAATGCTGAATAAAAGTGTGCAATTCGCTCTGCAGTGTTGCGTTCCTTCGGCACGCCAGAAAACCGTGTTTCTAGGTTCGAAACCAAATTCGCCCAATTATGTTTCTTGGTTTGTCAGCACCATACCCGTGCTCGTGAGATTCACTCACGTTGCTGGTAATATCAATCACTGGATAGACTTCTCCCAAAACAATTGATGATTGCCGTGTTAAACAACAAACACACTGTTATCAGCATTAACGAACGACGAAAATGAAAGGATGTCATCATACAGCATCACCATAAGCAATATGTCAATAGTGACCATACAATCTAGTGATTGACATCATGAGCATCAATCCACACAATAAGGATACGATGATCAATCATGTCAGCGAACCTGAACCCGTTATTCACCTCTTACGACAAGCATAGTCACCTCTTACGGCAAGCATGGGTTGCTGAAGACCTATTCTAACCCGGATCTTCACGGGCATATAATGTAGTTTGGTATTCACCATTCAGCAATGTCCCATTAGATGCATAAATCTTAAGACCATTCGTCCTACACCCGTCACTGCCGACGGTGTCCATGTCCCTGTATAGCGTCAGGAGCATATCCCCGGCAGGGTCCGCCCCTACGACGATTCTGCACGTCCAGTTGACCTTGAGAGGTAGGACAGGGTCAGCGGTCAGCTTAATTCGCATGTCATACACGGAACGGATTGTGAGGTCGCATTCTTCGTTCAGGTAGTCTGAAATATCAAGCAAGTTGCGAACACACTTTTTAAAAGGGCACATGCTAGTTAGGTTTTATTACTTATTCTATGAAGATTTTGGTAAGTTCTCTTTTCTGACTGCTCAACTAGAGGTTTCAAATCACAATAACCACCTCTGGTTGAAACAGCTGATTTTGAAGGCGGATGTTTATATTTATAGAAAAAGTACTCTTTTATCAATAATTGCCGGTTGGCATTTTGGAATGATAAGTATATTCTAGGTTTATCACCCGAGTCCCCTACACGTGAAAGGTCTGTGTATAGCTACCATCTGCTGACGTGTATATATGGCGTTGTCTAAACGTCGCGGGCCCTTTTCGCGATCACCCGCTATCATCACTGATTTTTCATTAACATCATGATCCCCTACTTTTTTTAAAGAGTATATTACAAGGAAAAGCTCAATGCAATAGGAAGTTATTTGAAAAGGGTATTGTTTATGTATTCCTCCATGTGCACGGGTGGCCCAGTCGTCTGAGATGCCGTCCCTTGGACGCACAAGGAAGCTATGATTGTGGGTACGAATCCCGGTTCGGCTGGATAATGATTTTACGTTTGTCAGCACCATACCTGTGCTCGTGGGTTTCACCGAAGTGGTAAATGACTCAATCCTTCAACACGTCGTGCTTTCCTTCGTGTCATAACTGGAATTATGTTCAAAGCGGCGTTAAAACCAACTTACTCACTCATTTTCGCAATATGGACCTGCGTATCACCCGGTGTCTGTTAAGTTGTGGTTGTTTTTAAATGTAGTAATGAAATCCCTTTGCATGTTATCATTAATAGTGAGTGAGTTGTTTAACGCCGCTTTGAACAGTATTCCAGTCATATCACGGCGTGTCAGCTTCATGTGGGGGGAAAGCCCGAAGTGATGCAGGTCTTATCTTAAGATAACTAGACCTCATAAGAAACGATCTCCAGTTGGTGCAATGAAGATGTTCCTTCATCTGGCGTGCCATAAATTAAAGAGTTCTTCAGTTTTGTTTTTGTTTGTTTGTTTGTTTTAATTGTTTGTTGTTAAACGCCGCACTCAGCAATATTCCAGCTATATGACGACGGTCTGTAAATAATCGAGTCTGGACCAGACAATCAAGTGATTGGCATCATCCACGCAATTGGGATACGATGCCATGCATCAACCAAGTCAGCGAGCCTGACCACCCGATCCCGTTAGTCGCATCTGACGACAAGCATAGTCGCGCTACGATCGAGCCCAGGAATTCCAGCCTAGTTCTGCAAGGGTGGAAACTGGACTTTCATAGTCAGTTAACTCTCTTGCCTCGGGAAGATGCGTCGGGGTACGGTGATATGAGATTAACCAAATCGCCAAACCCGACCACTGGATCCATTAAATGTACAAGAAACATGTATGTTGCAGGGACCAACTCTGACCCGGAATTCCCATTTGGTTGTTCCTACCCGTGAAGATCCGGGGTAGAATAGGTCTTCAGCAATCCATGCTTGCCGTACAATGCGACTATGCCTTTTGTCAGAGGCGACTAACGGGATCAGATGGTCAGGCTCGCTGACTTGGTTGATGCATGTCATTGTATCCAAATTGCGTAGATCGATGCTTATGATATCAATCACTGTATTGCCTGGTCAAGCATCGATTATTTACAAACCGCCGTCACATATCTGGAATATTGCTGAGTGCCGCGTAAACAACAAACAAACAAACACACGTTTGGTTGTTCCTATAATAACAACATATACTCACGTATCGTAGGAAAATGCGTAATGCCTGTCACACTGCCTTGAAATGTACACACACCAAGGAGAACACCCACGAAACAGATCCACGTTTCCATATCCTGTCAGTCAGCTTCGATACTAATCCTACACAATATCGTGACGATGAAATTTTGGCCAGGGAAGGAGATAGTGACGGGACACGGGTAAAGCTATGTGTGATACACATCACGCATGTATGATATATACATTGTCTATCACCGTGATAAGATATCACCGTGGTGTGATGTCAGCGGGCCATTGATACGGAGCTGGTTTGACTATGGACGGTTCAGACTGCATTAACAACACTCCTATGCTGTTTAGTCAGAGCTATTATTTAACAAGGTCAGTGAACATGTGATCAGGATGTAATACGTTTAAATATAAACATGCGTTTTGACTACGAAGAGATGGATTCATGAATGGAGCTTCGTTATAAGTACAGTTTCACTTCCGCTCGAAATAGAGGTTGAAAGGCTGAATGAATCCTGAGTACGTCCGCGTATTTTACCAATCATGATGAGTGAGTCAGTGAGTTGGGCTAACGCCACTTTTAACATTATTCCAGTTATATCACGGCGTGTCAGCTTAATGTGGGAGGAAAGCCCGAATAGATGCAGGTCTCAGACGTTTACCACTTCGGTGAAACCCACGAGCTGGTGCTGACAAACCTAGAAACATAATCGGGGCGAACCGGGATTCGAACCCACAATCATAGGTTTCTGGCGTGTTCAAGGGACGCAACTCTGCACAGCGAATCGCGGCGCCTTAGACGACTCCAAATCATGATGAGTGAGTGAGTATGGTTTTACGCCGCTTTCAGCAATATTCCAGCAATATCATGACCGGGTACAGCAGAAATGGGCTTCACACATTGTGCGCATTGCGGGAATCGAACCCGGGTCTTCGGCGTGACGAGCGAACGCTTTAACCACTAGGCTACCCCACCTCCCCAAAACATGATGAGCTTGGAATAATTAATTTAACCGCATTCTTTACAGTGTTTGTTTCTTGGTTGTTTAACACCGCACTCAGCAATATTGTACTTGCCGTAAAAGGCGACTATGCTTGTCGCAAGAGGCGACTAACGGGATCGGGTGGTCAGGCTCGCTGACTTGGTTGATGCATGTCATCGATCCCGCATGCGTTGAGCGATGCTCATGATATCAATCACTTGAGTGTCTGTTCCAGACTTGATTATTTACATACCGCCGTCACATAGCTGGAATATTTCTGAGTGCGGCGTTAAACAACAAACAAACAAACAAATTTAGTCATATGACGGCGGCAGGTAAATAATCTGGACCAGACAATCCAGTGATTGATGTTAGGAGCATTGATCCCGATGTTAGAGTACGATGGCATGCAATCATACAAGTCACTGAACCTGACCAACCGATCAACAAAGTCGCCTCGGACGACAAGTATGGGTTGAAGGGGACCTATTCTAACCCGAATCCCAAGGATTTTTGTATAGTGGAACCTCGTTTATCCGGATGACCTTGTATCTGGAGACCGACTTCAGAGTGGATGCTGGTGGCAAGACTGTAAATTACTCGCCATTGCATCTGATTAAATTAGCCAGCAATCTCATTAACATCATATCTTAGTGCTCGCTACCGCTGAAAGTTACGTTTAGCAGTTGTGAAAACTAGATTCTGATTTTAATAAGAATGGATTAACTGGAAATCATTACGTCATAATGCATGATGTGACGTTTATCGTCGATCCCGTGACGGTAAAATGCAAATTACACAGGGAAAGTCTACGCACAGCTGTTAAGCTTGTAACACATACAAGGTTAAATAGGGTTTAACGTCGCATTCAAGATTATTGCACTTACATGTATATAGCGACGTACATGCACGTGTGTGTGTGCGCGCGTGCGTGCGTGTGTGTGTGGCTGCCTGTACTAGTCCGGACTAAGGCCGATTTATAGTGCTAGCCAGCTGAGATACCATGCCGCAGTTTAACATGAATACCCCACTCAGACACAGTATACTGACCAGTCCTTGTTTTAATCCCATAATGCCCAGCGCCATGGTAACAACCCGACCTTCCGCTCTCCAGGCGGACGCTCTGCCACTAGACAACGGAGGCGTTAGTAACAAATACAAATCCCCGTACGACATATTTTATTCACATTAAAACAGCACAAATATCTCTTGGCACGTTATGAACTTACTTATTATGAAGAACGATTACATGCACGCTGATGCATAATTCTTACAGACAGTTGGACGCTGACCATTGGGTTTTTACTGGGGGAAGGATGTGAAGAGCTGATATTTTTTTAAAGGAATAATTCTTCACAAAAATGTTCACTGAATGGTCACATTAACAACAAATATTGTTTTAAATATGTGTCGAACAAACATCCTACTTCAAACTGACACAAACCTATATCATTATCGATATTCAAATTATGTTGAGTGTAATTGAAATATTATTGTCAAGTGTTCAGGAAATAATATCCCTCTCGTTGGCGCACTTTTAAACTGTCATGACACGAGTTCAGAGACTATTGTTTAACGCCACATTCAGCAAATATTCAAGCTCTCTAAATAATAGGGGTCTGGAATATTGCTGAATGTGGCGTTAAACAACAGTTCCACCTCTCTAAATAATCCAGGCGACTATGCATGTCGTAAAAGGCGACTATGCTTGGCGTAAGAGGCGACTAACGGGATCGGATGGTCAGGCTCGCTGACTTGGTTGATGCATGTCATCGATCCCATCGATGTCAATCACTGGATTGTCTGGTCCAGACTCGATTATTTACAGACCGTCGTCATAAAGGTAGAATATTGCGGCGTTAAACAACACACAAACAAACTCTAAATAATCGGCAAGCCAGTGATTGATACAACTGCAGCATGCAAACTATCAATAATATCGATTATAAAGAATCAGCATGATCATCCACTGTGGAAACATGATCCCCATTAAGTCTTTATTGAATCTGCGCGTACAACCGCTGTGCTCTCCTTTTTTTGATGACGACAATGATGCTCGTCACGGTGACGACACAAAGTATGCCCCCAATAGAGATAATGAGAATCTCCAAAATGCTTAGACGACACGCAGTAGTTTCATCGGAGTTGTCCCCACAGTCGTCGTAATTGTTACAGATGACGTCGCTGGAAACACAGTTGTCGTTGCTGCAGTGGTACTCATGGTGACCGCAAGAACCTGAAGTGTAACATCGAGTAACATTGTGTAACATAGCGTAACATTTGACGGTCAATACAATATAAAAGTAGATCGTATATGTGTGGTTATCAAATCCTTCGTATAAGGGGGCACGGGTGGCCCAGTCGTCTAAGGCGCCGCGATTCGCTGTGCAGAGTTGCGTCCCTTGGGCACGCCAGAAACCTATGATTGTGGGTTCGAATCCCTGTTCACCCCGATTATGTTTCTAGGTTTGTCAGCACCATACCCGTGCTCGTGGGTTTCACCGAAGTGGTAAACGCCTAAGACCTGCATCACTCCGGGCTTTCCTCCCACATTAAGCTGACACGCCGCGATATGACTGGAATACTGTTAAAAGCGGCGTTAAACCCAACTCACTCACTCACTCACTCACTCACTCACTCACTCATAAACATAGATGTTCAGGGGGCACATATGGCCCAGTCTTCCCAGCTGTGCAGAGTTGCGTCCCTTTGGTACATCAGAAACCTATGATTGTGGGTTCGAATCCCGGTTCGCCCCGATCATGTGTCTAGGTTTTTCAGCACCATACCCGTGCTCGAAGGTTTCACCAAAGTCGTAAACGTCAGAGATCAGACCTGCATCACTTGGGGCTTTCCTCCCATATCAAGCTGACAGGTGATATAATTGGAATACTGTTCAAAGCGATGTTAAACCCAACTCACTCACTCGCTCATATATATTTTTTTGATTGCACCCACTGAAATGTAAATTCTAAACATCACCGCCTGAAGAAGAATAAGTCGCAATTATCTGCAGAATCCATGGGCGTGAAAGCGAAAACAGTGTTAACGTTATATAAATAGATAACTGAAATCAGATATCACACCAGCCGTTCGTAAACACAATGCTAATCTATGAAGCATGTGAAAAGTTCGGTTGTATGAAAAAGCAACTACCTTACGTATGATAAAACACGTGCGAAAACTTGTTTTCAATTTAATAGGGCATGGGCATGTTGAACTTTTGGTAGCATATCTAAAGGTTCTAAATTATTGTGTACGAGTAATTTAAGAAGCAATTGTGGTCTGACATTTTTTCGTCTAAATGAATAAAACAGCGACAGTGAATTAATTTGTAGTATTATTCTAATTGTTCAGAGATAATTTGACTGGAAAATAATAATAAGTAGAAGATTGATCTTATGCCATCCGCAGTGAGTGAGTATAGTTTAACGCCGCTTTTTGCAATATTCCAGCAATATCAAGGCGGGGGACACCAGAAATGGGTGAGTGAGTGAGTATGGTTTTACGCCGCTTTTAGCAATATTCCAGCAATGTTACGGCGGGGGACACCAGAAATGGCCTTCACACATTGTACCCATGTGGGGAATTGAACCGGGGTGTTCGGTGTGATGAGCGAATACTTTAACCACTAGGCTACCCCACTGCCCTTTGCTATCCATAGCATATCATAACAATATGCATAATTGAATACCTAAAGAAAATTAAGTACTTTAATTTAAATATCTCAAACTAAAAATAACTAGAGATTTATTCTGGCATCAGGACTTCTGAATAACCAGGTTTCATTGAATTACAGTATGAATAGTCCAATACCTAACGAAGGGGGGGGGGGAGGAAGCAGTTGTCAGTGAGTGAGTGAACGATTATGGTTTTCGCCGCCTTGAACAATATTCTAGCAATAGCACGACCGGGGACACCAGAAATGGGCTTCAAACATTGTCCCTTTATGGTGAATTGAACCCGGGCATTCGGCGTGACGAGCGTACGCTTCAACCACTAAGCTACCCCATCTACCAGTTATGAATGAAGGCAGCATGTTTTTACCATCCTTAGCGAGTCTGAATGAAGATATGAGAAACTTGAACCCCCCGGGCTCCGTCACACCCTCGTCCTTGTGGTACTCCCACCAGGAGTAGACCCCGGAGGTGTTCAGCGTGGGTCGGGACAGGTGCTCGCCACATATCCACGGAGGTTCTGGAATGGAGTATTACTGAAAGAATGATATCTAACGCCGTTGACAGCTAAGTCCAAGCTATATCATGACGGTTTATAAATAATCTAGTTTGGACCAGGCTGGTTGACGGCATGAGCATCGATCGACTCCGAGAACGATGACAAGAGTGAGTGAGTGAGTGAGTGAGTGATGACAAGAGTGAGTGAGTGAGTGAGTGAGTGAGTGAGTGAGAGTGAGTGAGTGAGTGAGTGAGTGAGTGAGTGAGTGTGTGAGTGCGTGCGTGCGTGCGTGCGTGCGTGCGTGCGTGCGTGCGTGCGTGCGTGCGTGCGTGCGCGAGCGAGCGAGTGAGTATAGTTTTACGCCGCTTTTAGCAATATTCCAGCAATATCACAGCGGGGACACCAGAAATGGGCTTCACACATTGTACCCATGTCGGGAATCGAACCCGGGTCTTCGGCGTGACGAGCGAACGCTTTAACCACTAGGCTACCCGACCGCCCGACAAGAGCAACTGGTCAAGCGTTGTGGCCACCCGTTCCTCAGAGTTGTCTGAGGACTGTGAATTTGTATATTCTGTCCTATAATCCCAACGGGGAGTTCATTGAATATGTTTGACATGTGAAGATGGCTACAAAATAAAATATTGGAAACGATCTGTCTTAGGAAGTCGTCTGTCATTTCCGAAATCTGGCGCTTAGATGTCCGGAAGTTGACGTCATCAGTTTCTGTGGTACACGTCATAAAACTGCTCACGCTCTATTTACATAATTTTAATTCTATTCTATAACTTCTGAGAATACAAAAAAGTTGCTATGAACTCCAGTACTATATCTGCCACGTTCTTCATGTTCAATGTTAATGGTTATTTACAGTTCTTTAAAAAATAGTGATATATACATGTATGCTTAATCCAAGTCAATCCATGAATTATATACATGATTAGTTGTGCAATGGCGGACATGGTTTCGCGAGCTAGGGGCCAACCATTTGTTATTTGGTAAAATAAATGAACTAATCATTTTGTCAAAGTACATTGTTTATAGATATACACGTTTTAATACATCGCCTTAATTCAACCAAAATTACAACTCGACCAAATACGCTGCATCCTTATATATGCTAACACGAAGTTATTTATTATTTTTTTGTCAAATTGTCATTCATTGTTTAGTTGATAACTGTTTAGTTACTATGTAGCTTGTATGCATAACAACATCTGTTATTAGTTATAGATGTATTGACATTGTAATATGCAACGGGAATTTCTTTTTTTAAATAAAATATAAATAATGGTGAAGATAGATTTCACCACTTACAATCAAGTCTACACTATAATGGAGAAGATATATATGTGCACTTACCATGAAGTCTACACTATAATGGAGAAGATATATATGTGCACTTACCATAAAGTCTACACTATAATGGAGAAGAAATATATGTGCACTTACCATAAAGTCTACACTATAATGGAAAAGATATATATGTGCACTTACCATGAAGTCTACACTATAATGGAGAAGATATATATGTGCACTTACCATGAAGTCTACACTATAATGGAGAAGATATATATGTGCACTTACCATAAAGTCTACACTATAATGGAGAAGATATATATGTGCACTTACCATAAAGTCTACACTATGATGGAAAAGATATATATGTGCACTTACCATAAAGTCTACATTATAATGGAGAAGAAATAAAAGTGCACTTACCATGAAGTCTACACTATAATGGAGAAGATATATGTCTGCACTTACCATAAAGTCTACATTATAATGGAGAAGATATTTATGTGCACTTGCCATAAAGTCTACACTATAATGGAGAAGATATATATGTGCACTTACCATAAAGTCTACACTATAATGGAGAAGAAATATATGTGCACTTACCATAAAGTCTACAATATAATGGAAAAGATATATATGTGCACTTACCATAAAGTCTACACTATAATGGAGAAGAAATATATGTGCACTTACCATAAAGTCTACACTATAATGGAGAAGATATATGTGTGCACCTACCATAAAGTCTACACTATGATGGAAAAGATATATATGTGCACTTACCATAAAGTCTACACTATAATGGAGAAGAAATATGTGTGCACTTACCATAAAGTCTACACTATAATGGAGAAGATATATATGTGCACTTACCATAAAGTCTACATTATAATGGAGAAGAAATAAAAGTGCACTTACCATAAAGTCTACACTATAATGGAAAAGATATATATGTGCACTTACCATAAAGTCTACACTATAATGGAGAAGAAATATGTGTGCACTTACCATAAAGTCTACACTACAATGGAGAAGATATATGTGTGCACCTACCATAAAGTCTACACTATAATGGAGAAGATATATGTGTGCACCTACCATAAAGTCTACACTATAATGGAAAAGATATATATGTGCACTTACCATAAAGTCTACACTATAATGGAGAAGATATATGTGTGCACTTACCATAAAGTCTACACTATAATGGAGAAGATATATATGTGCACTTACCACGAAGTCTACACTATAATGGAGAAGAAATATATGTGCACTTACCATGAAGTCTACACTATAATGGAGAAGAAATATATGTGCACTTACCATCAAATCTATAATACTATAATGGAGAAGATATATATGTGCACTTACCATCAAATCTACACTATAATGGAGAAGAAATATTTCACCACTTACCATAAAGTCTACACTATAATGGAGAAGAAATATATGTGCACTTACCATAAAGTCTACACTATAATGGAGAAGATGTTTTTCTGCACTTACCGTTGAGCGGTTTCGCGTCTGAGTTGAGTATGATCAGTGAGGTCTCGTTACAGAGGTCACTTGTCGTTATATTGATGCTGAGCGGAGTTATGAGGAGTCGCTGTGTCAACTCCTTCGTCATAACGACAACTCTACAAAACATCTCTGTCGAATCCGTCTCTGTACCGTTGTCTGTGAATTCTAGCAGCATGTCTTTCGTGAAGTCTATAGTGGTGCCACATTCCTGGTCGAAATAATCTGGAAGAAATAATATTTAAAGCAATAACAAACGTATTAATGAATTCTATCGTGATTAATATGAGCAATAAGGAGAAGCAGTACTAGATTATTCTGTTCAACGTTATTTGTAGTTTAACACGTTTAGCGTTAAGGTTCCAACAACGTCCCACGTCATCGGAGTACAATGGCACGCTGTTAACCAAATCATCCATTCTATATCTATTTCTAAAGCTTGATTTCGGTCAAGCATTTGTGAGTGAGTGAATGAGTGAGTGAGTTTAAAGCCGCGTTTAACAGTATTCCAGCTGTGTATTCCGGCGTATCAACTTAATGTGTGAGGAAAGCCCGAAGTAATGCAGGTCTCAGACGTTTACCACTTTGCTGCAATAAGTCCTCTTCACTGTCAACTATACGTTAACTGTCAACAAGTTGTCAGCGCATTAAAGCCAATCATATAAGCCAAGCATAGATCAGAGCATAGAGCTCTTCTATGTCCAAAGGTGGGAAAATGTTCACTTCTTTCAAACATCCACCAACTAGAGGCAGATGAATGGATAATTCTGATGTAATAATCATCTACTTGACAGTAGATCTCAGATCCCTTGTAGTTCCAATATTAACAAATGTTTCCCAAACATATTATGTAAAACTTCCTATTGCATCACCTCAAGAGGAATTGAAAGCTACAATCATGAAGATATACAAACATGTGGTACCTTCACTCACTTTACCGTTATCTTTGATGTTACACATGTTAATGTCGTCACTATATGTTATAAAACGATCTCTCAGACCGTAACACGTAAAATCTGCTGAAAACGAACGATATCATGGAATAGCAATAATAGTTTGGCCATAAAGTTGGTTACAACGCCGCTTTGAGTTGTTTGTTTGTTTGTTTGTTTGTTTGTTTGTTGTTAAACATCGCACTTTTCATTAATCCAGCTTTATGACGGCGGTCAGTAAATAATCGAGTCTGGGCCAGACAATCCAGTGATTAACAACACAAGCATCTTTCCATGCAATTGTGGCACGATGGCATGCATCAACCAAGTCAGCGAACCTGACCACCCGATCCCGTTAGTCGCCTCTTACGCCAAGCATGAGTTGCTGAAGACGTGTTCTTCCCGGGTACTATAGGTAGAGACATTGCACAAAATCGTGGTATTGACGTAACATGATTGGCGAGAATCAGCCAAGAGGTCAGCGAGGCTGATCACCCAATCCCGTTAGTCGCCTCTTACGACAAGCATAGTCGCCTTTTACGGCAAGCATGGGCTGCTGAAGATCTCTTCCGACCCAGATCATCTTTGAACAGTATTCCAGTTACATCACGACGTGTCAGCATATTGTGCAACTGAGCCCGAAGTGATGCAGGTTTCAGACTTGTATGACTTTGGTGAAACTCCCAAGTTTGGGTATGGTGCTTACAAGTCTAATAACATACGCAGGAACAATTTGGGATTCGAACCCCCGATCACCGGTCTCTGGCACAAGAAAGGTCCGTAACTCTGTACAGTTAATTGCGACGCCTTAGACGACTAGACCACACCTGAAATCACTTGAAACTGACAGCGCATTACAATCCGATATTGTCCTGTCTTAATAAACCAAATGTCATACTCACAGGTCGTTGGTGTGTAAGTACATCTTCCTAAATTATATAATGCAATGTAACTAAATAGCATGAAGATCCTAGCAGCCATGTTGTCGAGACAGTATTCAGTATTTCCTCTTCATGTTGGTCAAGTTTCTCCCCAGGTCAAACTAGGAACGTTATCGCTACACGTGACGGTGATAAGTTGTCGCAATGGCGGGCAGTTGATGCTACGTCTACCTCATTATCTATTGTAGTCTATACCTGTTTACACACAACCGATTCGACTTCAACATGCATAATTGCCCCATGTGATTATAGACCTGTTTACACATAACTGATTCGACATTAATACGCTTAATTGCTCGATAAGATAGTATACCTTTTTACACATACGATTCGACATTAACATGCATAATTGCCCTGTGTGAATGTAGGCCTGTTTACACATAACCGATTCGACGTCAATATGATTAATTGCACGATATGATAGTAGACCTGTTTGCACATAACCGATTCGACTTTAACATGCATAATTGCCCCATGTGATTATAGGCCTGTTTACACATAACCGATTCGACGTCAATATGATTAATTGCACGATGTAATAGTGGACCTGTTTACACGTAACCGATTCGACTTTAATAATCTTAATTGCGCGATGTGATCGTAGACCTGTTTGCACATAACCGTTTCGACGTGAATATACTTAACTTACCAATAGTGGACATGTTTACACATAAACGATTCGACTTTCCATTGCTTGATACACGAAATAATGGCAGCCGATTTTCAACATAAACGATTCGATTTTAATTGGCTTGATACCTGATGACAGCCAGCAAAATATATGCAACAGGACATAAATTTCTGTATCCAACGAAACCCTTGCCCAATGGAAAGGTCAAATTCTAAAACGGATACCTTTGAGGTTTGAATTTTCTCTAAAATAATTGGACATATAGGGTTATACGTGGCTCAGAAATTTGCGTCCAAAACGCACAAAAGTATAGAATGAACGCAGAAAAGAATATATAGTGCATCCCGAAAGACGTAAATTAATACTCATTGTTGCAAAATTCTTGGCAAGAAACATAAAAATCCTGTAATTACAGTAATTATAAAATCTTTCAGTACAATACATCATTTCATTGCTTTACAGGACCCAGATATTTCCTGTAAGTACTCTTGAAATTAGTAATCATGAAATAAAACGTTCAAGAGAAAATTCTGTATAGCTATGACCCGTGAAGATTCGAGTTAGAATAGGTCTTCAGCAACCCATGCTTGCCGTAACAGGCGACTATGCTTGTCGTAAAAGGCGACTCACGGGATCGGGTGGTCAGGCTCGCTGACTTGGTTGATGCATGGCATCGTATCCAAATTGCGTGGATCGATGTTCATGATGTTAATCACTGGATTGTCTGGTCCAGACTCGATTATTTACAGACTGCCGTCATACATCTGGAATATTGCTGTGTGCGGCGTAAAACAACAAACCAAACCAAACCAAATCTGTATAGCTATAAGTTCGTGACCCAATATGCTGTATTAACACGTGACTCTACTGTGATTACCTCTTCAGCAACCCAAGCTTGCCATAAAAGGCGACTGTGCTTAGCGTAATAGGCGACTAATGGTATCGGGTGTTCAGGCTCGCTGACTTGGTTGATGCATTTCATCGTAACCCAATTGCCTTAGATCGATGCTCATGATGTCAATCACTGGTCCAACCTCGATTATTTACAGACCGCCGTCATTTAGCTGGAATATTGCTAAGTGTGGCGTTAAACAACAAACAAACAAGCAAAAATTGTGATTACCTACACCTCATAAGAACATCAAAATGGACAAATATTTGGTTTCGTTCATGTGGTGTTTGAAACATTGTAAACAAAGCATTGGTTTATTTCCCCACATACGTACAATGTGTGAAGCCAGTTCTTGGTGGCCCTGTACTGTTGTATTGTTGACGGTGTCATAAGCCTCACTCACTCACTCAAATACCACTCACTCAAACAGTCACTCAAACACCACTCACAATCAATCAACACTCACTCAAACATTACTTCATACATTCTCTCAACACCCGAAATACTCAACCACGTACTCAACCGCCAACTAATCGCTCACTCAACCACCCGCTCAACCATTCACTCAACCACTCTCAACCCCTCACTCAAATACTACTCATTCACTCAAACACTCATTAAATCACCACTCACTCACTCAAACACTCATTCAATCACCACTCAGTCACTCAAACACTCAAACATTACCTCATACAACCGAACTATTCAACCACGCACTCAACCACCCGCTCAACCATTCACTCAATCACTCTCAACCCCTCACTCAATTACTACTCGTTCACTCAAACACCCACTCAAATACCACTCATTCAAATACACTCACTCAATCACCATTCACTCACACAACACTCACTCAAACACTCACTCAAACACTCACTCAATCAATCACTCAAACACTCACTAAAACACTAACTCAAACACTCACTCAAACTCTCACTCAATCATCACCACTCACCCAAACAGTCACTCAAACACCACTCACAAACACTCAAACATTACCTCATACACTCTCACATCAACCGAAATACTCAACCACGCACTCAACCGCTCAACTAATCGCTCACTCAACCGACCTCTCAAGTATTCACTCAATCACTCTCAACCCCTCACTAACACACTCACACACTCACTCAATCAACACTCACTCAACACTCACTCATCTACCCTCTCAACGATTCACTCAATCACTCTCAACCCCTCACTCACTCACACACTCACACACTCACTCAATCACCACTCACTTAACACTCACTCTACACAGTCACACGTTCCTTCGAGTAGTCACTGTCTGTGAATCAGCAGCCTTCATTCATTCAATTCATGTACATGTCTCTGGTTTTCATCTTAAAGTGACAAATACATTCACTGTCGCATTAACAATTGCTTTGAATGTCATTTAACTGTTCTGTAAGGTATATTATGAACGAGTACAACACCATTATCGATAGCCGATGGGCAGATTAAATACGGTCAAAGGTCGACACGTCTCCGAATACATGTCAATTTATAACTACCTCTACTGAACCTAACACAAATCATATTAGTTCAAAATGTCAACACTTCGGGTGTGTATACGCTGGTTTTTTTGGTTTTTTAGGTGCCGCGTATATTTGAATCTATCAAGACAAGGCTCGTTTAGAATTTAACAAGTATGCCTGGCCTGGTAGTGTACGCTCACGGTTGTCGAAATGTTTGTTGAGGACATCATGTTCTGTAATACAATACGCGCACAGTTGTCGAAATGTTTGTTAAGGACATCATGTTCTGTAATGCGATACGCGACGCACCTTGATATATTTCATTATCGAAACACGTAAGTTCACAGAGTGATCAAGACATGTGCTGTATGATTCGTTTATCACCAGAACAATCATCATATGTAGTCTTTCCCATTAGTATCTAACTTCAGAATACATGCATAAATATACCAAATACGCCACGGTTACGTTTATGTGATCGCTGTGACCGACCGAGTGAGTGAGTTGGGTTTAACGCCGCTTTTAACAGTATTCCAGTTATATCACGGCGTGTCAGCTTAATGTGGAAGGAAAGCCCCAAGTGATGCAGGTCTCAGACGTTTACCACTTCGGTGAAACCCACGAGCACGGGTATGGTGCTGACAAACCTAGAAACATAATCGGGGCGAACCGGGATTCGAACCCACAATCATAGGTTTCCGGCGTGCCCAAGGGACGCAACCCTGCACAGCGAATCGCGGCGCCTTAGACGACTTGGCCACCCGTGCCCCCTGTGACCGACCGAATACTTGTATCTCCTCTATACCCATGAGTGTGTGTTTGTCGTTTAACGCTGCACTCTGCAGTATTCCAGCTAAAGGATGCCGGCCTAGAAATAATCGAGTCAAGACCAGAAAATCCAGTGATCGATATTGTGAGCAACGATTAACGCAGGCGGTGCACGATGACAGGCCATACACCATGTGTTCCTAACATTACCAGACAGCCGAACAATACCATTGCATGTATAACTTGTAGTGTTCAGCCATAAAAGTGAGTATAAACTGTAAAATATAAGAATGAGGGAGTGAGGTTTTACGCCGCCTATAGCAGATTTCCAGCTATATCACGACGGGGGACACCATGAATGGGCTTCACACATTGCGGCCTTATCGAGAATAGAACCCAGATGTATAAATGACTCATCTTGAACCTTGTTGCTCTTTTAAAATCATTCTGTGGACAACAGTCAAGAAATTCCCATCGTTTTTGTCGATGGTACAAGGTTTTTTAAGATAAAATAAAGTAAATTCTTATAGCAAATTTGATCAATAAGGATTCAACACCATGAACAGTCACAACATGTAATAAAACATCCTTCGCCCAAACTTCCTGTGGATTCGAACTCGAATCTTGGCCGTGACGAATGATTACAATCGGCCCACATCAAAGATAGGAATTTTGTAAGCGATATATACAACACGACACGATATGTTCAATGGTCCGCATTGACTCTCTCCATGTTATCAACGACCTCTCCTTGATTACTTTCAGTGATAACCTTTACACCATATCCAACTAGCACGCCAACACTATACCCTGACAGGGAGCGATACGTGAACAATAATAACAGTTTGAAACACAATGGAGCTTTATGTTAGTATTATTTTGCTGGTAATGATAGGCACACGTGGGGTCAGTCTGGCTCAGAAAAACACACCAACGACATGTAAGTACTTTTTTGCCTTAAATTAGTGGTGTATTTATGTGTTACACTTAAACCGAAGGATTGCTATACTTGCGTAATACAATACGTTAGCCCAGTGGTCTAAATAACATGTCACGTAAGTACTCTATGACATTATATCGGTTTTAGTGAGTATGGTTTTACGCCACTTTTAGCCATATTCCAGCCATATTGTGGCGGGGGACACCAGAAATCGGCTTCACACATTGTACCAAAGAGGGGAATCGAACCCGGGTCTTCGGCGTGAAAGTGAACGCTTTAACCACTAGGCTACCTGTAATCTATGAATACCCTAACCGAAACATGTGCATTCTCGTCTTTTCCGCGACTCTATCTTTTAATGTTTGCCTTTTTCTAAATACATGTGTTACTCATTCACATATAGTAATCAGGAGTAATGTGTCACGCTGCACTCTGCAATATCCCAGCTATATCAAGACGGCCTGTGCGGACGATTGGATAACAAATTTGACTCCTAAAGTATCACATTTACGATGCTGCATATATCGGCTAATAATCTTTTTGTATCTGTAAGGGTGCGCTATATTGTGACTGTTATATTCCTTATCAGGACGTTTATGCTTCACACTTTATCCTACATTCTATATATGTATGTTTAATGTTGATATGTTATGCTTTATCACTTATGTTTTATCCTTTGTCATGTTTGCTTTATCCTTTGCGCAACATCCTTTGTCTTTTATGATTATGCTGTATGCCTTCGAAGACAAACGGGGGCACAGGTGGAGTTCCGTCCCTTGAGCACGCCAGAAACCTATGCTTGTGGGCTCGAACACCGGTTCGGCTCTATACTGTTTCTAGGTTTGTCAGCACCATACCCGTGCTCGTGGGTTTCAATAAGTGGTAATCCTCTGAGACCGGCATCACTCCGGGCTTTCCTCCCACATTAAGCTGACACGCCTTGATATAACTAGAATACTGTTCAAAGCGGCGTTAAACCAAACACACTCACTCACTCAAAGACAATATTATACCGTTCTTATCTTCTTACATCGCTTACTTAGAAGGAGACGTTTCAATGGTGAATGTCTGTATCCTTTATCCTTTCAGTTGAGCTTTCTGAAGAATGTGGCAATACGATCATTATTTCGGAAGATATGCTTCTCAAATTATCCGTGAACAACACCAGGAAGAAACAAGAGAGTTGTAAGACGTTGGTTGAAAGTGACGTTGACGGCAATCGTTTGTTAGTTCGCCTCCTCAGTATTGACATCCCCGACTATCCAGATTGCTCGAAAGCCGGCCTCAATGTGTCTCAGATAGAGGGCAAACATGCTTCAGGTGAGACTGGGATGGCCACAGAATCATACCTAGTACACATGTGTTTCTTTTCGTTCGGCTCCGCGGGGATTCCACAAGATATTTTATGAGATAGCCATTGTATTCGGTAAGGCATCCATATCTTTTATGTGTTTCTCATCTCCAACCTCACCAGCAAGAGAGCGGGCGGGGGAAGTAAGAAAAAAACAATAAAATTTAAAAATACTTTTTTTACTAATTGTGTGACTTTTTTGAGGACATTTAAAAGTATAAACCACTTGGTACCAGTCAGTGACAAAACACTCTCCACAAGACTATATGACAAGAGGGATGACTTCAACTTTCCAATCGTCAACCTTCCCTTCATGTCGAGCAATATTCTTGCAACTCCCGTCTTTGATGTCTATATTTAACAACTTTTGAGGTACAGTCGAGCATGCTCTTTCTACCAAGATTTCAAAGAGTGCCGTACAACTCAAAATAATATTCAAAATTTTCAATTCTCAAAAGCAGTTCGATAAAGATTACAGTAACGCTTCAAAATGTTTTATGGTAGACATGTGGAGGACATTTCCAAATGTGACGCATCAGTGACAAAAATCATGTCTGATACAATTCCCTATGTTGACTTGAACCATATGTTCCCGTGTTTTTTCAGTTGAACAATTGACTTGCCTTTGCATGTGTTTGTGACGGGTGCCACCGGTGGGGCAGGATACGCTCACCTTTTCGTGAACACCTGGAAACATCACTTAGTCTATTTGATATTTATTCATAAACACATGCTCATGATATCGTACCATCGACTTGTCATAATATGCAAATATATGGAAAGAGCTTTGTCGCTTTTATGTAAATCAATTTACGACGAAGATCGAGTCGCTTGCTTCGGAAGCGAATGTTTAATAGATATAGCTGAAGAAATTTCAAGCTGACCTAGTTTTGTATGAGCGTGCAGTGGTAGTAGTAATTTTTTGTCACCTCGGAGCATAAGTTGGGACAATTGAGATACGAAAATTGTGTATTGTGTTACGCCGGAATGGAAATTCAGGGCGGGTGGGAGATGGGAAACTCAGAAAATGTACGGAGAGCCTTGTATCGCTTCGAAGAGGATTGAGGGTTGGAACTGTTCCAGTAACATATGCTGGTCTTACGAGACCAAACAATGGCGGATCCAGCATTTCTAAAAGGGCAGGATCCAAAATATCAAAATCCTCACTCAGTCAATTATACTGCCAACACATACTACATTTGGTTTTCAAAAAGAGAGGGGGTGTCAGGACCCCCTGGATCCCCCCTCTGGATCCCCCCTCTGCATCCACCCTCTGGATCCACCCCCTGGATCCCCCCTCAGGATCCCCCCTCTGGATCCACCTCTGGATCCACCCCCTGGATCCACCCTCTGGATCCACCCCCTGGATCCCCCCTCTGGATCCACCCCCTGGATCCACCCTCTGGATCCACCCTCTAGATCCACCCTCTGGATCCACCCCCTGGATCCACCCTCTGGATCCACCTCTGGATCCACCCTCTGGATCCACCTCTGGATCCACCCTCTGGATCCACCCTCTGGATCCACCCTCTAGATCCACCCTCTGGATCCACCTCTGGATCCACCCTCTGGATCCACCCCTGGATCCACCCTCTGGATCCACCCTCTGGATCCACCTCTGGATCCACCCTCTGGATCCACCTCTGGATCCACCCTCTGGATCCACCTCTGGATCCACCCCCTGGATCCACCCTCTGGATCCACCCTCTAGATCCACCCTCTGGATCCACCCCCTGGATCCACCCTCTGGATCCACCTCTGGATCCACCCCCTGGATCCACCCTCTGGATCCCCCCTCTGGATCCACCTATGCCAAATGAGTCATGGTCGGTGACTTGGTTGATTGCGTGTCATCGTACCCGACGGCGCAGATTGTCTGGTTCAGAACACGTTATATAGCAGAACTAAACATTAGCAGGGAATTAAAAACAAACAAACAATTTATGTATTGTATAATTCAAGTATATTATCATCGATTATAGTATGCACGTGTAATCCATGCTGTTCACCATGTCGTTCAGGCATCATTTCATCCGCAAGAAATCAGACATCAGATACGAGACCTGTGGGTTTCACGAAAGTCCCAAATGTCTAAAACCTGCATCACTAAGCGTATATCTGACGCACCGTGTTTAAGCTCTGTTCAAAGCTGCGTTACACCCAAAGAAACTAAGGCGCTCAGTTGACTTCATGATATGTTCATATTCATTTAAATGTATCTTAAGAAAGCGATATTATGTCCCCAAAATGAACTGCACTGTCGCTTAGTCAGCACTCAAAGAATACTGTACATGGTTTTATTTTTTTAAACAAAATAACTTAATACCCAGCTGCCTATGGGTATCTAAGACATCTCATCTTTGAAAATCAATCAGTTTCCTTTTTTGGGGCACAAATTTACAATATTTCAAGACGATAGGGGCCATGTGGTTGCAAATTCATACCTAACTCCAATCTTCACTTAACTGATGTATTTTTACACAAAATTGCCCAGCCACAGATTACCTTTTGCAAACTTGCAGGAATGAGTGATGATTAATTAGATATAATAAAATTTAACAACAGTTCTTCAATTTTCAATTATAAAAAAAACAAACTGGGTATACTTTCTTTTGACCCTCATCCTAACTCACTGGAGCGCTACATATATGTAGACATTTCACATTATCCACCATAATTAATATATAATTGTAGCGTTTATGACATTAAGCCAATATTTCTTTTTTAATTTCTTCAAGAACGTCTATGTGGTACCAACATAACCACTCCAGTCTTCAACTCCAGCGGTCAGTCAGTGGGAGTTTGGTACTATTCCAACCGTGGCGAGCATGAGGCTTCTCGGGACGTCTTCACTCTTCTTATCACGTCCTTTCACGAACAGATAAATGGTATGTGCTACTGAACGCTCGAGCACTTACACTAGTGAAGATCCGGGGTAGAATAGGTCTTCAGCAACCTACACTTGCTGTAAAAGACGATTATTCTTGTTGTAAGAGGTGACTAACGGGATCGGGTGGTCAGGCTAGCTGACTTAGTTGATGCATTTCATCGTATTCCAATTGCTAGGGACCCTTGATAATCCGTAGTAAAATAGGTCTTCAGCAACCCATTCTTGCTGTAAAAGACGATTATGCTTGTCGTAAGAGGCGACTAACGGGATCGGGTGGTCAGGCTCGCTGACTTGGTTGATGCATTTCATCGTATTCCAATTGCTAGGGACCCTTGATGATCCGGGGTAGAATAGGTCTTCAGCAACCCATTCTTGCTGTAAAAGACGATTATGCTTGTCGTAAGAGGCGACTAACGGGATCGGGTGGTCAGGCTCGCTGACTTGGTTGATGCATTTCATCGTATTCCAATTGCTAGGGACCCTTGATGATCCGGGGTAGAATAGGTCTTCAGCAACCCATTCTTGCTGTAAAAGACGATTATGCTTGTCGTAAGAGGCGACTAACGGGATCGGGTGGTCAGGCTCGCTGACTTGGTTGATGCATTTCATCGTATTCCAATTGCTAGGGACCCTTGATGATCGGGGGTAGAATAGGTCTTCAGCAACCCATTCTTGCTGTAAAAGACGACTATGCTTGTCGTAAGAGGCGACTAACGGGATCGGGTGGTCAGGCTCGCTGACTTGATTGATGCATTTCATCGTATTCCAATTGCTAGGGACCCTTGATGATCCGGGGTAGAATTAGGTCTTTAGCAACCCATTCTTGCTGTAAAAGACGACTATGCCTGTCGTATGAGGCGACTAACGGGATCGGGTGGTCAGGCTCGCTGACTTGGTTGATGCATTTCATCGTATTCCAATTGCTAGGGACCCTTGATGATCCGGGGTAGAATAGGTCTTCAGCAACCCATTCTTGCTGTAAAAGACGATTATGCTTGTCGTAAGAGGCGACTAACGGGATCGGGTGGTCAGGCTCGCTGACTTGGTTGATGCATTTCATCGTATTCCAATTGCTAGGGACCCTTGATGATCCGGGGTAGAATAGGTCTTCAGCAACCCATTCTTGCTGTAAAAGACGATTATGCTTGTTGTAAGAGGCGACTAACGGGATCGGGTGGTCAGGCTCGCTGACTTGATTGATGCATGTCTTCGTATTCCAATTGCTAGGGACCCTTGATGATCGGGGGTAGAATAGGTCTTCAGCAACCCATTCTTGCTGTAAAGGGCGACTATGCTTGTCGTAAGAAGCGACTAACGGGATCGAGTGGCCAGGCTCGCTGACTTGGTTGATGCATGTCATCGTATCCCAAATGCATGGATCGATGCGCTTGATGCCAGTCACTGGATTGTCTGGTCCAGATAAGATTATTTACATACCACCGTCATATAGCTGGAATATTGCAGAGTGCGGCGTTAAACAAAAACAAACAAACAAACAAAACCAATTGCGTGGATCGATGCGCATGATGTCAATCACTGGATTGTCTGGTCCAGACTCGATTCTTTACAGACCACCGTTATGTATCTTGAAAGCTTCCCTTAATACCGACTATGCTTGTCGTAAGAGGCGACTAACGGGATCGGGTTGCCAGGCTTGCTGACTTGGTTGATGCATGTCATCGATCCCAATTGCGTGGATCGATGCTCATGGTACCAATCACTGGATTTTCTGGTCCAGACTCGATTATTCACAACCGCCGTCATATAGCTGGAATATTGCTGAGTGCGGCGTTAAGCAACAAACCAATCCCAAACCAAAACCCTTAACACCAGAGTCGCCTAAGAGGATGTCTTTGTTGCAGGGGCGTGTACGTCCTATGACTTCACGTGCAGTAACTCACTCTGCATAGACAGCGACATGACCTGCAACAACTACGATGACTGCTCCGATAATTCGGACGAGACGATTGGCTGTAATGCGACCGAAGGAAACCAGCTGGTGAAGAAAGTTGTTATTGTGTCTGTATGTTGTGGGGTGTTTCTGTTAGCTGTTGTTTGTGTCTTCGCCGTCAAAATACACCGAGCAAGGAACAGACGTGGGTCATATTTACCTATTGACTGATTACGTACTAACAGTGTATAACGAGATTCGACTAAGAATTGTGTTAATATTCTTTTTATATCTGATTTCATAAATGACAAATTTGGCTTACTTAATAATGTCAAAGCATATATACCATTCGCCACCATCCTTTCAGTAATCTGCAAGAAAAAATCTACTCACATCGATAAATGTTGTGCGCGAAAACGCAAAAAGAAACAGTCAGAAAGCTCGTATCATTTGGTTCTCTTTAATAGTTTTCGTTAAAAGGCACAGCTGGTATGTATAGTCAAAGGAACATCTCACTCTAAAGTATATACTAAATAAACTTCGAAGTACGTACCCTTCCAGATTCCGGGGTAGAATAGATCTTCAGCAACCCATGCGTGCCGTAAAAGGCGACTATGCTTGTTGTAAGAGGCGACTAACGGGATCGGGTGGTCAGGCTGGCAGACTTGGTTGATACATGTCATCGATCCCAATTGCGTGGATCGATGCTTATGCTGTCAATCGCTGGATTGTCTGGTCCAGACTCGATTATTTTACAGACCGCCGTCATATAGCTGGAATATTGCTGAGTGCGGCGTTAAAGAACAAACAAACAAACAAACAAACAAACCCTTCCATACCAAAAGCAGCCTCTGCCTAAATACAGTATTTGTTTTTTCTATTTGTATTGCAAATGTCTAAATTTATATTCATTAACACGTCTATAACCTTACAATTAGGCATATATATATGTACATCGAGTGTAAACTCATTTAAATGAAGCATAGATAGATAGATAGATAGATAGATAGATAGATAGATAGATAGATTTTATTACTATTTTGGGGAATGCTGGATAAGAAAAGATCGATGAATAAGTAGATGCGCTCGGGGTATATCTACGTTTGTTTGTTTGCTGTTTAACGCTGCACTCAGCAATACTCCAGCTATATGACGGTGGTCCATAAATAATTGAATGTGGACCAGACAATCCAGTGATTGACATCATGAGCACCGATCTACGCAATTGGGCTACGATGACATGCATGAAACAAGTCAGCGAGCCTGACCACCCGATCCCGTTAGTCGCCTCTTACGACAAAAATAGTCGCCTTTTACAGCAAGCATGGGTTGCTGAAGACCTATTCTACCCCGGATCTTCACGGGTCGAAAATCTGTGTAACATTCTTAACAATTAATACAGTGCCGAACTCTGCGCCAAATCTAACAACTCTTCTTTCATTATTTGGGGCATGGGAACCCAGTCGTCTAAGGCGACGGAGTTCGCTGTGAATGTGGGTTCCTATGAGTGTGGGTTCGAATCCCTGTTCGCCCTGATCATATTTCAAAGTTTGTTAGCACCATACCCGTGCTCGTGGGTTTCACCAAAATTGTAAATGTAAAAGACCTGCTTCACTTCGGGCTTTCCGGCTTTCCTCCCACATTACCCGACCCTTGAAGATCCGGGTTAGAATAGGTCTTCAGCAACCCATGCTTGCCGTAAGAGGCGACTATGCTTGTCGTAAGAGGCGACTAACGGGATCGGGTGGTCAGGCTCGCTGACTTGGTTGATGCACGTTCATCGATCCCAATTGCGTGGATCGATGCTCATGATATCAATCACTGGATTGTCTGGTCTAGACTCGATTATTTACAGACCGCCGTCATATAGCTGGAATATTGTTGAGTGTGGCGCTAAACAACAAACCAACCAACCAGCCAACCAACCCACATTACCCACTCACTCGCTCTTTCATTGTACCCGCAAACACCGGAAGACCTTTAAGTTAAAGTCATATATATATATATATTTTTTTTAGAAAGCTTACAGTAAGGAAAATAAATGTATAGGCGGGGAGATACTGCAGCTCCTATCTAATGTATTTCAACATCTAGTGATCGCGAGAAGGGCTAAGCCTTCGTTCAGTTTGTCCCGGAAGAGAACGAGTGGTCCCGAATGGCATTTATAAATGTATCTCTTTAACGACAGGTTCTTTAACGAATCTGCAAGTTATGGTTTTAATAAAATTTGCAACACCAAATATGAAAATATCTTTAAATGTATAATGCAAACATGCAATGAATAAACGTAATAGGTAGTTATAGCTTTGAGGTTGTTATTGAGAATTTGATGCCCGTAAATTCCATTCGGACAGGTAGCCAGAGGTTTTACATGTTAAAATGGCCGATCAAGTGTTCAGATAAATTTTGAACAAATGCGGTATGTTTCTTACCAACCGAGTGACAAGTTTTTCAAATTCAGGATTGAGCAAAATAAAGATACTTTAGAAACGTAATCATGCGCAATAGAATATTTTTATTCAACAAATCAGATCGCAGCAAACACTTTTATTCGTTAACAATAAAGTGACAGCCTCCGTGGTGTATTGGATAGAGATTCTGCCCTGAGAGCATGTTAAACTGCGGCATGGTATCATAGTGGGCTAGCACGATGGAAGCGGCATTAGTGCTAACTTGTACAAGCAGCGACACCCCAATTTACAACAGAGAAGCTATGACCTGTCGAACAAAATTAAATTCATAATTCCATATCGGGTGTCAACATAACTAAACAGTCCACATCTGTTATTGTATGAATAGCCTGCAAATATCAGCCATGAGTGAGTGAGTGAGTGAGTGAGTTGTGTTTAACGCCGCCTGAACACTATTTCAGTTATATCACAGCCTGTCAGTTTGGGAGGAAGGCGTCAAATGATGCAGGTCTTAGATGTTTACCACTTTCGTGAAACACGACTAACCAAGAAACATAATCAGGGCGATTCTGGAATTCGAATCCACGCTCATTGGTTTCGTCCTAAGGGACGCAACTCTGCATAGCGAGTTCCTCAGACAACTGGGGTGACTAATATTAAGCCATCCAAGTTGAAAATATATCACATTGTCAACAATACAAGTCTAATGTTGTCGATCAGAAATTGATCAGATATGAATACAACTGTGCCCTGAGCGGATTTTTGTCTCCATTCAGCGATATTTATTTAAAAAATATATCATTGCTGATCGTACAAAGACCTCAAGACATCATATGATATGTGCATATCTAAACATGTTTAGGAATGTGTGTAAATCCTAACCAGAATAAACATTTGGTGTGTTCTGTCTAAACACATTTAGGGTCTTCTCACAGCCTAAACACCACCTAAACACAACATCCCCATATCTAAACATGTTTAAAATTTGAATTTAAATAACGACAAAGTACATATCACTGTGTATTACCTTAATTATCTAAATTAAGTGCAAATAATGGGGCATTAATTCAAATATGGATAAGATATTTATTATATATTTGAAATTAGATTCACAAGCACATGCATAACACATATACCATCAGGACTTACAACGAACTTGGTATAATATTAACAAGATAATGGGCATAAAAAACTAATGATAATATTGACGAGGACAATTTGACATTTGTGACGTAAACTGTCTCGGTAGCGCAGGTGGTAACGTGAAGGACTACCAGTCTAGAGGTTGCAAGGTCGCATCGTAGTTATTACAAGCTTTATGTTCAGGAATGAGTGAGTCTTATGGTTTTACGCCGCTTTTAGCAATATTCCAGCAATATCACGGCGGGGGACACAAGAAATGGGCTTCACACATTGTACCCATGTCGGGAATCGAACCCGGGTCTTCGGCGTGACGAGCGAACGTTTTAACCACTAGGCTACCCGACCGCTCCTGTTCAGGAATGTGTTGTTGTATGACGAATAGTATTTCTATTATACCGGACACGGTACGATACTACGATAGACCCCCAACTTTAAATTTAAATTTAAAGTTACATCTCCCCCCAAACGTCTTTCATTGGAGGCTAAAGCACTAAAATATAGTGAGTGAGTGAGTTTGGTTTTACGCCGCTTTAAGCAATATTCCAGCAATATTACGGCGGGTACACCAGAAATGGGCTTCACACATTGCACCCATGTCGGGAATCGAACCCGGGTCTTCGGCGTGACGAGCGAACGCTTTAACCACTAGGCTACCCGACTGCCCCCTGAAATATTGTAAGCGCACCTTTTTTAAAATTATCTATAATGAGTTTCAAGGAGGGATTTTAGGTTTGTGATTAGGAGCCAAAGTTATCGTCTTTAACATTAAAATTGTAGTACGATCATCTCCGGGAATTTCCTTGCAGGGGCCAACCACTGGATACTAGGGGGAAGGGGGTACTTGCACTTTTGGATTTTATTATTATTAACAGAATTGTACAGTGGTTATATTTTGTCATACCAATTTGTCATTAACATGCATGTGCAATAGGTTTGTAATGAGAATTATCTGAATAAAAGATGATCCTTATAACATCCATATCACATGTTGTATGTTATAGACCTAGTTGTATCAGCGTGTTACATGAAGATCAACTTACATTGTCACACAACAGTCATATCACGTGTGCTACATGGAGATCAACTTACATTGTCACACAACAGTCATATCACGTGTGCTACATTGAGATCAAGTCACATTGTCATACAACAGTCATATCACGTGTGCTACATGGAGATCAAGTTACATTGTCACACAACAGTCATATCACGTGTGCTACATGGAGATCAACTTACATTGTCACACAACAGTCATATCACGTGGGCTACATTGAGATCAAGTTACATTGTCACACAACAGTCATATCACGTGTGCTACATGGAGATCAAGTTACATTGTCACACAACAGTCATATCACGTGTGCTACATTGAGATCAAGTTACATTGTCACACAACAGTCATATCACGTGTGCTACATGAAGATCAAGTTACATTGTCACACAACAGTCATATCACGCGTGCTACATGGAGATCAAGTTACATTGTCACACTACATTTATATCACGTGTGCTATATGAAGATCAACTTACATTGTCACACAACAGTCATATCACGTGTGCTACATTGAGATCAAGTTACATTGTCACACAACAGTCATATCACGCGTGCTACATGAAGATCAACTAACATTGTCACACAACAGTCATATCACGCGTGCTACATTGAGATCAAGTTACATTGTCACACAACAGTCATATCACGTGTGCTACATTGAGATCAAGTTACATTGTCACACAACAGTCATATCACGCGTGCTACATGGAGATCAAGTTACATTGTCACACAACATTTATATCACGTGTGCTACATTGAGATCAAGTTACATTGTCACACAACAGTCATATCACGCGTGCTACATGGAGATCAAGTTACATTGTCACACAACAGTCATATCACGTGTGCTACATTGAGATCAAGTTACATTGTCACACAACAGTCATATCACGCGTGCTACATGGAGATCAAGTTACATTGTCACACAACATTTATATCACGTGTGCTACATTGAGATCAAGTTACATTGTCACACAACAGTCATATCACGTGTGCTACATGGAGATCAAGTTACATTGTCACACAACAGTCATATCACGTGTGCTACATGGAGATCAAGTTACATTGTCACACAACAGTCATATCACGTGTGCTACATGAAGATCAACTAACATTGTCACACAACAGTCATATCACGTGTGCTACATGGAGATCAAGTTACATTGTCACACAACAGTCATATCACGTGTGCTACATGGAGATCAACTTACATTGTCACACTACAGTCATATCACGTGTGCTACATGGAGATTAAACTACATTGTCACACTACAGTCATATCACGTGTGCTACATGGAGATCAACTTACATTGTCACAATACATTTATATCACGTGTGCTGCATGGAGATCGAGTTAAATTGTCACAATGTGACATGAAGAAAAGAAAATTGATTGTCATCATACACACTGTATCTTCATATTACCGGTGCACAGAAGATCTAGCTATATTGTATAACATGATTATATCACGTGTTACATTAAGATCAAGTTACATTGTCATAATACAGTTATATAACGTGTGCTACATTGAGATCAAGTTACATTGTAAAAATACAGTTATACCATGTGTTTTACACGAGACGTTTGGGCCGACTGCAAAATCGTATGACTAGCGTCTGTATACCTATATACACACCAAATGTGTATATATTCCGTTTTGGCTTTAAGTGAGTGAGTGAGTTTGGTTTAGCGCCGCTTTTAACAGTATTCCAGTCATATCACGGCGTGTCAGCTTAATGTGGGAGGAAAGCTCCAAGTGATGCAGGTCTTAGACGTTTACCACTTCGATGAAACCCAGGAGCACATGTATTGTGCTGACAAACCTAGAAACATAATCAGGGCGAACCGGGATTCGAACCAACAATCATAGGTTTCTGGCGAGCCCAAAGGACGCAACTCTGCACAGCGCATTGCGGCGCCTTAGACGACTTGGCCACCCGCGCCTGTTTTGGATTTAAACTCATTCCGAAACATGTTTAGATCTTAACATTTCTCTTATATGTTTACTTTCTAACATATATATTACAGTGTACACGTATTATATTTGCATTTTTAACACGTATTATAAGTGTCCAAATAAATCCCCCTTGCTATTGAATACTGAAATCCCTGCATAATCGTATGACTAGCGTCTGTACACCTGTATACCTGTAGTGAGTGAGTGAATATGGCTTTACGACGCTTTTAGCAATATTCCAGCAATATCACGGCGGGGGACACCAGAAATGGGCTTCACACATTGTACCCATGTCGGGAATCGAACCCGGGTTTTCGGCGTGACGAGCGAACGCTTTAACCACTAGGCTACCCGACCGCCCCCTGTATACCTGTACCGTCAACTATCACGGAAATGTTGCACCGCGCATCACCCTGATGTCATGAATACAGGTGATCCACACTTGCCCTTTGTCTCATGACTGCGATTGTGATTGAGCCGCGTGGCCCAGTTATCTCTTGCCTCTGTGTCGACCATGGCTTCTTGCTGTGTAGTTTCCCTGCTGTGTGCGATATTCCTTTCTACAGCGTTCGTCTGTGACGGAGAGAAACCCAAACAGGGTACGTACATATGTCGTGTCTATATTCAGTCTATTTCGTGCCCATCGCCTTCAATATGGAGTGCTGGGACCTGTTCTGCCTAGATATACACATAGTATATATGTTAATGGTCACATCACATCACCATCTTCATCACTTTGTTTGATAACTGACACTGAATCAGAGAAGAATGAGTACCCAAAACATTGTTTGATGCGAGAGCCGAGTAAATTAGACCAGGTGGTCTGATGCGGTAATGGCGTGACTTCGCATATTTACAGGTCACCGTTATATTGCTAGTATGTCATGTGATCAACGTACAGTCACCACTCACTAGATAACGATGATTATTGATGAACCTGTACGTATACAGTGTACAGGCAGAGATTTCCAGTATATTGGTTGTGGTTCTACAATGATCTATTGAATTCAATCATATATCCTAAACCCATGCGGCCAAGAGAGTGAGTGTTCGAAAAGGAGGATTTCTTACTTGACCTTCCCTTGCATGTGTTTGTGGTGGTTGCAACCGGTAGGACAGCATACGCTCACCTTTACGCGAATATTTGTGTCATCACTATTTGATAGTAGAGATCATAAACATATGATTATGGAATTGTCACAATGGAGGGGATTTCTTATAGTAATGGGAAGGGTTTGTCTCTTTTACTGATAAAAAAGAGAAGTTCTTAATCACTTAATGATAAGTAAATACAGATACGATGATTTGAATAAAATTGTCCTATCCGTGCATTTCAAGCACGATATATGTTCGGTTTACATATTGCATAAGATAGGAATATGGAAGAGAATTGCAAAACATGCAGAATCACGTTATCACTTGAAAACAAATGCGACATCAAGATCAATGCTAGAATGACTGCATGCATTGATACTGCAGTTATGTCATGACTGAGCACATGAATTTGGACATTAGAAATCTAGCTATTTGATTTGCTGGTCGCCGTGGGTCTTTTAAAGAAAACATACTAGTCGTCAGACCGGTCAGTACATACATCTTGATGGCATAGTGTTTGACGTTACGTCACTTACTTTTAACGTCACATTTGACCCATAGTGCACGTTGAATGACCACACTGTGAGTCCGACGGCGTACACCGTTTAGATCTTAATGTCAAGGAAACGTATTTCACCAAGCATTGGACTTCTAACGTGTGAACTCTTGTATACAAGATCATTCAGCTTTTACAATCTCGTAGTCCTGGTAGCATCTTCCCGAGGCAAGAGAGTTAACTGACTATAAAAGTCCAGTTTCAACTCTTGCCGAACAAGGCTGGTATTATGGACTTACATTTTGGCTGGACTAACGAGACTATGCTTAATCCAATCAAAATCGCGCACCGAAATCGAAATCCGGTTCGTAAACTGTCGAGCAGATTTCGATCGATTGCAGGATTTGCAAAGCATGTGCACCGCCAACTCGTTGTCAGCAGATATTTTCAAAATCTTTTCATGTTTTTAATCAAGGTGCTCACGTGATTTGATGCATTTCGCGATGTAAGACCCGTTTTATCACAATATAGATCTTGATTATCGATCAGATCGTCTTGTCTTGGCGCCACCATTTTGTGTGAAGCAAACGCAAGTGATACGAGAGGTGGAAACTGATTGGTCCATAGGAGGCTTAGAAAGGACATAACTGGTAATAGCCACTGGTGGCGCTACGATCGAGCCTAGTAATTCCAGCCTTGTTCGGATAGGGTGGAAACTGGACTTTTAAAGTCAGTTAACTCTCTTGCCTCCGGAAGATGTCCTGGAAGTGACACATGCACTTGTACATATGACACATGTACATGACTCGTAACTCGTAGTCCGATCAAGAACACATGTTCCTTTCTCTTGCCTATTACTGAGATAATATATTCTTGAAAATACAATGTAGTTGTGAAACTTGTATGTTTCTACAGAGGTGCTGGAGGCAAACTGCAATAACAACATCAACTTTCTAGGGAGCGTGGTCCTACTTGTATCAAATCTGACGTCAGTGCAGCAGTGTAATCTTATTATTCAAAGCACCATCGCCAACAACAGACTCCTCATCGACATCACAAAATTAGACCTCGTCGACAACTGCACGGACACCAAACTCGACATCATCGACGACACCGGAAGTAGCATAGCAGGTATCACAGCGAGGTCCATTCTTCATTTAAGGAAACGGTTTTGTCGCTCTTACATATGTTTAGGTATAAGACCAGTTGGAAACATATTCGATCGGACCGATCATTTGATATCGTGGGGGCCTGGGAATACATTTTAGAAGCACGAGACTTTAACGGCAACTACTTCAAAACGTACAAATATTCTTTCTAAAAGGAGGTTCCGAATATTCATAGATGCATGCATAGATACATGCAAGTCGGAATCTATGAATTCTGCTTCTGGCAGAGGTTTTTTGTCATTATGGTTTTGTTGTTTATGTTTTAACAACATATTTTTCATAACATCGTGCATGCCCAGCGAACATTTACTTTTTATATAATCAACTGCTGATTGAGAAACATGGAAGAGTTTATGGATGTCAACTTCTTTATGACGAGGAACACAAAGTTTCGGAGTATATTCTTACTCCTTCATCAGGTGAAACGTTGTGTGCCTCATAATAAAGAAGTTGACATCCGTAAATTATCCTCCTTATGTGTATCACTTCCAAATGCCATTCTGGGGGTACGGGGGGCCAGTCGTCTAAGGCGCCGCGATTCGCTGTGCAGACTTGCGTCCCTTGGGCACGCCAGAAACCTATGATTTGTGGGTTTGAATCCCGGTTCGCCCCGATTATGTTTCTAGATTTGTCAGCACCATACCCTCGTGGGATACACCGAAGTTGTAATGGTCTGAGACCTGCATCACTTCGGGCTTTCCTCCCACATTAAGCTGACACGCCGTGATATACCTGGAATACTGTTCAAAGCAGCGTTAAACCCAACTCACTCACACTAAATGCCATTCAAAGACATGGAAGAGTTATTTTCACTTTAACATCTTATCGTTCAGGACCCTTGTGTGAAGAGGAGAACGCAACAGTGTTTAGAGCAGAGAGCAACGTCGCTCAGTTCCAGTACAGAACCAGCTCTCCGAACACAGCGGGGAAAAAATTGTCTGTCATCATCACTTCATTCAACCTGGGAATAAATGGTAACTATTTACGCCATGATGATTTTCTTGCTATTGTTAAGTAAGTTAACACTTAATCAAGCATTGCTTCATGAAACATACGACTAACAGGTTAACTAGGAGATCACAGTAAACATGGGGAGCACGGGTGGCCAAGTCGTCTAAGGCGCCGCGATTCCCTGTGCAGAGTTGCGTCCCTTGGGCACGCCAGAAACCTATGATTGTGGGTTCGAATCCCGGTTCGCCCCGATTATGTTTCTAGGTTTGTCAGCACCATACCCGTGCTCGTGGGTTTCACCGAAGTGGTAAATGTCTGAGACCTGCATCACTTCGGGTTTTCCTCCCACATTAGGCTGACACGCCGTGATATAACTGGAATACTGTTAAAAGCGGCGTTAAACCAAACTCACTCACTCACAGTAAAAATGATAAGCAACGAGACTGTTCAGTAATAATTTTAGCCAGTATTGCTACCTGGAGTGGTACTAAATATATCATTCATTAATTTATGAAACATTTAGAAGTTAACTTTATTTCTGAAGTAACAATAAATCCCTTGTCATAAATAGCATGTAAGTTTTAGTTGTGTCACCCCGATTATGTTTCTAGGTTTGTCAGCACCATACCCTTGCTCGTGGGTTTCGCCGAAGTGGTAAAGGTCTGAGACCTGCATCACTTCGGTCTTTCCTCCCTCATATAAGCTGACACGCCGCGATATAACTGGAATACTGTTAAAAGCAGCGTTAAACCCAACTCACTCACTCACTCACTAGTTGTATCACGGTTATTCAGGCAACAGACGAGTAAGAGAGATTTACGTACTTCGCCAATCCTGTTATGTCAATACCACGATTTTTCTGCAATGTCTCTACCTTTACCTCGTACCCGGGAAGATCCGGGTTAGAACAGGTCTATAGCAACTCAGGGGGCACGGGTGGCCCAGTCGTCTAAGGCGCCGCGATTCGCTGTGCAGAGTTGCGTCCCCTGGACACGCCAGAAAACCTATGATTGTGGGTTCGAATCCCGGTTCACCCCGATTATGTTTCTAGTTTTGTCAGCACCATACCCGTGCTCGTGGGTTTCACCGAAGTGGTAAACGTCTGAGACCTGCATCACTTCGGGCTTTCCTCCCACATTAAGCTGACACGCCGTGATATAATTGGAATACTGTTAAAAGCGGCGTTAAACCCAACTCACACACTCACTCACTATAGCAACTCATGCTTGGCGTGAGAGGCTACTAACGGGATCGGGTGGTCAGGCTCGCTGACTTAGTTGATGCATGTCATTGTATCTCAATTGCGTGGATCGATGCTCATGATGTCAATCACTGGATTGTCTGGTCCTGATTCGATTATTTACAGACCGTCATCATATACCTGGAATATAGCTGGGTGCGGCTTTAAACAACAAACACACAAGTAAACCTTCACCTAGTAGGGGGTTGAGTAGCCATTCGGCAATAACGTTGGCATGACAATCCGGGTTGGATTACCCACATGGGCACAATGTGTGAAGCGTGTCTCTCCCCCCCCCCCCCCCCCCCCCCCCCCCCCCCCCCGACCCCATCGCGCACCCAACCCACACACCCGAGTAATATTCTTGGAATATTGCTAAAGCGGCATAACGAAGCACTCACTCTGCGACTTTATCTATTGGTATATATATGCATGCACATTTCATAAAGTGTCTTGATGGGTTTTTTCCAGGAACATGTGCTTCGATTGAGTACCAGTGCGCCAACAAACTGTGCATACCCAAAGACTTATTGTGCAATGGATACAACGAGTGTTCTGATAACTCAGATGAGAATGACTGCAGCGGCCCCAATGGCACCCCTCCGGGAGAAAACGTGGGACTTATAGTTGGTTTGACATTCGCTTGTTTGTTGGTGGTCGCAGTGGCAGCATTGTGTCTGATTAGGCGACTAAGGCGTCAGCAGGGATATGACAGTGTTTAGGGGGCAGGACGCTGACCCATTTCGCGAACACCTGGTGTCGTCACCGATTTTTAGTGGTCCATTCATATCATTGTCTCCGCTGTCTTGCATTTTAGGCCCAGTGGAATCTGGGTTTTTTGTCAGATGGTCGATATTTCTACATCTTCCGGAGGCAAGAGAGTTAACTGACTTTAATAGTCCAGTTTCCACCTTTGCCGAACTTGGCTGGAATTCCTGGGCTCGATCGTAGCGCCACCAGTTGTTATTATGAGTTTTATCCCTTCTAAGCCTCTCCTATGGACCAATCAGATTCCGCCTCTCGTATCACTCGCATTTGCTTCAAACAAAACAGCGGCGCCCAGTCAAGACGATTTGATCGACAATCAAGGTCTATATTGTGATAAAACGGGTCTTACATCGCGAAATGCAGCAAATCACGTGAGCACCTTGATTCAAAACATGAAAAGATTAAGAAAATATCTGTTGACAAAGAGTTGGCGTTGCACATGCTTTGCAAATCCTGCAATCGACCGAAATCTGCTCGACAGTTTACGAACCGGATTTCGATTTCGTTGCGCGATTTTGATTCGACTATGCATAGACTCGTTAGTCCAGCCAAAATGTAACTCCATAATACCAGCCTAGTTCGGCAAGGGTGGAAACTGGACTTTTATTGTTAGTTTACTCTCTTGCTTCGGGAAGATGATATTTCTTCGAACATGCCTTTTTCCAACCCGAACGGAGGGATACTCTAGCTTAAATAAAACAAGTGTTGTATGATATTTAAACCAGATAAACAGGGGTGGGGTGAGTTCATTTGAATAATTCTGACAGGGGTGAAGGGATTTCGGTATTGTGGTGAACATTATGGTTTGTGTAATTGATAGATAACATGCATAGAATAAATCCCAAATTACTTATCTTGTATTCGCCTAATCAGGTTTGGAGGAATAACGTTTTCGAAACTTGTCAACTTTTCAAATAAGAAGTGGATTGACAGACATGGACACAAGGTTCCAAACCTATACATTAAAAACCGGTTAAATTAAGTAGTTTTAGTTCAATTCCCTATTGACACGCACACGTGTTTCCACAAACTGACTGCATTAGTTCCACAGGCTCACTGTGTTAATTCCACAAGTAAACTGTATTATTCCACAAGTATAATGACATTTTGTTAAGTCCACAGGTGTGCTAATTCCACATGTATCAAGTTTCCACAAGTTTAAACCAGTATGATGACGCCACGGTATTGTTGTTGCAGATGGTTCTGAGCCTGGAATTCACTGGCCATTTTGAACATGCATTTTAAACAAGTTTTAACATTTAACCTGACGCAACGAGAGGGCATTATGAAACATTATAGAACTTTTATAACCATAACATGTTTGAAGTCAGAGACGTCACTCGAATCATTTGATTCCGGAAGTAGAATCCTTCCGGAGATTGCCGATTCTAGTTCCGGAATCAACAGATTCATATGATTTCTCCCTTACGAACAGTGCTTTTCCCACAAGTATACTGTTTTAATTTCACATGCAAAACGTGACAATTCCACAAAAGTGCCACGTTAATTCCTCAAAGATTCGCGGAAGTGGCCCTGATAGGTGACCGGAACTGTAACTCGATAAAGGGTAGGTAGGTGCCTGCAGTGGTGTATTGTCTTTCCTTGTACACTGAAACTGGTTCTCAAATCTATCAGCACAGTGAGCAATGTGATGATAGTTTCCGGGTTGGTTTTGAAGTGTGGGTGAATGTTTTCATACAGTGTACCTGGTTTTATTTGTTTTGGGATGTACTCGCGTCTTTTTACTTCACATGTGGGGTAGAATAGGTCTTCAGCCAACCATGCATACCATAAAAGGCGACTATGCTTGTCGTAAAAGGTGACTAACGGGATCGGGTGGTCAGGCTCGCTGACTTGGTTGATGCAGGTCATCGATCCCAATTGCGTGGATCGATGCTCATGATATCAATCACTGGATTGTCTGGTCCAGACTCGATTATTTTACAGACCGCCGTCATATAGCTGTAATATTGCTGAGTGCGGCGTAAAACAACAAACCAACCAACCAACAACTCCACATGTATAATATTGCAATAAAGGAAATCGGTATGTGTCTGCTTAGTTTCCATTTGTCTTTGGGGGGGGTTCGAGGATACATTTGTTGGTGTGGTCAAAGCCACTGCAATTCGCTGTGCGGAGTATTGCCCCTCAGTTTGGAATCGCCAGCAGTGGGTTACATCGCCCGATCGAGTTTGATCCTTGGAATGAACGCACGTTATTTTATCACGACGCATTGCCATTATGATCAACCCTAGTTTGTCATTTCCGATCAGTTGTATCATGTAGAAATGTTTTGACATTACATTTAGACTTGTAGTATGTCATATCAAATGTATTGTTGCTTCGTGACAGAAAGACGCAGGTCTTTAGGACATTTAAGCAAGAAGTTGGCACAAACTGTGGCCATCTCTCAGTTTTGTTTGTGTGTGTGCTGTTTAACGCCGCACTCAGCAATGTTCCAGCTATATGACGGCTGTCTGTAAAATAATCGAGTCTGTACCGTACAATCCAGTGATTTATATCATGAGCATCTTTCCACGCAATTGGGATCGATGACATGTATCAACCAAGTCAGCGAGTATGACCACCCGATCCCGTTAGTCGCGTTTTACGACAAGCATATTCGCCTTTTGCGGCAAGTATGGGTTGCTGGAGACCTATTCTACCCCGGAATCTTCACGGGTCTCATCTCTAAGTTGGGCTGTTTCTTTATGCATATAAATTCGAATATCTACTCGGATTGGCAAAATAAATCAAGTGAATTTGGACAAGAAGATTAATTGAAGGTATATAGATGATCTGATGTCGTTCAGTAATAGTCAAATAGCCGATTCCCTTCGACTGATTTGACCCACATGAATTAGAAATAAACGAGTCCAGTGAAGTAAGGATAAGAATTTATGGATGAACAACTTCTTTATAACAATTAAAGAGCGACGTTTTGTGTAGATTCTAACACCGTTATCAAGCGAGTGATAACGGTGTTAGAACCTACACCGAAACGTCGCTCTGAAATTGTAATAAAGAAGTTGTTCATCCATAAATTCTTATCCTCACTTAGTACCCGAACTTCTAAATGCCTATCAAAGGAGAGACCAGTGAAACCACTTTATTTGTTTCATATATTGATTGAGTGACAACAAACTTCAACTTGTCAAAGGCAACTCTTATATGTTGAGCACTATTCCCGTAGCTCCAGCCTTTGGTGACTACAACTTCAACTTGTCAAAGTCAACTATTTTATGTTGAGCACTATTCCCGTAGCTCCAGCCTTTGGTGACTACAACTTCAACTTGTCAAAGTCAACTTTTTTATGTTGAGCACTATTCCCGCAGCTCCAATCTTTGGTGTCTACAACTTCAACTTGTCAAAGGCAACTCTTTTATGTTGAGCACTAATCCCGTAGCTCCAGCCTTTGGTGTCTACATTTCACAACGTTTTGAAGTACTATCGGGCTTGCTCTTTCTATGAATATTTCAAAGAGCGTCATGCTCTTGTTCAAACAAGGCGTTGTAATATTATATGATTATGTAATGTCATTGATGACTTTTTATACGTAAACAGAAGATCATAATTATAGTGAAGAAGAAATGCGCTTACATTGTGTTAGAGATGACCAACGCTGAACGACAGGAATAATACATGTCGCACGAACTGTATGCTGATTATAACCATCCGAGCGTACCGGGGAGAAAACTCACTGTATACCATTATGTATTTAGCGGTATGCCAGGGCACATAAGGCAAGAGTTCAGGACCCCTGAATATATGTGATGTCTGCAGGTTCTACGACACCAGATCAGAACCAGTGCAGATCGAGAGAAATATGCAGGCTGTGGTTGGAGGATATTTTGTAAGATTTTTATGTCTTTTAAATGTAAATTCATCCAGTTAATAAAACTGACCATGTTTTTTCTATATTTAGTACTGTTTTTTTCAACATTGTGATTTATGCTGAATGCGACCACAGATATTTTAAAGTAGGTGACATTTGGTGCGGAACTGGGGATTAGCATCCTGTACTCGGAAAAGGAGCAGGCTAAGCTTATCATTTTGTTTTGTTTTTATTGCTGCTCTAAGGCCAAACTGTGCACACACGTACAGGTAATAGCTATTGAATGCTTAGTCATTTTTTTTAAATATAAAGTTACTATAGAAGTCTATGGGAAAACATTTGGTTGTGTGTAACCTGCAGGAGCGTAGCTAGGAATAAATACAACTGTAGGCACAAAGTTGAATACCGTAAATGTGAGGTCGCGACGCTCGAGTTGAATAGGGGGCGGGGAAATTAGGGGTATTTCCTCCGCCACCCAAATATTTACTTTTATAGATAGTAGGATATGCAATTTACTGCTATTTATTTATTTATTACTTATTTATTACCACATCTTGAAACAAATATAACCAAACAAACAGGCTGTAAAAATATTTTTTCATTTTATATTTATTATAGTTGGAAATTAATTTACATTATAACATATCATTTAATAATGTTCAGTTTCTGCATCAGTTTCCGTGGTGAAAAAATTAGATATCCTACAATTAGGAACAACGTTTATGTATTATTATAGGTACGTTTGGTAACCACTTATTTGGCTAGATTGACGATGTGATAGGAGAGTCACAGAAAAGTCTCCTGCTTGGGAAAGTCACGTTTTGACGAGTCCTATTCGAGACACAGATTAAATTATTTTCATGATATGACAATACTCCATTAATTTGTCTATGTTCATCTTCAATGAAGTCAAAGCATCTGTTCGCTTCAAACACTTTCCATGACTCTCTCAATGCTGGACCGCCTCCATTGTATAGTGGTAGACCGTCCGCCCGGAGAGCGGAAGGTCCGGGGTTCGATCCCCGGCCGCGTCATACTAAAAGACGTTAAAAGATGGTACTTGTTGTTACCCTGTCTGGCGCTCGGCATTAAGGGGCTAAAACAAGGACTGTATACTTTGTCTGAGTGGGGTATTCATGTTAAACTGCGGCATGGTATCTCAGTGAGCTAGCACTATAAATCGGCATCAGTCCGGACTAGTACAAGCAGCCACACAAACACAAACACACACACGTACATGCACGTCGCTATATAAGTGCAATAATCTTGGACGCGACGTTAAACCCCATTTCACCTCACCTCACAATGCTCGCAGGAATGCCTTTGTGCACAAAATTATAGGGAAGATCATTCTCACTAGTTCACTGATATCTAGCCACAAACTTGCCCGAATAGAGAAAGGGCAGCAAAAACAAACTTTCAAATGGCGCATACACTTCTTCTTCTGTGACTCAAGTTCAATGAGACGTCGCATTAACAGCGTGTATGACCACCCCATGCTACAAAACACACAAAAACTCTCCGGCGCACAAAGTAAGTCGTCTGATGACGTCACGTTGGATACCCCGCCATTCTTCTTAGAGGGCCTAGATCAGTTCTTGTCGGTTGACAGGAGGATGTGGTCGCTGTCGAACACGACAATCCATGCAAACCCCGAGTTGTTCTATTGGGGGCATGTCTGAGGAGCGAGCAGGCCACGACAAGGAAGTTCTGTATGATTCGGGATGTAGGGAGTCTGGCGTTGTCATGCTAATAAAGGACACTACGTGGCAGCTGCTATAGAAATGGTCGGACAATCGGACGAAGAACGTCATCCATGTAACACTGAGCTGTCAAATGTCCGTTAACGATGACCAGTGGTGTTCGCTCCTGCCTACAAATCAATCCCCACACCATAACACCAACTCAACCATACGGCACGACCTCCTGAACACAACATGCCGCCGTTCGTTCTTCCCTTCGGCGGTAAACACGCTGTCTTCCATCAGCTCTAAACTGACAGAACTGGCTTTCATCAGTGAAGACGATGTTGCACTGGCAATAATAGTCCTCTGTAAGGTCTGTAAGCCCTAACTTATTTAGCCCTGGCCACTGCCTGTCGAGTAAGCATATACCTTAAGGCATCCGTCGCTGATGTCGTCACTGTCAGGAATCGATTCCAGAGATGCAAAGTACGCAAGTACCGGTCTTTATTAGGCGTAGTTACCCTGGGTCTGCCTGTTCTTGGCATGTCTGATGTCTGTCCGGTCTGTCTGTAACGTTGCATCAGGTTAGTTACAGCAACACGGGAGCATCAAAAGTTCTAGCAATATGGGCATGGGTGGCTCCCATCTGTATCCTACCAAGGGCCCACTCGCGGTGTTCGGGTGTCAGTCGTGGCATTTTTGTGATGGTTTCTTATCAGTGTGTGTGTCTGACTTGCCATACCGTCTGTATCAGTTACATACCCTTATTGCACGTGTAGTTTCGGCTGCCCAAGCGGCACGTGTTTTTCACCTCTTCGCATTTTCGGCAAAAAAACATCCCGTGAACGTGTGTCACTTTCTGCAGAGGGCATTGTTGTGTTTGGATGATGTGTTTTGAATTGATCCCGGTCGAACTTGGTTTTTTTTAATTTTTGCAATTTCATTTTTAAAGTGGCAAAGTTTTTTTTGTTCGGCAGTTTGTGTGTGCGTGCATTCGTGTGTGCGAAAATAATGCGTTATGGGTATAAAGGTACTTATGAATCACAACAGTGAGGCAGGGGCACGGGTGGCCCAGTCGTCTACGGCGCCGCGATTCGCTATGCAGAGTTGCGTCCCTTGGGCTCGCCAGAAACCTATGATTGTGGGTTCGAATCCTGGTTTGCCCCAAATATGTTTTAGGTTTATCAGCACCATACCCGTGCTCGTGGGTTTCAGCGCAGTGGTAAACGTCTGAGTCCTGCATCACTTCGGGCTTTCCTCCCACATTAAGCTGGCACGCCGTGATATAACTGGAATACTGTTAAAAGCGGCGTTAAACCCAACTCACTCACTCACTACAGTGAGGATTACATATCTTCGTGAAAAGACATGCATCACATGTGTATAATTAAGAAAATTCAACCATACTGATAACAACCTATTATATCAACACAGTCATTTGGCTGTATCGCCGACCCATGTATCTGATACACATTGTCGAAGATGTTATCTCTGTCCAAGATGGCGTCATGTTGTAGGACTCTCCTCTTGTTCATTGCACTTGTCTCTACCGGATCCGTGTGGGGTCAATCAACACCAGATCAATGTAAGTATGGTGCTGTCTACTCCCGTCTAGTTGTCTACAGTTTCTGTTTCATATAGACCAAAACACCGTCTTAGATATTTCCACCCACCTACTTCATCTTACGTCATAATGTATATCACACTGCGCGAAGACCTTGATACATGGGTTTTTTAGACACTGATAAATACCTTTCTCATCATATACATGTATATATGATTTGAAACTACTTAATCATCAGGTCTCCAATATTGTCAAACCTCTATCTAAACCTACAAGGAACGTTATGCAATAATTTACGGACCAATCGATGTATGAAACTTATTTCGTGCTAGGGGAACTCATTTGCATATGTATCAGATCGTGACTCTAAGTTTATCGGATAAGTATATTGCACAAACACTCAGCAGTATGTGATGAATCATTCGATGAAATATAAAGCGTATTTGTCAAACACGAATAGATATTCTCTTCACGTGTTTTCAGTTGTGCTGGAAGAGAACTGTGACAGCACCTTGCCCTTTTCCGAGAGCGTGATATTGTTTGCCTCAAACCTGTATTCAGTGGAGCAATGTAACCTCTCTATTCAGAGCAGCTTGGAAAACGAAAGGCTCCTCATCGACATCACCGTGTTAGACCTCGTGGACAGCTGCAGCAACACGAGTCTGGACATCCTAGATGAAAATGGAAACAGCATTGCAGGTATGGAGAGTTTTAATTTCAAATGAAATCGACAAACCTCATTACATATTACTCAGATGTTGATAGTACGATTCTGACTTTATCATGATCATGTGTTTCTGAATAACTATCAAATAGCGACGATACCAGGTGTTCGCGAAAAGGTGGACGTATCATGTCCCACCGGTGCCACCCGTCACAAACACATGCAAAGGCAGGTCAATTGGCCAGAATTTCTCATTTCTGTACTTGTCGAAAATAAGTGATGATTGTGATTATACATGGTCAGAGTGTTTGGTGCAGAAGCGTCCCTCAGTCGCGCCCCTTGCTAGTGTGTTGCTCTTCAAATTGTTCACAATAATAACTCAAACGAAATTTCTGCTTTATAAAACATTCGATGAATAATAATGGCATGTTGCTTCATAATACAGGTCCTCTATGTGAGGAGGATAACGCCCAAGTCTTCAAAGCACCGGGCAACACTGCTCAATTTGATTACAAAAGTGACTCTCCGAAAACTAAGGGGAAATCATTGTCGATCCTCATTACTTCGTTCAACATGGGGGTTCAAGGTGTGTATCAAAGTTGTCATATTTTCATTATTTGTTTTACGATCTGCTAACCGATGTGACTCAGGTTTTAATGTGTCTATGTTGCACTTTAATTAAAATATTGTTTATTAGTATTGTAAAAAGTATAAATCCTTCATCCACGATAGACCGAAGTGGTAAACGTCTGAGACCTGCATCACTTCGGGCTTTCCTCCCACATTAAGCTGACACGGCGTGATATAACTGGAATACTGTTGAAAGCGGCCTTAAACCCAACTCACTCACTCACTCATCCACCTTTAGAGCACTTCATTCAATCATTCAACAAATCACCAAGCTAAGACGGGACCCAATCGCACACAACGATCTTAACGTTACGACTATCTTAAGTCAATGTTAACGTATTGGGGTAACGATCGTCGTAGAGTTTGCTTTGTGGACCCAGGTCCCCAGCACTGTATTGCGTTTCGCAGGAGATATTCCATTTACTAATGCTGTTTTGATCCATGTAAGATGTCCATTTTGATGAAAGTACTAGATACTGCCAGAGACCACATATCAGTATGGAGGCCACACATAACGTTCCCTTCTGTGCATCAAATAATAATTAATACCAGGCACATGTCAACAAGAACGAAACAGCATCATAACACAGCAACAATATATTAAGTAAACGTTCCAAATGTATATATTTTTACACTTCCGGTCCCTTCGGACAAAACACCAGGCACTAAAAAATCACATTCTGTTGCTTTATCGTTATTAGTTCCGAGAAAGAAACATTCTTCCTCTACAATTATTCTTCACCAAGACTGAATAGGCCATACTGTGCATATTATGAGAAAGAAACATTCTTCCTCTACAATTATTCTTCACCAAGACTGAATAGGCCATACTGTGCATATTATGAGAAAGAAACATTCTTCCTCTGCAATTATTCTTCACCAAGACTGAATAGGCCATACTGTGCATATTCTGAGAAAGAAACATTCTTCCTCTACAATTATTCTTCACCAAGACTGAATAGGCCATACTGTGCATATTCTGAGAAAGAAACATTCTTCCGCTACAATTATTCTTCACCAAGACTGAATAGGCCATACTGTGCATATTCTGAGAAAGAAACATTCTTCCTCTACAATTATTCTTCACCAAGACTGAATAGGCCATACTGTGCATATTATGAGAAAGAAACATTTTTCCTCTACAATTATTCTTCACCAAGAATAGGCTATACTGTGCATTGACACATGCTTATTTCGGGGACCGAATTGTAAACAATTTAAACAGTAAGTAAACCAGTAATATTATCGAAGTCAAAAACCTGTTTATCTATTGGTATACACGCACATTTCATAAAGTGTCTTGGTTGTTTTTGTTTCAGGGAAATGTGCTTCGATTGAGTACCAGTGCGCCAACAAACTGTGCATACCCAAAGACTTATTGTGCAACGGATACAACGAGTGTTCTGATAACTCAGATGAGAATGACTGCAACGGCCCCGATTACATTCCTCTGGGAGAAAACGCGGGACTTATAGTTGGTGTGACATTCGCTTGTTTGTTGGCGGTTGCAGTGGCAGCATTGTGTCTGACTAGGCTACTTAGGCATCATCGGGGATATGACAGTATTAATTGAGTAACCGTTTTAAATAAAGCTTATGTCCCAGAGGATTCTGCAACAGGATGAATGCAAGATTTTGTCAGATTGATGATTACCAGCATACATCTGTGGCCGCTAATATATGACAGTATGCCTTTCGATGCTATATTCTAATTAAAATAATTAACTGGACTACTTTGTATTAGAGGACCCGTGAAGATCCGGGGAAGGTCTTCAGCAACCCATGCTTGCCGTAAAAGGCGACTGTGCTTGTCGTAAGAGGCGACTAACGGGATCGGGTGGTCAGACTTGCTGACGTGGTTGATGCATGTCATCCATCCCAGTTGCATGTTTGCATTATACATTTTTATATGTAGATGGTCACTGTAGTTAACGAGATACATTTATAAATACCATTCGGGACCACTCGTTTTATTCCGGGACAATCTGAATGAAGCCCTTCTCGCTATCACTAGTTGTTGAAATACATTAGATGGGAGTTGCAGTATCTCCCGTCGACAATATGTATCTTCCTTGCCGTAAAAGGCGACCATGTTGTCGTAAGAGGCGACTAACGTGATCAGGTAGTCAGGCTCGCTGACTTGGTTGGTGCTTGTCATCGTATCCCAGTTACGTAGACCGATGCTCATGATGTCAATCACTGGATTGTCTGGTCCAAACGACAATCCAGTTGGTCGATTATTTACAGACCGCCGTCATATAGCTGGAATATTGCTGAGTGCGGCGGGAAACAACAAACAAACAAACAAACAAACAAACTTTGTATTACAGCAATAAGACGAAGGGACATATGTCATGCCTGGTCGGCTTGAAGGTACATAGTTCCCCGGTTAGAATCCGTCTGATCTGATGAAATAACAAAACTTACACATTATTTAGAATTAAATATGGTATATCCTTTACATGTTAAACTCTGCATTCTGATTGGTCCACAATCGGTATCGAATCTACTTTAGATCCTACTTTTGTGAATGGCCTATGTATAAGAAAATGTTTCTTTGAAAGCACTGTTCTTCAAACACGACCGAAAGGTATTTTCTGGCTTAATCAAAAAAAGTGTGTAATGCTATTTAAACCAAACAAAAACGACGAAAAACGGCAATGTATTTCAGTACCATAAAATAGCGTGACATTTATATCTTCTCCTATATATTCTGTTCTATTTTCATACAGCTATTTTTACGTGTATACGTTTACGAAATGTACATACAGATTGACATAATTTATAAGCATAAAGAAATATAAAGTTAGACGTTATATCATTAAAGTAAAACCACGTCTAGCACAGCTAGCGCACTGACGTCACACAATAAAGGTACGATTAGATAAATGTCACAGCTTGACCTGTCCGTCCTTTGTGACGTGGTACGTCATTTGTATTTTAAGGATTGCTGATTGACGCCCTAAGCGACATGCCACCTGTCATGCATGTTAAGTCTCAGCTTCAGTGCAGATAGATAAGCATACCATTCGTGACCAACTCGTGTTATTCCGGGACAAGCCGAATAGCGACTCGTGCCCCTCTCATGGCCATTTTTGTGACTAGGTTCCGCCTTAGCGCAAACGGGCATACCTAAAACAATTGTCAACTCGTTGCGTAATGGTTCACGTATATTTCTCCATTTATTATATATATTTCAGATGCAATTTAAAGGACATCGGGACGTGCGGAATTATACAGTATGATTGAACACATTTAACTGTGTCTTAGGTATATTTTTAGATGCAAGACATATGTAAAATCAAAAATTATTTCTGAGGGATTATTTGACAAAGAACTCGAAATCATACGCGCATTCTGACTGGTTTGTCGTATTTTCGCACATAGCATTCATCGAGAGGGGGACGAGTCTTCTTGCAGGTTACGGAAAGGGGCGAGTGGTGACGAATGATAATTATACATGTCAATCAGGTACAGTTAATTTATTAACGTCCATTCAAATGAAATTGTATAACATTCATTTCTTATATTGTCCAAATCAGCATGTAGTACGTACTTCTGTAAATGCATTTACTATCATGTGTAAAGCTTTATAATTGTTCTGGTAAGAGAGAAAGGATGGCTGGAGTGACAGTCGACTCACGGGACTCGGGACTCACGGTCCGAGGCCCCTTGTCTCACGTTTGGTCGACGCTTACCTGTGTCCGAGTTCAAGGCTCCACGGAGGGCACGGGTGGCCCAGTCGTCTAAGGCGCCGCGATTCGACGTGCAGAGTTGCGTCCCTTGGGCACGCCAGAAACCTATGATTGTGGGTTCGAATCCGAATCCGATGGGTTCACCCCGATTATGTTTCTAGGTTTGTCAGCACCATACCCCTGCTCGTGGGTTTCACCGAAGTGGTAAACGCCTGAGACCTACATCACTTCGGGCTTTCCTCCCACATTAAGCTGACACGCCTTGATATAACTGGAATACCGTTAAAAGCGGCGTTAAACCCAACTCACTCACTCAAGGCTCCACATACAATAGTCTTGTTCTATCCCATATGGTCCGCCTATGACCTTGTTACGCCATTACTTCCTTAACTATACTTAGGATAAGTACGTGTCAAAAGTAACACTATCGTAGGGTCCGTCATGTAGAGCGAGTGAGTGGGTGAGTTGGGTTTAACGCCGCTTTTAACAGTACTCCAGTTATATCACGGTGTGTCAGCTTGTGTGTAGGAGGAAAGCCCGAAGTGATGCAGGTCTCAGACCTTTACCACTTCGGTGAAACCCACGAGCACGGGTATGGTGCTGACAAACCTAGAAATATAATTGGGGCGAACCGGGATTTGAACCCACAAACAAAGGTTTCTGGCGTGCCCAAGGGACGCAACTCTGCACAGCGAATCGCGGCGCCTTAGACGACTGGGCCACCCGTGCCCACCCGTTATGTAAAGATTAATACACGAGTGTCAGTCAGATACCATTTATCTTACAGCGAACAGTGGAAAAACAAGTTGTAAGAGAAATTGTAGCCTGTAGTGTGAGTGCAGTAATAGCGGATCACTTTAGCATCGAATCGATGCATTCCGTCTATTCTCATGATTGCAGTGGCGCATTAATACATAACAGGACGGCCATGAGTGACGTCACCCGACCCTAATGTGACCCTACACAAAAAGGTTTCCGCCAAGTATATGGATTATCAAGGCGATGATGATAATGCAAACTAGATAAGATCAAATGAATAAAGCCACAAAACCCATTCCATATCCAATAGAAATCTCAGCACGATTCTGAGTGTATCACGAGCACGTGTTTATGAAACACTATCAAATAGAAATGATACCAGGTGTTCGCGAAAAGGTGAGCGTATCCTGTCCCACCGGTGGCACCTGCCACAAACACATGCAAAGGCCAGTCAGTTGTTCACCTGAAAAAACACGGGAACAGACATGTATGGTACAAGTCAAAATAGGGAATTGCATCGGACATCATTTTTGTCAGGGATGCGTCAAATTTGGAAATGTCCTCCACATGTCTACCATAAAACGTTTTGAAAGCTTTACTGAGGCCTTGAATGTTGTAACCTTGATCAAACAACTTCTGATCAAGAGCCTTGGTAGAAAGAGCCCGCTCGATTGTATTTCAAAAGTTGTGAAATGTAAACACCAAAGGCTAGAGATGCTGGAATATTGCACGACGTGAAGGCAAAGTTGACTATTGGACTGTTGAAGTCATCCCTCTCATCATACAGTCTTGTGGAGAGTGATTTGTCACTCTGAATCATTATGCATAGATGAGGTGAGGTGAGATTTGGTTTAACGTCGCGTCCAAGATTATTGCACTTATTTGGCGACGTGCATGCACGTGTGTGTGTGGCTGCTTGTACTAGTCCGGACTGATGCCGATTTAATGTGCTAGCTCACTGAGATACCATGCGGCAGTTTAACATGAATATGCCACTCAGACACAGTATACTGACTCCGAGCCGACCAGTCCTTGTTTTAGCCCCTTAATGACGAGCGCCGGACAGGATAATAACAAGTACCGTCTTTTAACGTCTTTTGGTATGACGCGGTCGGGGATCGAACCCCGGACCTTCCGCTCTCCGGGCGGACGCTCCACCACTAGACCACGGAGTCGGCCAGATCTAAATATGAAACAGATGAGGAGGTCCCATTGGTCTCCTTTATTTCTAGTTCAGGTGGGTAAATCAGTGGAGGGAAATTAGCTATTTGATTGTTATAGAACGATATCAGATCATCAATATAACTAAAGCTTAAGTTACTTCTTGACCAAATTAACTTGTTTAGATTTTGCCAATCCTCGCCAGACGGAAGTCCGTATGCCCAACGCGTCGACGATAATCGGCGACGAGCTGGGCACGATGTGCTTTTTCTCTATTCAAAATTTCGGCTGATAAATCCAGCGAATGGAACAACGAGGGAGGAAAACTTTCGTCAACATATCGCTGGCCAGTATAATGTCCATTCACAATAACCAAATCAGTTCGCCTGCCATGTGTGACGCCGCCCCACACCATGACACTACACCCCCCCCCCCCCCCCCCCCCCCCCCCCCCATACCGATCATGGTCAAGAGTTGTTGCCCTGGCATGCCGCTCGCCGCTACGTCTCCAACAACGTTTTCTGCCATCAGTGAATCGTAGGCAACACCTGGATGCGTCTGCAAACATGATGTGACGCCATGGCCGCATCAACCAGTCCCTTGTGTTGCCCAGCCTTCATTTTGTTCTACAGAATATTGATAACAGGAGCAGATTTGAATCAATTGCGTATTTTTTAGGCCTGCCACGCCCAGATCTCATTGCAACCCCAGCCGTTGGAGGGCACCTGCCACAGAGTCGAGGAATTTAACTTTCTGATTAACCAAACGTTTGGACAATTTGAAATATTGACGTCCCCCATCTATCGTACCCACACTCCGCCATTTTGTCTGTTCATTGAAAAAGGCATTTTAAGCGTGTGCTCAGTTCAGTTGTATTAGTTCCATATAGGCGCAAACAGTTTAGCTTCTGTGCGCACGTGCATTACATGTTTTTCATACACGATGTGAAATTTCATTGTATTTCGACATTGCGTTCAGATGCAACGCCACAGTATTGTAAATGTACACCTCAACGATAGCCGCTTTCAAATCAGCAGATAGATCCCTTATTCATTGCTGGTAGTATGTACAAATTGGTAACAACCTGATATATGAACACAGTCACTTGATATCAGTGATGTATCGCCGACCCTGAATCTGTAACACTCTGTCTCAGATGTTATCTCCTGTTTCCAAGATGGCGTCGTGTTGTGAAACTGTCCTCCTGTTCATTGCACTTGTTTCTATCGGATCCGTGTGTACAAAGACACCAGAGCAATGTAAGTGTGGTGCTGTCTGTTCCCGTCTTGTTGTCTATAGTTTCTGTTTCATATAGACCAAAACACAGTCTGGGATATATCTAACAACCTACATCATCTTACGTGTATATCACACTGCGCGAAGACTTTGATATATGTATTTTTTTAAACACTGAAAAATACCTTTCTCATTATATACATGTATACTTAATCATCCGGTCTCCAATATTGTCAAACCTCTATCTAAACCTACAAGGAACGTTATGCAATAATTTACGGACCAATCGATGTATGGAACGTATTAAAAGTATTTCGTGCTGGAGGAACTCATTTGCATATTTATCAGATCGTGACTCTAAGTTTAGTATATTGCACTGACACTCTTAAGTATGTCATGAAACATAAAGCGTATTTGTCAACCACCAACATATATTTACTTCACGTGTTTTCAGGGGTGTTCGAAGAGAACTGTGGTGGTATCATGAGTTTTTCCGAGAGTGTGATATTGTTCGCCTCCGACCTGCATTTTGTGGAGCAATGTAACCTCGTCATTCAGAGCAGCTTGGAAAACGAAAGGCTCCTCATCGACATCACCGTGTTAGACCTCGTGGACAGCTGCGCCAACACCAGCCTGGACATCCTAGATGGAAATGGAAACAGCATTGCAGGTATGGAGAGTTTTAATTTCAAATGAAATCGACAAACCTCTTTCCATATATCGCAGAAGTATCTGCGATTGTACGATTCTGACTTTATAATGAGTATGTGTCTATGAATAACTATGAAATAGTGACGACGCCAGGTCTCACCGGTGGAACCTGTCACAAACACATGCAAAGGCAGGCCAATTGGCCAGAATGTATTTCTGAATTCTGTACTTGTCGCAAATAAGTGATGATTGGGATTATACATGGTCAAAGTGTTTGGCTAAGTAAACCAAGGTGCAGGAACTTTCTGAGCAGAGTCGCGTCCCTTATTTATGCAAGGACCCAGGGATCATGGTTTGAGTCCTAAATTCGCCCTTAATACGATCCTAGATTTGTTACCAGTTACACAGTTTCTTTGCTCGTGGGTTCACCTTTAGCTCTGAATTCATTACAATACCGTTAAATATACTGGTATCCTGAAAACTCATTATGTTGCTCTTCAAATTGTTCACATTAATACTTAAACGAAATTTGTACTTTGTAAAACATTTGATGAATAATAATGACATGTTGCTTCATGATACAGGTCCTCTATGTAAGGAGGATAAGGCCCAAGTCTTCAAAGCACCGGGCAACATTGCTCAATTTGATTACAAAAGTAACTCTCCAAACACTGAGGGGAAATCATTGTCAATCATCATGACTGCGTTCAACATGGGGATTGAAGGTGTGTATTAAAGTCCTATTTTCATCACTTATGTTACGATCTGCTAACCGTGGTGGCCCAAGTTAGAATGTGTCTCTTTAGCACTTTAATTAAAATAGTGTGTATTGTTATTCTAAAAAGTATAATAACTGCATCCACGGTAGGCGTATTTCATTCATCTTTAATCAACATTACATTCATTCAACAAATCACCTCGCTGAGACGGAGCCCACTTGCACACAACGATCTTAGCATTACGACTATCGTACGTCTGGGTTAAAGTACCGCCTGAGTGGTCTAGTGGTAGAGCGTCCGCCCGGAGAGCGGAAGGTTCATGGTTCGATCCCCGGCCGCGTCATACCAAAAGACGTTAAAAGATGGTACTTTTTGTTACCCTGTCTGGCGCTCGGCATTAAGGGGCTAAAACAAGGACAGGTCGGCTCGGAGTCAGTATACTGTGTCTGAGTGGGGTATTCATGTTAAACTGCGGCATGGTATCACAGTGGGCTAGCACTATAAATCGGCATCAGTCCGGACTAGTACAAGCAGCCACACACACACACACACACACACGTGCATGCACTTCGCTATATATGTGCAATAATCTTGGACGCGACGTTCAACCCAATTTCGCCTCACCTTCACCTCTGGGTTAAAGCATGGGAGTTACGGTCGTCGTAGCGTTTGCTTTGGGCACGTGCACCCAGGTCCCCAGCACTGTGTTCGAGTTTCGAAGAGGTGACTCTGGGAAGTCCGGCTCGGCGATTTGTTGATCGCGACGTATCCCGACGGCGTCATCAATCACTGGTTTGTCTGGTCCAAACTCGATTATTTACGGATCCCCTTGATGTAGCTGTTGCAGCGTGCAATGACATACACTCGCTTGTAAACCTTTGGCCCCTGTTTCATCCCACATGTGCTTTATATTTTTAAGGCTCTCATTCCTGTATGACAGAGAAGTGTCGCTTATGTCTTCCAGGGTCGTGTTCCGAGCTTGACTTCCAGTGTGACAACAAACTTTGCATCCCGAAGGATTTGGTCTGCAATAACTACAACGAGTGTTCTGATAATTCCGATGAAACAGCTGTTTGTAATTCAACTCTAACCTCGACAACTCCGCTCTCGACATCTTCTACTTCCTCGACACCTACTTCTTCCTCGACGCCTACTTCTTCCTCGACAGCAACTTCTGCCTCGACACCTACTTCTTCGTCAACTCTGTCATCGCCAAAACCGACATCGGCATCTGCTTCTTCTTCGACAGCAGCTTCTTCCTCGGCAGCAACTTCTGCCTCGACATCGACTCCTTCGTCTACCCTGTCCCCGCCGAGACCGACATCGGCATCTCCGCCTGCGACTTCCCCACTAACACAGATATGTATTGTGGGCCTAACTACGGCATCGATTGTTGTCAAGATGAATTTTTACTGACTGTCCGGCTTGACATTACCGTTGCAAGGATAATAATGAAATTGATCACTGTTGCCTTGCCTTAAGAGTACAAATGTTATCAGAGTTGTGATGTATTTTGGCCTCATTAACACAGAGATCATGACTGTTCACTATTCGCCCCTGATCACTACGAAGTTGCACTCACAGTGACATCTTGTTAAACAGGAAGCCTCCCATTCTGAACGATTCCTTTTGGGAACTCGACATAGCCAAAAGGAAAATACTCCTTCTGAATCGTTAATCCGACTAAGAAACCGGCCATTTGATATTGGGGGTGCTGGGTGGGGGAATTTGTATAGAGGATCCGTGAAGATCCGGAGTAGAATAGGTCTTCAGCAACCCATGCTTGCCGTAAAAGGCGACTATGCTTGTCGTCAAAGGAGACTAACGGGATCGGTAGGTCAGGCTGCTGGCTTGGTTGATACATGTCATCGATCCCAATTGCGTAGATCGTTGCTCATGACATCGATCACTGGATTGTCTGGTCCAGACTCGATTATTTACAGACCGCCGTCATATATCTGGAATATTGCGGATCGCGACGTTAAACAACAAACCAACCAAGTATAGAGACTAGCTGTTTTAAGCTACATATGCAAAACCAGCTATTTTTTGTCATTAATACTATGAGCCTAAATATATTTTCACAAAAAACAACATTTGCAACGATGTATTTTATGTGACTATCAAGTTCTCTTTTTTCAACTGTCAGAAGCACAAAAGAATTATTTCAAGACGGCGATTGGGAGGCGATTCATTTTCAGTATATCAACTAGTCGGTTCCTTTAACATATGTAGGAATAACGATTTCAAAAGGTGTAATGTCTCTTAGGCTCTGCATACAGCAAACTACGGTTAAAACGAACTCAAAGGGACCACTAATTTCAGTTCGTAATAACCGTATGTCGTTATAAGCATATATAGAGCTTAACTGCAGCAAATATTTGGGACAAAAAAGTAAGTTCGTTATATCCGTCAGTTCGTTATAAGCGTGCTCGTTATAAACGTAGTTTACTGTATGTATATTTGTAACAATAACTGAATGATGAATGATTATATGGAGAAGCGTAAAGCCGATGTTCTCACACAATGTATCTGACAATGTATTTTGTGACAAATGTATTTCGCTGTTTCAGATTTTTCTTAAAGAAAACGTCAGTACATTCCATTACATGTATTACATTATAATTATTTGTTATTAAAATTTCCTTGTGATCTGTTTGCAGATATGTCAGTTTTCACTTAGGTATACTCAATTCACGATGAAGCACATAATATCTCGACATTAAGGGGATAAAACAAGGACTGGTCGGCATGGGGTCAGCACGCTGTGTTTGAGTGGAATGCCCATGTTAAACTGTGGCATGGTATCTTAGTGTGCTAGTGCTATAAGACGACACAAATCCGGACTAGTACAAGCAGACAAGTAAAAGGCGACTATGCTTGTCGTAAGAGGCGACAAACGGGATCGGGTGGTCAGGCTCGCTGACTTGGTTGATGCATGTCATCGTATTCAAACTGCGTGGATCGATGCTCATGATGTCAATCAGTGGTTTGTCTGGTCCAGACTCGATTATTTACAGACCGCCGCCATATAGCTTGAATATTGCTGTGTACGGCATTAAACAACAAACAAACAAACAAAAGAATGAACATTTCATCTTGATGTGGAAGGAAGCCAAAACTACTTCGGGTCAAACCTAGAAACCATCATGAAATAGAATCTAAGATTCGAACCCATGATCACAGGTTTCTGGTACACCCAAGGGACGCTACTCTGCTCAGCGAACTGCAGCACCTTAGACGACAGGTCAACCCGTTCTCCTGTTGCGGTATGACCAAAGTGAGCTGCCGTAGTTGTTGATTGTGTATCAACCAAGCATCGACAAGAGGTTTTTTATTGGGTGATAAGATAACACTGTGCCAGACACATACGAGATCACAGGCTAGCACTTCACGTTATCATTACGCTTATCTGTTCACACTGGCAAACTGTTTAAAAATGAACGAATGAATTTTAATACGAGCGACGAGGTCGGTATGTTCTGACTTGGTTCGAATCCCTGTTCGCGTCGATAACGTTTCTTGTTTTGTCAGTACCATACCCGTGGCGGTGGGTTTTACCAAAGCAGTTAACGTCTAAGACCTGCATCACCTAGGGCTTTCCTAAAAAAAATATATAAAACATTTTTATTAAAAAAACAAAAAAAACTAGGGCTTTCCCCTCACATTCCGCTCACATTCCGCTCACTCACTCACTCACTCACTCACTCACTCACTCACTCACTCAGACTTATCTGTGTTATCACACGGGCCCATGCGGAGATATCCTTGAATCCACTGTTGATAAAGGTTGTCCTATCTACAGTGCATTCATCAACGTATGCGTCACTGTAAAATTAAATAAAATGGCTTCCTATACTGTTGTGTTTCTCTCTCTGTGTATGTCAACATGGACCAGCGGCGGTGCCAAGACACCAGAGACATGTAAGTATACACAGACGTCCTGGTGACCCCTAACCTTCCACCTTCCACCTCTAATATCCATTCTGACCTGATCAAACAGGCAACCTCGGGTCGTCGGCAGTTTAATGATGATACGAGGCTGTCTGTTCGTCAGGTAAAAATGTCTACCAAGGTCATGGGCTTATTTGAGGAATACTACTATTCCACACAGACCACGAATCCCACGAATTGATAAATTTTAGGATTCGTAGTCGAATTTACAATCAGTGAAATTCTTAACTGATTCGCATATATTCGTAGTTAGTTCTTACAATCCTTGAGCTATCGGGAATTCGTGGCAAAAGTTTTGAGCTGTTCAAAGTTTTGGCCACGAACTCCCGATTCAAAAATATCGTAGTTAATTCGTAACAAATTCGTAATGCATTCTTAGGCATCGTAACTGAATCGGTATCGATTCGTAGGCATTCGTAGGTATTCATAAGTCATTCGGGGATTCGTGAATTCGTGGCTTTACGACGAATCGGCTACGAATCTGTCATGAATCCCACGAATACACGCCGAAGCTATCTTGATGGAAAAATCCACCCCAAAATTGTCAAGAATAGTCACGAATTCATTTATTTTTCGTACCTGATTCGTACAATTCGGCGTATTCTTAACTGATTCGTAACTGATTCCTAACTTTCGTGCAGTATTCCTAATAGCTTCTTGTAAATCGTAGTGAATTCTTGACAATATTCAAGCGAATCCAGCCGAATCCCACGAATATTCGTAATTATAATATCGTACCTGTATCGTAACTAGATCGTAGAGCGTCACGAATTGAACCAGAATATTTGCTAAATTCAATATGACAGGGTGACAACAAGTACCATCTTTTAACGTCTTTCAGTATGACGCGGCCGGGGATCGAACCCCGGACCTTCCGCTCTCCGGGCGGACGCTCTACCACTAGACCACGGAGGCGGTCTGATGTTTTGGAAAGTGGGTAGGGTGGGCGTCCATTATATTGGATCTCATCGTTATCGTTTTCGCTTGACCAAACAGCCTCACGTTCATTGGGCGCGATAGGTAGGCTAGTGGTTAAACGTTCGCTCGTCACGCCTATGGCCAGGGTTTGATTTCCAACAAGTGTGAAGCCCATGTCTGGTGTCCCTGTCGTGATATTGCTGCAGTAGAGCTTAGAGCGGCTTAAAACCATACTCACTCATTATATTGTCCAAGTACCTACGGATGCCTATGCTGCCGGATTAGAGCGGATTGTTATTGTCCTAGTATCTACATATTCCTATGCTTCCTTGGTAGAATAGATCCCACAGACTAAGCTGGTCGCAAGAGGCGACTACATATATCAGATGGGTAGGCTCGGTGACGTGGTGAATAGCGTCATGTAGCTGGAACATTCCTGAGTGTGGCGCTAAACAACCAAAGATCTATTTTTTTTAGTGAGTGAGCTTGGTTTAACCTCGCTTTTTTACAGTATTCCAATTATATCACGGCGTGTCAGCTATATATGGGAGGAAAGCCTGAAGTGATGCAGGTCTCAGGCGTTTACCACTTTGTTGAAACACACGAGCACGGGTATGGTGCTGACAATACTTGAAACATAATGGGGGCGAACCGGGATTCGAACCCACAATCAAAGGTTCTACCATGCCCAAGGGACGCAACTCTGCACAGCGAATGGCGGCGCCTTAGACGACTGGTCCACCCGTGCCCCATTTTAATTAGTAAAGTGTGAGTGAGTATTGTTTTACGCCGCTTTTACATGCACTGTTTTAAAAATAGGCGTACAGCTGGGATGACACTTCACCTCCATCTGAAACGATAAGGCACGGCACACAGCCCACCGTTCCATAAGCATTGTTTTTGTAAAAATCACCATCTCTCCGCGAAGCATAAAACCATGCCCTGACCTCAAGTTCCTTTCAGTTACCATGGAGAGCAACTGTGACCAAACACTTTCCTTCTCCGATAGCATGATTCTGAGGGGGAATCTGTCGTCGTCGTGCAATATGGACGTGGAGACTGATGAAGACGCGCTAGGCATCCTCATTGACATCACATCCTTCAGCCTCCCCTTGGAATGCAACACCACGCTGGAGATCGTAGATCCGCTCGGGCCTCGAATATCCGGTAAATTGTTATCATTCTGCAATTGTGTGTCCTTGGGTGAATGAGTAGGTAAGTGAGTATGGTTTTACGCCGCTTTTTAGCAATATTCCAGCATTATCACGGCGGGAGACACCAGAAATGGGCTTCACACATTGACCCATGAGGGGATTCGAACCCGGATCTATGGCGTGACGAGCGAACGCTTTAACCACTAGACCCCACCGCCCCGACGACACATTGTGAAACCCCAATCTTGAGAACGTTAGTCAATAGAACAAAGAGGTGAGGTGAAATGGGGTTTAACGTCGCGTCCAAGATTATTGCACTTATATAGCGACGTGCATGTACGGGTGAGTGTTTGTGTGGCTGTTTGTACTAGTCCGGACTAATGCCGTTATATATTGCTAGCTCACTGAGATACCATGCCGCAGTTTAACATGAATACCCCACTCAGACACAGTATACTGACTCCCAGCCGACCAGTCCTTGTTTTAGCCCCATAATGCCGAGCGCCAGACAGGGTAACAACAAGTACCATCTTTAAACGTCTTTTAGTATGACGCGGCCGGGGATCGAACCCCGGACCTTCCGCTCTCCGGGCGGACGCTCTACCACTAGACCACGGAGGCGAACAATAGAACAAAGAAGGCATTGCATTGATGTATTGAGCTTGAAAGTAGTACCTGCTTGGCGACCTCATTTGAATAGTCATCGGATCGTGTTTCAAGTTTATCGGATTGGTTTGTCGCATCCATGACTTTAACCATTTATGATAAATACAAGTTGGTCAATACATAGATCTGAAGTACAAAAATGTAGACCAGCCAAAATGTCAGTATTCATTAAGTTTGTTATGTGATAGTCACGTGAACGAAACTAATATGGATTCCTTCCAGTGCTGGCCGACAGATGGTGTTTCAGACTTACGTGTTTGGCAAAGTTAGTTTCATTATAACCTTTGTATTATCCATTCCATTTAAAACGGTTGTGAAGAAGTATGGAAAACCGTGTCCGGGGTCCCGTTCCTCAAAGCGATCTTAGCGCTACGACTGCCGTACGTCTATGTTAAAGCATGGGAGTTACGATCAACTTAGCACTATGATCGCTTTGTGGAACGGGGCCCAGAGGAGAAGTGTTAACTTGGCGTCCACAAGGATATTATAAGTATTCTGACCTTATTGCACATTACGTTATCATTGGTGACGTCATAACATTGACAAACCCATACTCCACTTGATCAAACAGTATAAACATTACGTCAGTTGTGACGTCATATATATTGTGACGTCATTATGTCAACTTAAGTGCAACATGGCGTCTACAAATCATTATTATACTATTCTATATATGTTCTACTTTCCACCCAACAGGAACATTGTGCGGCTCCAGATTGGCCACCAAGGTGTTCAACACCTCTGTGCCAGCCATAGCTCTGCAGTATGACACGGACACAATAGACTCCGATGCTACCTTCACTATCATACTGACATCGCTCAAACGAGGGCCTATTGGTAAGTTCCCTGTTTACTTCTGTGGTACAATGGTAATGACAGTGCACACCTCTACAGCGCGTTATCCACAAAATGGATGTTCAAATGTATCACAGCTTAAGGGAACAGGGTCCATTCATTTTGCAGTCTCAGTTCCCCGGGGAGTATACAATCCATGCTGTCTATTTTGCACTGGAAGGTACTGCATTTACGTTTACATCTCATACTACCGGGCACCCATTGACTGCTGGGTGAATTGAGGCCAATGTATAAGTTGCCTCGACTCAGGAGACGCCACTACGTGTTTAACCTGTGTTTCGGTCATCCTTCGCCATCTGCTTGTCGGTGTTGGGAGTTATAGAGACTTCTACATTGGCTACTATTAATAAAATATGTTTTAAGATAGATGCATCTGGGTTCTTATACATGTATCTCTGATGCGATGGGCTATAATTTTGTTCGAAAATATTCAAGCCGGTATCGGTTTTGATTGGCAAAATGGCGTCCCAAATGAAACCGTCATTCTCATCTTCAAACTCAAACACGACTTGCTTGTTAATGTGTTCAACAACATCGTTAACAACAACAACAACAACAACAACAACAACCTGATTACGGTACAATCCTTTTTATTCTGGAAACACATTTGTCCAGGAACTCTCTTCGCTATGGCGTGTCTCGGTTGAGATATTTACAAAATTCATCATGCTGTATTCACGTGTGCATAAAATACTAAGGAAGGACAAATTAAAGTTAAATCGAAAAATCAAATGTTCCTTTGATCCAAACTCATTTTTCTATTTGTTTTGCTTTGTAAAAACACAAAGTTGTATTTTATATTTAAAAAAAAGTATCAGGAAATAATAGTGAACTAATATAAGTTTTAGCATACTTAACCACTTTTTAGCGTTAAAAGACCACATGGCCAATGGTTTCCATTTCCCCAAATTTGTTTTCTTCGTTTTTTAGGAAGCTGCTTCAACGACGCCTTCCAGTGCAGCAACAACTTCTGCATAGCCAAGACGTTAGCCTGCAATGGTGTGGACGAATGCGCTGATAATTCAGACGAAACTCGCGTCTGCGACAGTTCAGCCCGCCTCTCGTCTGTGCCAGTGTTGACAACGGTTGTAGCATTATTTGCCGTCATATCGGGTTCAGCCGGACAAAGATGATTTCCTGACCTGAATTTTCGATACACTGTTGTTATATGTGTTGTACTCAATACAGAGGTGTGTTCCTTCTCTGTACAGCCCTTGAATTGTTATGTTTTAATTTAAGGAAGTATTGATTGATGATTGTTTGTTGTTTAACGCCGCACTCAGCAATATTTCAGCTATATGACGGCGGTCTGTAAATAATCGAGTCTGGACCAGACAATCCAGTTATTGATATCATGAGCATCGATCCAAGCATTTGTGATACGATGGCATGCATCAACCAAGTCAGCAAGCCTGAACACCCGATCCCGTTAGTCGCCTCTTACGCCAAGCATAGTCGCCTTTTACGGCAAGCATTGGAAATGCCTTCTTCATGTCTACATAAGACCTTTTTTTTGAAGGTTTTACTGAGGCCTTGAATGTTGTTACCTTTATCAAACAACTTTTAAGCAAGAGTCTTTGAAATCGCCGAAGAAAAACCATGCTCGATTGTTCCTCAGAAGTTGTGGAATGTAAACGCCAAAGGCTGGAGCTGCAAAAATATTGCTCGACATGAATTGAACATTTGCTACTGGAAAGTTGAGGTCATCCCTCTTGTCATAAGTCTTTGTGGAAAGCGTTTCTCTAAATCTTTATGCATAGATGTAAATATGAAACAGACAAGGTGGTCTCACTGGTCTCCTTCAGTTCTAGTTCAGGTGGGTAAATCAGTGGAAGGGGATTGGCTATTTAATGATTAAAACACTATAATAACCATCACAACAACCGTCAAATGAGACAGAGCAAGGACATTTGGGAGCTGTAAAGAATTAGCTGCATATCCATGCCCGTCATAATTAAAAACCAAACAAAAAACATTTGACCCGTGACGATCCGGGGTGGAATAGGTCTTCAGCAACCCATGCTTGATGTAAAAGGCGATTATACTTGTCGTAAGAGGCGACTAATTGGATCGTGTGGTCAGGCTCGCTGACTTGGTTGATGCATGTCATCGTATTCCAATTGCTAGGGACCCTTTATGATCCAGGGTAGAATAGGTCTTCAGCAACCCATTCTTGCTGTAAAGGGCGACTAACGGGATCGTGTGGTCAATCAGTGTTACTTTCGGCAATTCTCGTAATAAAACTCATAAAATGAAACCTTAGATATAAAACAAGATGGCTGCCATGATGAGAAGCACAACACCCATGTGTATTGCTATAACACACAACGGGGCGGTCGGGTAGCCTCGCGGTTAAAGCGTTCGCTCGTCACGCCGAAGATCCGGGTTCGATTCCCTACATGGGCACACTGTGTGAAGCCCATTTCTGGTGTCCCCCACCGTGATATTGCTGTAATATTGCTAAAAGCGGCGTAAAACCATACTCACTCACTCACTAAGCATTGGCAACTTCGGTCAACAGGATCTTGAATTCCAACTGTGCAAGTTAGGTCCGGTTGAATAATGGCACGTCACAAATATGCCCGTAAACAGGACGTATTGTATCCGTATATTAAATATTTATCATGCATTATGATCAGAAATGTCGGCTTTTATGACATCATCGGGTAATGCGGATCTTTTCTGACCTGAAATCCACTTGATGATTCTCAGCGAAACTAAAGTGTGAAATTAAAGTTAGTATTACATTGATCGTAATACTAAGTTTAATTTTACACTTTAGTTGGGGGAGAGAGAGTGTGTGCGTGTGTGTTTGTGTGTGTGTGTGTGTGTGGGGGGGGGGGGGGGGGGGGGGGGGGTTTGATTGACATTGCGCTTATTGTAAGGCGACTAAATTGTTCGGTATAAGAGGTACAAAATTATTTCAACATAATACATATACATATAAATGGAGAATAGATACAAAACATCTTTGCCGACCATGCATGATATACACATGCACAGATTCTCCTGGTAACTATATGTGGGCAATTATATAGGGAGTGAGTTACTTGATAGGTTTAAACAATGAAGTATTGACTGCAAATATGGACAATTTTCTCAATGTTCCTAATCGTGGATTATTGAAAGGTAAATTCATTTTATACATATTGGGTTCAATGTTGTAGAATCTGTGTAAAAAGTGTGTGTGTTTTTTCTTTTTCTAAAGATGGACAAATAATCAAATAATGGAATTCATCACCTATGTCAGATAGTTTACAAAGTTGACATTTTCTTTCGGTTACAGCTATTTCCCCATCTCCCAGTTTCATTAGGTAGATTATGGTTCTAAACTTAAGTGACCGCCTCCGTGTTCTTGCGATAGAGCGTTCGCCCGGAGGGCGGAAGGCCCGGCCGCGTCATACCAAATGACGTTAAAAGATGGTACTTGTTGTTACCCTGTTTGGCGCTCGGCTTTAGGGGGCTAAAACAAGGACTGGTCGGCTCGGAGTCAGTATACTGTGTCTGAGTGGGGTATTCATGTTAAACTGCGGCATGGTATCAGTGAGCTAGCACTATAAATCGGCATCAGTCCGGACTAGTACAAGCAGTCACACAAACACACAAACACACACGTGCATGCGCGTCGCTATATAAGTGCAATAATCGCGACGTTAAACCCAATTTCACCTCGCTTCTAAACTTAAGCAAGACTCGCCAAACGTTTTCCTGCAGTACTTTTTAGTAATATTCAAAATTTAGAATTATCATTTTTTTATGACACAAAACATTGCGCCTTTTGAACGACGTGTGGTTCAACATCAACCACTGGTTTGTTTCGGCCATTATTTACAGGCCGCAATCCGACAGCTGGATAACAATATGCAAACTGCAGTTGAATGTGAATCTCCTGCCTGTATGTTTCTGTACATTATAGCTAAATGGATACAATTGTCATAAAATTATCTTGGAAGTATCATAGAATTATCATAGTTAGTGAGTTGGGCTTAACGCCGCGTTGAACAGTATTCCAGTTATATCACGGCGTGTCAGCTTAATGTGGGAGGAAAGCCCGAAGTGATGCAGGTCTCAGACGTTTACCACTTCGGTGAAACCCACGAGCACGGGTATGGTGCTGACAAACCTAGAAACATAATTGGGGCGAACCGGGATTCGAACCCACAATCATAGGTTTCTGGCGTGCCAAAGGGACGCAACTCTGCACAGCGAATCGCGGCGCCTTAGACAACTGAGCCACCCGTGCCCCCGAATTATCATAGAATGTGTGTTCATTGCTTCCGGCTGTGGGATCTGTGCCAATTTACACTTGTCAGAGGGGTACACAAAGTACGTGATCTAGACTACCAGTTGTCGGATTTTGTGGAAGCTTCGGTGGCTGAGTGGGTTAGCTCGCTGATTTTGTGTGATGGCGATTAGGTGCCTTACTGTGGCAGTGTGGGTTCGAATCCCAGATGGGACTCAACCCACAAATAAGTACTAGAATCTGTACTTTACTAAGAAAGTGTTATCCAAGAATAATCATAAAGTATCATAAACTTATCGTAAAATTAACGTAGAATAATCATAACATTATCGTAAAATTATCATATGTCGAAACATTAAGAAAGTCTAGTTTTAATCTATATCAACACATGTGATAAAATTGCCACACTTGTAAATAATGCTGATCATGGGACCTATAATGCGGCAGTCGCATGTCCTTATATGGACGAAGCAGTTAAATATTCAAATACCGGATCTCCCAAGCATATTTAAATGAGTAGACTCTTGTCTCACTGAACATCTTGACTCGAAGATGAACACGTGGTGTACGTTCGTGCTGTTGCTACCCCTGCTGCGGGCGTCGCTAACTCATGAAGTCACGGTTCAGCTTGATGAACTCGCGACTGCTGTTGGTGTTGAGAAGTGTCGTCTACGTCCACGCGGACACGCGTCAAACCAAGAGACGGTTGTCCTCTACGACGACGAGAAATTGATATATAATTTCTGTTTGAAGAAAAGGAAATCGTTTTCGCTAGAAAAATTGCGGTACTCCAATGACGGCCTGTCGGATCTCCTGACCTTCCATCTTGATTACCAGGAGGTCGGAAGCTGGGTAACGCGAGAAAAACGTGGTGATGGTGTATTATGGAACACTATACTGGAAGTCGAAAATTTCGGTGAAAATGTAAGTGTCGAAGCGGGCAATCATCAGTTGACGGTCAAGGTGGAGGACGGTGACCAGTATGGGGTAGAGCTGGACTCACTGACCTTCAGCCTGGACACAACAGATGCTGACGACGATAGCCAATGCAGGATCCCCGGATCACAAGCCATTACGCCTCTCTTCGGAGGATGCGACCCAGGTAATTTGTTTTTTCTGTCTTCTGAGAGAGTGAGTGAGTTTGATTTTACGCCGCTTTTAGCAATATTCCAGCAATATCATGGCGGGGGACACTAGAAATGGGCTTCACACATTGTACCCATGTTGGGAATCGAACCCGGTCTTCGGTGTGACGAGCGAACGCTTTAACCACTAGGATACCCGACCGCCCCTCTGTCATCTGAGATCCCTAGGGAATCCGGGGTAGAATTGATTCCCATCAACCTATGTTTGTTGTTGGAAGAAATGTGGATCGGTTGGTCCGGTTCGGTGACTTGGTTGTTTGCGTGTCTTCATACTCCTATAGCATAGGCGTTGCTCATAATATCGATCACTGGTATGTCTGGTTCAGACTCGACAATTTACAGGCCGCCCTCATATAGTTGTATTATTGCTGAGTGTGGCGAATACGAACACCATCATTATATGTGTGTGTCTTATTTTGCATTTGGGTTGTTTTATAACCTTCATTACAGTGAGTGAGTATAGTTTCAAGCCGCTTTTAGCAATATTCCAGCAATATCACGGCGGGGGACACTAGAAATGGACTTCACACATAGTTCCCATGTGGAGAATCGGACACGGGTGTTTGGCGTGACGAGCGAACGCTTTATCCACTAGACTATCCCACTGATCCATCTTCATAAGAATAATATTGAGTGAGTGAGTGAGTTTGGTTTAACGCCGCTTTTAGCAATATTCCAGCAGTATCACGGCGGGGGACACCAGAAATGGGCTTCACACATAGTACCCATGTCGGGATTCGAACCCGAGTCTTCGGCGTGACGAGCAAACGCTTTAACCACTAGGCTACCCGACCGCCCCCATAACAATAATAGTCCTCATTAAAATTATTGCGCGTAATGAAAGCTGACGCATGTGTTTTTTGTACCTTTGTATCTGCAATTGTATAAGATCTAGGTTGACTTGTCTCCGTGGTCTAGTGGTAGAGCGTCCGCCCGGAGAGCGGAAGGTCCGGGGTTTGATCCCCGGCCGCGTCATACCAAAAGGAGTTAAAAGATGGTACTTGTTGTCACCCTGTCTGGCGCTCGGCATTATGGGGCTCAAACAAGGACTGGTCGGCTAGGAGTCAGTACACACACACACACGTCGGTATATCAGTGCAATAATCTTGGACGCGACGTTAAACCCAATTTCACCTCACCTCGACTCACCTCGCGCTACCATGTCACTAGTATCGAGGCTTTTTTTTTGCTTTTTTTTGTGGGAACATATACACTAATGCATATTGTATTTTCATTTCACAGACCAAACCGCATGTGGCTTACCCCCTCCCTTACCAAACGCGGACGTTTCGTTCAAGGGGAGGTACGTCGGTGCAACGGCAACGTACACCTGTCGCCCGGGATTCCTCTTCTGTGGGAGAAGCACCAAACACCGGTGTTCCAGCGTGGGAGAGTGGGAGGGGCTCTATGGCTCGTGCTATAGGGCGAGTTGGCCACACCCAAAGCCGGTATGTAAATGTTTCAGATGTATTTAAGAATTGACTCTCACTTTGTGTTAGTTCACTTTATGAACCTTTATAGAGTGAGAGTCAAACTGTATGAGTGAGTGAGTGAGTGAGTATGGTTTTACGCCGCTTTTAGCAATATTCCAGCAATATCACGGCGGGGGACACCAGTAATGGGCTTCATACATTGTCGGGATTCGAACCCGGGTCTTCGGCGTGACGATCGAACGCTTTAACCAATAGGCTACCCGACCGCCCCCAAAACTGTATGAACGTCGGAGCTTAGAGTCAACTACGATAGTTTGGATGTGCGTATTTTCGTTTTGTTTTCCAGGATGGGTTGTAGCGAGGATATCCAAACTCTATGCATGACTAAACCCAATGTATGCTAACGCGCTAAATGAGGGTCTAAATGACAAGAAATAACGCTTCTGTATGGATTCGTGCAAGGGAACCCTCATGGGTTCCCCCAGGAATGTTGAAGTAGTCCGTCAGTGTTTACGTTATTTCAAGAATGCAGTCTCGCGAAAAACATATGAACGTCAAACTGTGACATTCATACACTTATGAACTTCAGTTTCGCGGTCATGTGACCGACCCCTCGCCCAATGGAAAAACCGTATATCGTGTAAACTTTCACCTCGATTATCCAGTGTATCATTATCATATCTCTACTGTGTTGATATATACTACTCAAAAGAAGTTAAAGAACACCAGATTTTATTTTCAAATGAAAATAGATAATTCGTCATGCAACCCTCAGTTTTCCAGTTGTGGGTGTTCTTTGACTTGTTTTGAACAGTATATATATATATACACTGGGCCCATTCGCCATCACTTCGAATCGGAAGTGACGTCACCATCCCAAGCTCTCTTGTTACTTTCTTAAGCTGGGCCCTGTCTCTACATATCGCAATGTATTTGATTACGGCGGCTTATGCCATATATAGTACTTTAAGACGTAATCTTAGGGGCAAAAGCTACTGTGATGATATATATACATGCCTTGATGAATGAACTTTGATAACAATGATGGTGATATGGACTTTTAGGTTGTACATATGATTATACATCTTGAAGGGACTGAGTGAGTGAGTGAGTTGAGTTTAAAGCCGCTTTGAGCAGCATTCAAGGTATATCACGGCGTGTCAGCTTAATGTGGGAGAAAAGCCCGAAGTGATGCAGGTCTCAGACGTTTACCACTTTGGTGAAACCCACGAACACAGGTATGGTGCTGAGAAACCTAGAAACATTATTGGGGCGAACCGGGATTCGAACCCACAATCATAGGTTTCTGGCGTGCCCAAGGGACGCAGCTCTGCACATCGCATAGACGACTGGGCCACCCGTGCTCCCTCATACATCTTGTAACTGAGTTAACAACAGACTACTTATCAAGACGAAACATTGTTAGTGTACACTTGGCCTTGGCCTAAATAATATTTCACATTCGTACTGTCATATATGACCCAGTCTCAAGGGTTAATGTCATTTTGTATTGACTGGTTATTTGATCACATGACGTTAATTAACCCTTCAACTTACAGGGAGTGGAGTTTGATGTGTCACTTCCCTGGGGTATTACTGACCAGTACTCGCTCGAGATTATAGCCACGCTAACGGTCCGCCAAAGGTATGTTTCCAATGGTTGCATTTACGCCTGTGACGTATTTAATAGCGTGCTTGTATGTGACAAACTGGCGTAGCCATTTACAAATAATTGTGATGCTTGAATAATGGCGATTGTCATCCATTGTTTCATTTCAATTGCATGTTTAATGTGAACATATTGATCACTGTGTCATTTCAAGTGCATGTTTAATGTGAACATATTGATCATTGTGTCATTTCAAGTGCATGTTTAATGTGAACATATTGATCATTGTGTCATTTCAAGTGCATGTTTAATGTGACATATTGATCATTGTGTCATTTCAAGCGCATGTTTAATGTGAACATATTGATCATTGTGTCATTTCAAGTGCATGTTTAATGTGAACATATTGATCATTGTGTCATTTCAAGTGCATGTTTAATGTGAACATATTGATCATCGTGTCATTTCAATTGCATGTTTAATGTGAACATATTGATCATTGTGTCATTTCAAGTGCATGTTTAATGTGAACATATTGATCATTGTGTCATTTAAAGGATAACGTCATATTCCCTGCTTTATTAACGGAGCGTGTTACGTATAACGTCACATTCTCTGCATTATTAACGGAACGTGTTACGCATAACGTCACGTTTCCTGCATTATTAACGGAGCGTGTTACGTATAACGTCACATTCTCTGCATTATTAACGGAACGTGTTACGCATAACGTCACGTTTCCTGCATTATTAACGGAGCGTGTTACGTATAACGTCACATTCTCAGCATTATTAACGGATCGTTTAAAGGATAACGTCACATTCCCTGCATTATTAACGGAGCGTGTTACGCATAACGTCACGTTCTCTGCATTATTAGCGGAGCGTGTTACGTATAACGTCACATTTTCTGCATTATTAACGGAGCGTTTAAAGGATAACGTCACATTCCCTGCATTATTAACGGAGCGTGTTACGCATAACGTCACGTTCTCTGCATTATTAGCGGAGCGTGTTACGTATAACGTCACATTTTCTGCATTATTAACGGAGCGTTTAAAGGATAACGTCACATTCCCTGCACAATTAACGGAGCGTGTTACGCATAACGTCACGTTTCCTGCATTATTAACGGTGCGTGTTACGCATAACGTCACATTCCCTGCATTATTAACGGAGCGTGTTACGCATAACGTCACATTCCCTGCATTATAAACGGAGCGTGTTACGCACAACGTCACATTCCCTGCATTATTAACGGAGCGTGTTACGCATAACGTCACATTTCCTGCATTATTAACGGTGCGTGTTACGCATAACGTCACATTTCCTGCATTAACAGCAGCAGTATAATAATTACAATAATTAGCTGTCATAATTAATATTTATATTTTCTAATTCAGATTCACGGTTTCTCTCATCTCCAACGACATTCGGCTGTTCTACTTGGAAGTCCGTTTCGAGAGCACTTCATCCATCCACGCGAACGTGTACCTGTCATCAGGTTTATCAAACATACAACCCTTTACGCTGGGGAAGCAGTTCCGGCTGGTGGTAGTACGACAAGAGCATACCTTTCAAGTGAGTGTCTTCAAGTAGTGTTAATACAAGGGCCCTGTTCAACAAAGCGATCTTAGCGTTAAGACGATCGTAACTTTCATATTTAATACTGACTTATAGTGCTAAGATCGCTTTATTGACCAACAAATTGCAAAACTTTGTTTGTTTGTAACATGCCTCGCTCAGCAACATTCCAGTTTTATTATGGTGATCTGTAAATAATCGAATCTGGAGTAGACAAATCAATCATTGATTTTTTGTTAAACAACAAATAAAAAAAAATTAAAAAAACATATATCCCCTGGGTGCTCGAACTTGTCCCTTAGGCGTGGTCCCTGTGGTCGTCGCTTCGAATCCCAGAGTCGCTTTGATAATGTTTCTTGGTTTGTCTGCGGTTGATTCTGGGACATCGATCATGGACGGGAGCACGGGTGGCCCAGTCGTCTAAGGCACTGCACGTCGCTGTGGAGTGTTGCGTCCCTTCAGCACGGCAGAAACCTATGATCGTGGCTTCGAATCCCGATTCACCGGTTATGTTTCTAGGTTTGTCAGCACCATACCCGTGCTAGTGGGTTTCACCAAAGTGGTAAACGTCTGAGACCTGCACTTTTGATGTACCTGGCCCATCAAGCTGACACGCCGCGATATAACTGAAATACTGTTCAAAGCAGCCTCAACTCACTCTTTTCCTCCGGGGGACACATGTGGCCCAGTCGACTAGGGCGCCGCGATTCGCTGTGCAGAGTTGCGTCCTTTGGGCACGCCAAAAAACCAGTGATAATGAGTTCGAATCCCGGTTCGCCCCTATTATGTTTCTAGGCTTGTCAGCACCATACCCGTGCTCGTGGGTTTCACCGAAGCGGTAAACGTCTGAGACCTGCATCACTTCGGGCTTTCCTCCCACATTAAGCTGACACGCTGCGATATAACTGGAATACTGTTAAAAGAGGCGTTAAACCCAACTCACTCACTTTTCCTCCGAGTTTGGCAGCAGAGAATAGTTGTCAGTATCAATCATGTGTTTGTCATTACAGGTGATTGTTGACGGAGAATACATCGGGGAACAGTGCAACACCTACCCGTCCTTCCACACAGACCGGTTGGTCATCAGCAGAGAAGTCACAATCGAGCAAGTGACCTACATCAGTCAAGAATTCAAGTGACCCTGATCAAAGATGGCTGCCTGTATTGCGGAGATACGATCGTTTAAGTTGTTGAAATAAAGACTCCTAACGTTATGAAAGCAAACGGTCTTAATGCTTTATGTGTTCAGGATTATTTGGTGTACTGGTAGTGTTGGATAGTTATATTACGACATACTCATATATATAATTATATATATACACACACACATATACATACAACACATCTGTCATTTGTGAGACTGGTGCTAGCATAGCAATGATGATTGGTATGATTGAGAGGCGCTGCATGATGACAAAGTTTGAAGATATATTTCCCGAAACAACCTAAAGTTTTGATAAATTAGCAATTAGACAAAAGTTGTAATAACCTAAGGGTGAGTGAGTGAGTGAGTGAGTTGACAATGGAAGAATGACAAAATCACAGTTTCAAGTATTTTATTCACAGACGTTTAGTGTTCAGTATAACACAACATGAGTGTCACAACAGTATATCATTGTTAATTTGGACGGATAGAGGAAGAGAATGACTCTTTCATATTCTTGGAGGGAGTGCTGGGATTTTGTCTGGAGATTAGGCCTAAAAAATAAAGGAATTGGTTTTCAGGCAACAACTTTTTGAAAATATAGTGTGGGTGGGCGGTAGTATTTTTGTTTTTTTGTCCAAACTCGTATGTAAGCAAATAAACAGTCGTGTACCATCAACCTGGGAAAGAGCCTCCCTACATACGTTTACCACTTTGATGAGTGAGTGAGTGAGTGAGTATGGTTTTACGCCGCTTTAAGCAATATTCTAGCAATATCACAGTGGGGTACACCAGAAATGGGCTTCACACATTGTACCAATGTCGGGAATCGAACCCGGGTCTTCAGTGTGACGGGCGAACGCGTTAACCACTAGGCTACCCAACCGCCCCACTACTTCGATGAACCCCACAAGCACCGGTATGGTGCTGAAAAACCTTGTAGAAACATAATCGGGCGAAACTGGGATTCAAACTCATGATCTTAGGTTTCTGGCATGCCCAAGGGACACAACTCTCCTCAGTATGATGCAATGATGCAAAGGAAGCAAGTGAAAAGGTAGTGAAATAATTATCGCCATCTAAGTCACAAATCACAGGCGTAGACAGTCCGAGGCAAGGGAAATTCCAGGGGGGCTAATAGAAGAATGACAAAATCACAGTTTCAAGTATTTTATTCACAGACATTTAGTGTACAGTACAACACAACATGAGTGTACAATACTATAGTGTATATCATTGTTAATTTGGACGGATAGAATAAGAGAATGACTATTTCATATTCTTGGAGGGGGTGCTAGGATTTTGTCTGGAGATTAGGCCTAAAAAATAAAGGAATTGGTTTTCAGGCAACAACTTTTTGAAAATATAGTGCGGGTGGGCGGTAGTATTTTTGTTTTTTTGTCCAAACTCTTATGTAACCAAATAAACAGTCGTGTACCATCAACCTGGGAGAGAGCCTCCCTATATAAACAAGCATACAGATTCCTATTGCTGCATTGACCTTAACACCAGGAAGCAGTGTTCATGTAAAGGGAAGTAACTGAATGCTATATTGGATTGCATTGTTTTTAAGTATTAGGATTTTCATATTTATTTTGAAAATGGAAATAAAATCAAACCATGTGGTGGACTTTCAGATGATGCGGGCGGTGCCTGAGAACCAAGACTAATATTTTTTTTAGCCTAAAATAATTTCTTAGCTACAGCTGCAAAACAAGATATTATTGAATTAAAACTATGATACTGAATATTTTCTTGAGAAAAACACCTTGCAACAATGTAATTGATTTAACAGAGAAGTCTTCTTTTTTAACGTTCTGAAGCATAGACATTATTTTTAAGAATTTTCTGGAACAATATGTTTTTGGGGAAAAAATCCCTGCATCCCCCCTCCCCTCCCCTCCCCTCCTCCAACCCCAAATGTCAGTCCCTAACATAACAAGATTTTAACATAACTTCAATAAGATCACTCAGAAATAACATCATACAAACACAATGCCATGACAAATTGTAAATCAATACAAAATAAATATTTTGAGCATGTAAAAACAAGTAAATTAAATTTGCAAAATAAGAAATACTGTTCCCTTTGATGATTAAAATCAACACTTTTCATGGAGGTTCTACAGATTTGCTGAACACAACAAACAAAGGAACCAAAAGATAAATTGATATTTTTTTTACATTTGAATTGCATGTGTCTCCACAGATACACACCAGGAAACAAGTCAACCACCATCCATTCAATATCTTCACATATTCCGAGCTTCCATATACCTTATGGAAATTTCTACACATGACACTGATCTCATTTTTATATATATGTAACGTGGGTGAACACGGAGGCAGTCAAATATCTAACACAACCGACACCATATCACGAGTATACAGTCAAGTCATTTAATGCAAAGAATGAGTGCTTTGACCGCTTTGAACAGTATTTCAGTCATATCACGGCAGTCAGCTTATTATCAACCTGAGGTAAGGTGAGGTGAAATGGGGTATGGTGAGTGAGTGAGTGAGTTGGGTTTAACGCCGTTTTAAACAGTATTCCAGTTATATCACAGCGTGTCAGCTTAGTGTTGGAGGTTTCTGGCGTGCCAAAGGGACGCAACTCTGCACGGCGAATCGCGGTGCCTTAGACAACTTAGACAATTGAGCCACCCACGCCCCCGAATTCATGATCTTAGATTTCTGGCATGCCCAAGGGACACAGCTCTCCTCGGTATGATGCAATGAGTGAGTGAGTGAGTTTGGTTTTATGCCGCTTTTTGCAATATTCCAGCAATATTATGGCGGGGGACACCAGAAATGGGCTTCACACAATGTAGGGAATCGAACCCGGGTCTTCGGCGTGACGAGCAAACGCTTTAACCACTGGGCTACCCGACCGCCCAATGATGCAATGATGCAAAGGAAGCAAGTGAAAAGGTAGTGAAATAATTATCGCCATTTAAGTCACAAATCACAAGCGTAGACAGTCCGAGGCAAGGGAAACTCCAGAGAGGCTAGTTGCTTTCCAAACTCTAGCTATTTTACATAAACAGCTAATTCGAAATGAGCAGCGATCTAGTTGGATTCGGCCAAAGATATGTCAACCCCTGATCATGTCATCAGATATCAACTTAGGTCCCTGTATGTCAATATGTTTGCTTGTTTGTTGTTTGACGCTGCACTCAGCAATATTCCAGCTATATGGCGGCAGTCTGTAAATAATCAAGTCTGGACCAGACAATAAGGGATTGACATCATGAGCATCGATCCATGCAATTTGGATACGATATCATGCATCAACAAAGTCAGCGAGCCTGACACCCGATCCCGTAAGTAGCCTCTTACGACAAGCATAGTCACCTTTTCAGCAAGCATGGGTTGCTGAAGACTATTCTACCCGGGATCTTCAGGGGTCTTGTTTCATTTGAAGCCACTAACAAACATGACTGTGTATTCTTTTGCCAGGCAGTTTAGATAGGAGACATATTTAGTGAGCCATAGTGAGCCACTACTGCAAGCATGGGTTGCTAAGACCTATTCTACCCCAGAGCTTCACAGGTAGTATGTCAATAGGAGAAAGTAACATTGAAAACCAACAAATAATTAAGAGAAAATTACCGCAGTATACAAATATTCAAAAATGGCTCTTTGATCTGGAAATTTCCAGTTGGAGGTAATTCATGCCTTTTCCCGGCAAATTGTATTTCAAATGTTGTGTAATCTGTGGCACATTGCTGGAGTCATGACTCTCCCCTCTCAGTAGGAAACTTGTCGATCAGCGACCTGTAACACAAAGCCATCACTGCGCTACGATGATCGTAACTCCAAACTTTAACATAGACTAATGATCATCGTCACGCTATAATTGCTTTATGAAACGAGGACCTGATTATAATTAAAAACAAAACAGCTTACAAAGCACATGGAATCAAACAACTACTGACCCAACAAATGCAAATATCAAGTACGAAACTATATTTGATAATGAGTCATTTATATAAAAATATCTATGTAACAGAGAGCAGGCATTCAGACATGAAACAACACTTCCTCCTCTTGTAATTACACTTGACGAAACTGACACTTCAAGCTGTCATCAATCAGACACTAAGCGGTTAATCAACCTTCTCTCTTCTTCATCAAGCAGCATCACTTCCCCGTCAAATATTGATGCAGCCCCTGTTGAGCATAAAGTACTCGTATAATCATGGGTGACAAAAGCTTGAGTGAGTGGGTGAGTATGGTTTTACGCCGCTTTTAGCAATATTCCAGCAATATCACGGCGGGGGACACCAGAAATGGGCTTCACATATTGTACCCATGTCGGGAATCGAACCCAGGTCTTCGGCGTGACGAGCGAACGCTTTAACCACTAGGCTACCCGACCACCCCTACAAAAGCTTGAACTAAAACCTACACACCTTACTGACCATGTTCATTCATTGTTTTTTTTCGTTTGTTGTTTAATGCAGCAATATTTCAACTTGATGACGGCCTGTGAATAATCAAGTCTGGACCAGACAATCCAGTGATACATATTATGAGCAATGATCCACATTGTTGCTTTATGTTGAAGTCACCGAGCTTGACCCCCGGATCCCTCAAGTTGACTTTGACGACCATCACAGGTTTCTGTGGACCTACTCTAACCCAGAATCCAAGGACGGCAATTTATGAACAATCATATTAGAAAGAAGACAAAACATCCATGTATGCACAGAAACGAACATTCCCAAGTATTTCATAGCCTAGAAAAAATCAATACTATACTACTCAAAAAGAGTTAAAGAACACCTGATTTTTTTTACTATAATCCATGTTCTTACCTTGCCCCAGGGACAGCTTCAGCTGGTGCAGGAACGTAGAAAACATCTCAATGACTGAAGCATCATCCTGGACAACAAACAGAAGCAATCAGAGTGATGTGAAATAACAAATTGATCACAATACAAGATTTTAATCTTTTGTCATGCTCATCACCCATCCTGCCTCCCTTGCATGTGCCCCCTTCACCATCCAGTCTCCCCCTCCCCTTCACCATCAAATCTCCCCATCTCCCTTCACCATCCAGTCTCCCCCTCCCCTTCACCATCCAATCTCCCCCTCCCTTCACCATCCAGTCACCCCCTCCCTTCACCATCCAATCTCCCCATCTGCTTTCACCATCCAATCTCCCCGTCTGCCTTCACCATCCAATCTCCCCATCTCCCTTCACCATCCAGTCTCCCCCTCCCCTCCACCATCCAGTCTTGCCTTCACCATCCAGTCTCCCCCTCCCCATCCAGTCTCCCCATCTCACTTCACCATCCAGTCTCCCCCTCCCCTTCACCATCCAGTCCCCCCTTCACCATCCAGTCTCCCCTTCACCATCCAGTCTCCCCCTCCCCTTCACCATCAAGTCTCCCCATCTCCCTTCACCATCCAGTCTCCCCCTCCCCTTCACCATCCAGTCCCCCCTTCACCATCCAGTCTCCCCCTCCCGTAACCAGTCTCCCCCTCCCCATCCAGTCTCCCCCTCTCCCTTCACCATCCAGTCTCCCCCTCCCCTTCACCATCCAGTCTCCCAATCTCCCTTCACCATCCAGTCTTGCATTCACATCAAGTCTCTCCCTCCCCCTTCACCATCCAGTCTCCCCCTCTCCCTTCACCATTCAGTCTCCCCGTCCCCTTCACCATCCAGTCTCCCCCTTCACCATCCAGTCTTGCCTTCACCATCCAGTCTCCCCCTCTCCCCGCCTCTTCATCCAGTCTCCTCCCTCACCATCCAGTCTCCCAGTCTCCCCTTTTACCATCCAGCCTCCTCCCTTCACCATCCTGTCTCCATTATAAGTCCCCGTTCACCCTCCCCACTCAATCTTGGTGCTCACCTGATCATCATCACTCCAACTGTCCCAGTCATCAGATTCCTCCCCTTTGTCCTGACCCCCTTCAGTCTCCCGTGCCTCACCCCCCTCACTCTGGGTGCTCACGGTCCGTTGTCTCCCAGACAGACTCAACTGACCGCTTGTATTGCTCACATTCAGTGAAAGGCATTCCGCGTAGAAGGCTGGCAGGTCACCACCTGAAAAACAAAAGTATTCAAACATCCCAATTGCGTGGATCGATGCTCATGATATTAATCACTGGGTTGTCTGGTCCAGACTCGATTATTTACAGACCGCCGTCATATAGCTGGAATATTGCTGAGTGCGGCATTGAACAACAAACTAACAAAACAATCAAACATCATTACTCAAGTATCATACTGTTTAGGTGAGTTGTAATGAAATGGGTTTTAACATCGCGTTAAGACCTATTGCACTTATACAGCAATGTTTATGCGTGTCTGTAATAGACACAGTGTGGCAGTGTTGTATATATGCATATTTTCTGTATTTTATATATTTGTATACATGGTATACATATAATGTTTTGTAATGAAATGGTGTTTTAACCTTTAATTATGTTGAATTAAATAAACCTGTATGTATTCTACAGCTCTGTATAACGACTTGTTCTCTGCGTGGAGTTTTCTTTTATTTTAACTTCTACTGGTTGTGGCGTAGAGTAGGTAGCTTGGGTCGGTCCTTTGTTTAGTATAGCTTGCGCCTGATTGGCCTTGTTTCAAATACTAACACCCAGCATTTAACCAGCACACCAGCCACTACACCTTGCCATGCGGACAACAAATTTCTGCTCTGTGTAGTATTTTCATCTGAGACCGTCCAAATAGATGCAGGCACCATAAGTCCTGTCACATTGCGTTGGTGAACACAGTTCCCGCCCCAGTTTCACCTACAGGGGCGATTGTGTGTTCCGATAATAAATTCTCACGACAATTAACGACCTGTGTTATTCATAAACACCCCCGGTTATACTGACAGTGAGCCGATCAGTCCTTGATTAACCCCTTTATGCCGAGAGTCAGGCAGGGTCACAACAAGTTTGTTTCTTTGTTGTTTGATGTGGCACTCAGCAATATTCCAGCTATATGACGGCGGTCTGTAAATATTCGAGTCTAAACCAGACAATCCAGTGATTGATATCATGAGCATCGATCCACGCAATTGGCATATAATGACGGGCATCAACCAAGACATGAACACCTATTTTACCTCGGATCTTCACGGGTCTCACAAGAAGTACCATCTATTAACATTTTTTCATATGATGCAGAAAGGGTTCAAATCAGTAACCTGTCTCTGGTCAGACACACTATCCACAACCACATCTACCCACACACACCCACACACACCCACACAACCACCCACACACACCCACAACCCCCCCCCCCCCCCCCCCAACACACACACACACACACACACACACATGCAAGCACTTCGCTATATAAGTGCAATAATCTTGAATGCAACATTAAAAAACCCTTTTCACCTCAAAACACTTATAACTAAACTTGCATGAACACATCCCTGAATAAGTGATACATCGTTTCATGAGGTAAGTATACCTGCAAATATATCTTCCTCCTCCTCTAGGTCGGCCTTGATGGGGTCTTCAGCACACAGCAACATCGGTGACTCCTGCCACAACAAGGAGACATCCTGGTCGGGGCGAGGAGACAGGTCCAGGCTTTCATGCAGGCTGGAAGACTGGAACAACGAACATGTGTTGGTGAAAGAAACACATTGGCCACATTGTTGGGAGCATTTTCCCAAGAAATCTTGGCAGTATGTTCGTCCTTCATCAGATCAAGTGGCAGGTGTAATTATGTAAAGGTAAGAGCACAAGGAACAGGTGTGGAATGATGAAAATTGTTGATTAAGTTCGAGAAGCAAGCTGATAGTTCCCCTGAAGATCATCTGGCGGGGTCTGGTGGAGTGAGTGAGTGAGTGAGTATGGTTTTACGCCTCTTTTAGCAATATTCCAGCAATATCACGGCCGGGGACACCGGAAATGGGCTTCACTCATTGTACCCATGTCAGGAATCGAACCCGGGTCTTCGGTGTGACGAGCGAAGGCTTTAACCACTAGGCTACCCGACCGCCCCGGGGGGCTGATGGCTTATCTTACTGATCTGGCCACAGTCCCCTGAAGATTATCTGGAGGTGTCTGGTGAGGCTGATGGCTTACCTTAATGATCCGGGCAATGAGGCCCCTGAAGATCATCTGGAGGTGTCTGGTGAAGCTGATGGCTTACCTCACTGATCCGGCCACAGAGGCACCTGAAGATCATCTGGAGGTGTCTGGTGGAGCTGATGGCTTACCTCACTGATCCAGGCAATGAGGCCCCTGAAGATCATGTGGAGGTGTCTGGTGAAGCTGACGGCTTACCTCACTGATATGGGCAATGAGGCCCCTGAAGATCATCTGGAGGTGTCTGGTGTGGCTGATGGCTTACTTCACTGATCCAGGCAATGAGGCCTCTGAAGATCATCTGGAGGTGTCTGGTGGAGCTGATGGCTTACCTCACTGATCCGGGCAATGAGGCCCCTGAAGATCATCTGGAGGTGTCTGGTGTGGCTGATGGCTGTCCTCACTGATTCAACCACAGAGGCCCCTGAAGATGATCTGGAGGTGTCTGGTGAGGCTGATGGCTTACCTCACTGATCCGGGCAATGAGGCCCCTGAAGATCATCTGGAGGTGTCTGGTGATGGCTTACCTCACTGATCCAGCCACAGAGGCCCCTGAAGATCATCTGGAGGTGTCTGGTGATGGCTTACCTTAATGATCCGGGCAATGAGGCCCCTGAAGATCATCTGGAGGTGTCTGGTGAAGCTGACGGCTTACCTCACTGATATGGGCAATGAGGCCCCTGAAGATCATCTGGAGGTGTCTGGTGTGGCTGATGGCTTACTTCACTGATCCAGGCAATGAGGCCTCTGAAGATCATCTGGAGGTGTCTGGTGGAGCTGATGGCTTACCTCACTGATCCGGGCAATGAGGCCCCTGAAGATCATCTGGAGGTGTCTGGTGTGGCTGATGGCTGTCCTCACTGATTCAACCACAGAGGCCCCTGAAGATGATCTGGAGGTGTCTGGTGAGGCTGATGGCTTACCTCACTGATCCGGGCAATGAGGCCCCTGAAGATCATCTGGAGGTGTCTGGTGATGGCTTACCTCACTGATCCAGCCACAGAGGCCCCTGAAGATCATCTGGAGGTGTCTGGTGATGGCTTACCTTACTGATCCAGGCACAGAGGCCCCTGAAGATCATCTGGCGGTGTCTGGTGATGGCTTACCTTACTGATGCGCCCACAGAGGCCCCTGAAGATCATCTGGAGGTGTCTGGTTGGGTTGATGGCACGGCACAAGCTGAGGTATATGTTGAGAACCTTCTGCAGCAGCTGAGTGTCCAGGCTCTGTCAATGAGAGAGGATCACATGTCAATACTGATGTCAGTGTCTTATACTGATAATATGGTGGCTACAAAATATTTCCTTGTTTGTTTTGTTTCAAACTTTTATTGACAGTGATATCAAAAGAAACTCAGGTGTGATTCTCTAAAGCATCACAGGACTTTGAAAAAAGGAATTCTTAATTTTCGTTGCATATTGTTAAAAAGTTTATTTGAGACCAAAGCTTCTAAACTTCAGGGCCTCTCTCAGATGAGACCTACATGTCTCACCTACACCAGCCTCTCTCAGACAGTAGCAGATACTGACGGACCTACATGTCTCACTTACACCAGCCTATATCAGACAGTAGCAGACACTGACGGACCTACATGTCTCACCTACACCAGTCTCTCTCAGACAGTAGTAGATACTGACGGACCTACATGTCTCACTTACACTAGTCTCTCTCAGACAGTAGCAGACACTGACGGACCTACATGTCTCACCTACACCAGTCTCTCTCAGACAGTAGCAGATACTGACGGACCTACATGTCTCACCTACACCAGTCTCTCTCAGACAGTAGCAGATACTGACGGACCTACATGTCTCACCTACACCAGCCTCTCTCAGACAGTAGCAGACACTGACGGACCTACATGTCTCACCTACACCAGTCTCTCTCAGACAGTAGCAGATACTGACGGACCTACATGTCTCACCTACACCAGTCTCTCTCAGACAGTAGCAGATACTGACGGACCTACATGTCTCACCTACACCAGTCTCTCTCAGACAGTAGCAGATACTGACGGACCTACATGTCTCACTTACACCAGCCTCTCTCAGACAGTAGCAGATACTGACGGACCTACATGTCTCACCTACACCAGCCTATATCAGACAGTAGCAGATACTGACGGACCTACATGTCTCACTTACACTAGCCTATATCAGACAGTAGCAGATACTGACGGACCTACATGTCTCACCTACACCAGCCTCTCTCAGACAGTAGCAGATACTGACGGACCTACATGTCTCACCTATACCAGTCTCTCTCAGACAGTAGCAGACACTGACGAACCTATATGTCTCACCTACACCAGTCTCTCTCAGACAGTAGCAGGCACTGACGGACCTACATGTCTCACCTACACCAGTCTCTCTCAGACAGTAGCAGACACTGACGGACCTACATGTCTCACCTACACCAGTCTCTCTCAGACAGTAGCAGACACTGACGGACCTACATGTCTCACTTACACCAGCCTCTCTCAGACAGTAGTAGCAGACACTGACGGACCTACATGTCTCACCTACATCAGCCTCACTCAGACAGAAGCAGATACTGACGGACCGACATGTCTCACTTAAACCAGTCTCACTCAGACAAAAGCAGATACTGACAGACCTACATGTCTCACCTACACCAGTCTCTCTCAGACAGTAGCAGACACTGACGGACCTACATGTCTCACCTACACCAGCCTTTCTCAGACAGTAGAAGATACTGACAGACCTGCATGTCTCACGTACAACAGCCTTTCTCAGACAGTAGCAGATACTGACAGACCTACTTGTCTCACCTACACCAGTCTCTCTCAGACAGTAGCAGATACTGACGGACCTACATGTCTCACCTACACCAGCCTCTCTCAGACAGTAGCAGATACTGACGGACCTACATGTCTCACTTACACCAGCCTCTCTCAGACAGTAGTAGCAGACACTGACAGACCGACATGTCTCACTTACACCAGTCTCACTCAGACAAAAGCAGATACTGACAGACCTACATGTCTCACCTACACCAGCCTATATCAGACAGTAGCAGATACTGACGGACCTACATGTCTCACTTACACTAGCCTATATCAGACAGTAGCAGATACTGACGGACCTACATGTCTCACCTACACCAGCCTCTCTCAGACAGTAGCAGATACTGACAGACCTACATGTCTCACCTATACCAGTCTCTCTCAGACAGTAGCAGACACTGACGAACCTATATGTCTCATCTACACCAGTCTCTCTCAGACAGTAGCAGGCACTGACGGACCTACATGTCTCACCTACACCAGTCTCTCTCAGACAGTAGCAGATACTGACGGACCTACATGTCTCACCTACACCAGCCTCTCTCAGACAGTAGCAGACACTGACGGACCTACATGTCTCACCTACACCAGTCTCTCTCAGACAGTAGCAGATACTGACGGACCTACATGTCTCACCTACACCAGTCTCTCTCAGACAGTAGCAGATACTGACGGACCTACATGTCTCACCTACACCAGCCTCTCTCAGACAGTAGCAGACACTGACGGACCTACATGTCTCACCTACACCAGTCTCTCTCAGACAGTAGCAGATACTGACGGACCTACATGTCTCACCTACACCAGTCTCTCTCAGACAGTAGCAGATACTGACGGACCTACATGTCTCACCTACACCAGTCTCTCTCAGACAGTAGCAGATACTGACGGACCTACATGTCTCACTTACACCAGCCTCTCTCAGACAGTAGCAGATACTGACGGACCTACATGTCTCACCTACACCAGCCTATATCAGACAGTAGCAGATACTGACGGACCTACATGTCTCACTTACACTAGCCTATATCAGACAGTAGCAGATACTGACGGACCTACATGTCTCACCTACACCAGCCTCTCTCAGACAGTAGCAGATACTGACGGACCTACATGTCTCACCTATACCAGTCTCTCTCAGACAGTAGCAGACACTGACGAACCTATATGTCTCACCTACACCAGTCTCTCTCAGACAGTAGCAGGCACTGACGGACCTACATGTCTCACCTACACCAGTCTCTCTCAGACAGTAGCAGACACTGACGGACCTACATGTCTCACCTACACCAGTCTCTCTCAGACAGTAGCAGACACTGACGGACCTACATGTCTCACTTACACCAGCCTCTCTCAGACAGTAGCAGACACTGACGGACCTACATGTCTCACCTACACCAGTCTCTCTCAGACAGTAGCAGATACTGACGGACCTACATGTCTCACTTACACCAGCCTCTCTCAGACAGTAGTAGCAGACACTGACGGACCTACATGTCTCACCTACATCAGCCTCACTCAGACAGAAGCAGATACTGACGGACCTACATGTCTCACTTAAACCAGTCTCACTCAGACAAAAGCAGATACTGACAGACCTACATGTCTCACCTACACCAGTCTCTCTCAGACAGTAGCAGACACTGACGGACCTACATGTCTCACCTACACCAGCCTTTCTCAGACAGTAGAAGATACTGACAGACCTGCATGTCTCACGTACAACAGCCTTTCTCAGACAGTAGCAGATACTGACAGACCTACTTGTCTCACCTACACCAGTCTCTCTCAGACAGTAGCAGATACTGACGGACCTACATGTCTCACCTACACCAGCCTCTCTCAGACAGTAGCAGATACTGACGGACCTACATGTCTCACTTACACCAGCCTCTCTCAGACAGTAGTAGCAGACACTGACGGACCTACATGTCTCACCTACATCAGCCTCACTCAGACAGAAGCAGATACTGACAGACCGACATGTCTCACTTACACCAGTCTCACTCAGACAAAAGCAGATACTGACAGACCTACATGTCTCACTTACACCAGCCTATATCAGACAGTAGCAGATACTGACGGACCTACATGTCTCACTTACACTAGCCTATATCAGACAGTAGCAGATACTGACGGACCTACATGTCTCACCTACACCAGCCTCTCTCAGACAGTAGCAGATACTGACAGACCTACATGTCTCACCTATACCAGTCTCTCTCAGACAGTAGCAGACACTGACGAACCTATATGTCTCATCTACACCAGTCTCTCTCAGACAGTAGCAGGCACTGACGGACCTACATGTCTCACCTACACCAGTCTCTCTCAGACAGTAGCAGACACTGACGGACCTACATGTCTCACCTACACCAGTCTCTCTCAGACAGTAGCAGACACTGACGGACCTACATGTCTCACTTACACCAGCCTCTCTCAGACAGTAGCAGACACTGACGGACCTACATGTCTCACCTACACCAGTCTCTCTCAGACAGTAGCAGATACTGACGGACCTACATGTCTCACTTACACCAGCCTCTCTCAGACAGTAGTAGCAGACACTGACGGACCTACATGTCTCACCTACATCAGCCTCACTCAGACAGAAGCAGATACTGACGGACCGACATGTCTCACTTACACCAGTCTCACTCAGACAAAAGCAGATACTGACAGACCTACATGTCTCACTTACACCAGTCTCTCTCAGACAGTAGCAGACACTGACGGACCTACATGTCTCACCTACACCAGCCTTTCTCTGACAGTAGAAGATACTGACAGACCTGCATGTCTCACGTACAACAGCCTTTCTCAGACAGTAGCAGATACTGACAGACCTACTTGTCTCACCTACACCAGCCTCTCTCAGACAGTAGCAGATACTGACGGACCTACATGTCTCACTTACACCAGCCTCTCTCAGACAGTAGCAGATACTGACGGACCTACATGTCTCACTTACACCAGCCTCTCTCAGACAGTAGCAGACACTGACGGACCTACATGTCTCACCTACACCAGCCTCTCTCAGACAGGAGCAGACACTGACGGACCTATATGTCTCACCTACACCAGCCTCTCTCAGACAGTAGCAGACACTGACGGACCTACATGTCTCACCTACACCAGTCTCTCTCAGACAGTAGCAGACACTGATGGACCTACATGTCTCACCTACACCAGCCTCTCTCAGACAGTAGCAGACACTGACGGACCTACATGTCTCACCTACACCAGTCTCTCTCAGACAGTAGCAGACACTGACGGACCTACATGTCTCACCTACACCAGCCTTTCTCTGACAGTAGAAGATACTGACAGACCTGCATGTCTCACGTACAACAGCCTTTCTCAGACAGTAGCAGATACTGACAGACCTACATGTCTCACCTACACCAGTCTCTCTCAGACAGTAGCAGATACTGACGGACCTACATGTCTCACCTACACCAGCCTCTCTCAGACAGTAGTAGATATTGACGGATCTACATGTCTCACCTTCATGGTAACTATACCCGCAGCCTCTCTCAGACAGCAGTAGATACTGACCGACCTACATGTCTCACCTACACCAGCCTATATCAGACAGCAGTAGATACTGACGGACCTACATGTCTCACCTTCATGGTAACTATACCAGCAGCCTCTCTCAGACAGTAGTAGATGCACCTTAGGCAGGACTGTCGGTCAGATGACTCCTCCCTCAACAGGTTGTTCACCACACTGGAACTCTGACTGCTTACACTGCAGGTCAAGTGTCAAGGTTAAAATTTAGTCAGCCACAAAAAATTATTTGAAGCTAATATTTAAGGTAAAGATAAAAACACTTTGGTATGTTTTACATAAAAAAAAAAATTCTCAAATGTTGGGAAAAGAATTGTGTCAGGGTTATCAACCCAAAAGACACACTTGGCTCCTCACTTTAAATGCTTTGTTTTGTTTGTTTATTGTATAACGCCGAACTCAGCAATATTCCAGCTATATGACGGCGGTCTGTAAATAATCGAGTCTTGACCAGACAATCCAGTGATTGACTTCATGAGCATCGATCCACGCAATTGGGATCGATGACATGCATCAACCAAGTCAGCGAGTCTGACCACCTGATCCCGTTAGTCACCTCTTACGACAAGCAGAGTCACCTTTTACGGCAAGCATGGGTTGCTGAAGACCAATTCTACCCCGGAATCTTCACGGGTCCCTCCCACATTAAGCTGGCACGCCGGGATATAACTGGAATACTGTTAAAAGCGATGTTAGACCCAACTCACTCACTCACTCTGGTAGACTGGGATTTTGTCTGAGAAAGAACATTTTTTCAGTCAGTGATTCAATACATACACTTGTTTTCTCTGAAAGGAGGATCAAACCGATATATATTTTGTACTCAAAACTGATTATTTTTTAGAACATGTGGCATGTCCAGTGAACAAGTTATTTTGGGGGGTCAAACTTAAGGGCAAATTATTTTTTTCAGTATTTTCAGGAACAGAGAAAACAGGAACACAGCATGAACCAACTTTCTCAACACAACTGAGACTCACCATCGTAACAATGCTTTGCAGATACGAGTATCATCAACGATGAGTCCAATATTGTACATAACCAGGGGGAGGTAAGCGGCTACTGTTGTCCAGGGGAGACAACTCAGGTAATACTGAAGGTGACAGGACACAGTCTTCACAAACACCTTCTCAACCTAAAATGTGCACAGAGAAACGATAAGATAAATTTTCAGTCAGTTCAAACAGCCTTAAAGGGGTATTGACCTAGGCTATTTGCAAGTCCCAGCAAATTTGATTTAAGGAAGAGAATTTATGGATGTCAACTTTATGATGAGGAACACAACGTTTCAGAGTACATGCTTACTCCTTCATCAGGTGAATGAATGCTATGAGGCAGAGAGCATATATATGTACCTGTAAGAACAAAAGTAAAAAGACAAGAAAACGTGGACGCTTAACAAGGGAAGCCAACAGATAATTGTCGCTAATAGGTGATCAGCAATAGCCAACACTTAGATTAGCACAGATAGTTATGGACAACTGGAAGCCAGGACTAAATTATAATTAGTCAACAAACTAGACCTGAAACGTTGTGTTCCTCAAAATAAAGAAGTTGACATCCATATATTTTCTTTCTTCCTTCCTTCTAAATGCCTTTCGCGGTCGGGTAGCCTTGTGGTTAAAGCATTTGTTCGTCACACCGAAGACCCGGGTTCAAATCCCAACATGGGTACAATATGTGAAGCCCATTTCGTGTTTCCCCCCGCCGTGATATTGCTGGAATATTGCTAAAAGCGGCATAAAATCATACTGTGCACATTGACTGTCACTCACTCACTCAGGTTGGCATTACCTGTCATGCACATTGACTGTCACTCACTCACTCACTCAGGTTGGCATTACCTGTCGTGCACATTGACTGTCACTCACTCACTCACTCGCTCACTCACTCAGGTTGGCATTACCTGTCGTGCACATTGACTGTCACTCACTCACTCGCTCACTCACTCAGGTTGGCATTACGTGTCGTGCACATTGACTGTCACTCACTCACTCGCTCACTCACTCAGGTTGGCATTACCTGTCGTGCACATTGACTGCCTCTCACTCAATCAGGATGGCATTACGTGTCGTGCACATTGACTGTCACTCACTCACTCAGGATGGCATTACCTGTCGTGCACATTGACTGCCTCTCAGTCAATCAGGATGGCATTACCTGTCGTGCACATTGACTGTCACTCACTCACTCAGGATGGCATTACCTGTCGTGCACATTGACTGCCTCTCACTCAATCAGGATGGCATTACCTGTCGTGCACATTGACTGCCTCTCACTCACTCGCTCACTCACTCAGGTTGGCATTACCTGTCGTGCACATTGACTGTCACTCACTCACTCACTCAGGTTGGCATTACCTGTCGTGCACATTGACTGTCACTCACTCACTCACTCAGGATGGCATTACCTGGCGTGCACATTGACTGTCACTCACTCAGGATGGATGGATTTACCTGTCATGCACATTCATTGTCACTCACTCACTCACTCAGGATGGCATTACCTGTCGTGCACATTGACTGTCACTCACTCACTCACTCACTCAGGATGGCATTACCTGTCGTGCACATTGACTGTCACTCACTCACTCACTCAGGATGGCATCACCTGTCGTGCACATTGACTGTCACTCACTCACTCAGGACGGCATTACCTGTCGTGCACATTGACTGTCACCCACTCACTCAATCAGGATGGCATTACCTGGCGTGCACATTGACTGTCACTCACTCACTCAGGTTGGCATTACCTGTCGTGCACATTGACTGTCACTCACTCACTCATTCACTCAGGATGGCATTACCTGTCGTGCACATTGACTGTCACTCACTCACTCACTCACTCACTCACTCAGGACGGCATTACCTGTCGTGCACATTGACTGTCACTCACTCACTCACTCACTCACTCACTCAGGTTGGCATTACCTGTCGTGCACATTGACTGTCACTCTGTCACTCACTCACTCACTCAGGATGGCATCACCTGTCGTGCACATTGACTGTCACTCACTCACTCACTCACTCAGGATGGCATTACCTGTTGTGCACATTGACTGTCACTCACTCACTCACTCACTCACTCACTCAGGTTGGCATTACCTGTCGTGCACATTGACTGTCACTCTGTCACTCACTCACTCACTCACTCACTCACTCAGGTTGGCATTACCTGTCGTGCACATTGACTGTCACTCACTCACTCACTCACTCACTCACTCAGGACGGCATTACCTGTCGTGCACATTGACTGTCACTCACTCACTCACTCACTCACTCACTCAGGTTGGCATTACCTGTCGTGCACATTGACTGTCACTCTGTCACTCACTCACTCACTCAGGATGGCATCACCTGTCGTGCACATTGACTGTCACTCACTCACTCACTCACTCAGGATGGCATTACCTGTTGTGCACATTGACTGTCACTCACTCACTCACTCACTCACTCAGGACGGCATTACCTGTCGTGCACATTGACTGTCTCCCTCAGGCTTCACCAAGCAACAACTGTTGGGAAAATATCAGTATTACTCTAAAATATTTGCAGAAACAACTATGCCAGATCGGTAACTGACAAATACATTTCAAAGTGGTATCATTTAAGGATGTCTGCTAGTACTTTGTTTAGTATTAACTTGACCTGTTGTGTATTGGCAATGTGTTCATCACAATTCAAGTTTATCTGTCAATGAGTCTAAAGTTAAAACGTCAATGAGGTCGCTTTAATTTCAAAAATCTCATTTTACGACAGGTAACTTGAAAGCTCTTGTGTGCTGCAAATGTGAAAAGTTTTCTGCATGTTAGAAATTCAAAGTAATATCTAAAAGATGGCCTACCTGAGGTATCCTTCTTAAGGGAACGTGAACGGCCTACCTGAGGTATCCTTCGCAAGGTGACATGAATGGCCTACCTGAGGTATCCTTCGTAAGGGGACGTGAATGACCTACCTGAGGTGTCCTTCGTAAGGGGACGTGAACGGCCTACCTGAGGTGTCCTTCGTAAGGGGACGTGAATGGCCTACCTGAGGTATCCTTCGTAAGGTGACGTGAGCGGCCTACCTGAGGTATCCTTCGTAAGGGGACGTGAACGGCCTACCTGAGGTGTCCTTCGTAAGGGGATGTGAACGGCCTACCTGAGGTGTCCTTCGTAAGGGGACGTGAACGGCCTACCTGAGGTATCCTTCGTAAGGGGACGTGAATGGCCTACCTCAGGTATCCTTCGTAAGGGGACGTGAACGGCCTACCTGAGGTATCCTTCGCAAGGGGACGTGAATGACCTACCTGAGGTATCCTTCGTAAGGGGACATGAATGACCTACCTGAGGTATCCTTTGCAAGGTGACGTGATTGGCCTACCTGAGGTATCCTTCGCAAGGTGACGTGAACGGCCTACCTGAGGTATCCTTTGTAAGGGGACGTGAACGGCCTACCTGAGGTATCCTTTGTAAGGGGACGTGAACGGCCTACCTGAGGTATCCTTTGCAAGGGGACATGAATGGCCTACCTGAGGTATCCTTCGTAAGGGGACGTGAAAGGCCTACCTGAGGTGTCTTTCGTAAGGGGATGTGAACGGCCTACCTGAGGTGTCCTTCGTAAGGGGACGTGAACGGCCTACCTGAGGTGTCCTTCGTAAGGGGACGTGAATGGCCTACCTGAGGTATCCTTCATAAGGGGACGTGAACTGCCTACCTGAGGTATCCTTCGTAAGGGGACGTGAACGGCCTACCTGAGGTATCCTTCGTATGGGGACGTGAACGGCCTACCTGAGGTATCCTTCGTAAGGTGACGTCAACGGCCTACCTGAGGTATCCTTCATAAGGGGACGTCAACGGCCTGGCCGGGGGTTCCAGCATGTGCCGTGTGATCCGACTGCCGGGGTGGGCGAACACAAACACACTCCTCCAGAAACTCAGCACAGCCGAGCACTGACTCTGTTTCTGTCATAAATAAGATTGGATATCACGTAAAACACTGGATTTAACATATCTTGTTTCTTCTGATGACGTGAATCATTGCTCATGGTATCAACCACTGGTTTAAGCTGTCAAAGGCTTGATTACTCCCAGACCACTACAACACAGCTGGGATATTACGGACTGAGACATGACAAATCATTCCCTAAGAGTACAAGTGATTGCCAAAACATACACACGGCATTACACAGGTCCCAACCAACAGAGTGAGAGACTGACCCACCAATCTTTGTTTCTTGAATCTGTTAGTGTAATGAAGGGTTTCCAGCATATACATAATCAATTCTAGGCCAAATAAACCAGTGATTGATATTATGAGGAACTTCCCTCCCGGTTGGGGGATTTCATAAATTGCGGCATGGTATTTGAGGGGCTAGCACCATAAAACTGGCGTTCATCTGGGGCAGCCCCAACCACACCCACACCAACACCAACACACCAACACACCCACACACACACACACACACACCAACACACACACGGCCTGTGAAGATCCCAGGTAGAATAGGTCTTCAGCAACCCATGCTTGCCAATCACTGGATTGTCTGGTCAAGACTCGATTATTTACAGACCGCTGTCATATAGCTGGAATATTGATGAGTGCGGCGTTAAACAACAAACAAACAAACAAACAAACCAATCAACACACACCCACACCCACACCCACACCCACACCCACACCCACGCCCACACAGGCACCCACACACACAGACGCACAAACACACACAGATGCACACACACCCACACAGACACCCATACACACAGATGCACACACACACACACACACACACAGACACCAACACACAGATGCACACACACACAGACACCCACACACACAGACGCACACACACATGCCCATCGCTATATAAGTGCAATAATCTTAAACACAACAATAAACTCCATTTCACCTCCTCAACCAGTTCTACCCTGGCATCGTCTCCATCCAATCCAACAAAAGCACATACTCTGAGAAAAGAACACCATCACATTTGGTCAATGTTCCAACCATGCCACATGGCCAACTGACCTGATTTGCCTCCATATCAAACAGTCGATGAGCCATGATGATCACTTCAGCGGAGGTCACGGACAGCCTGTCAAAACACGGTCTCTTGAGCAGGAGGTCAGCGACCGGCAGATAGCGTGCTGTGTTCAGCTTGACACACTCCAGTATGATCCGGACGGAAGCTGTCAACTCTGCAGTCTGTGTGACAAGGAGAATACACTAGCCAGCATGTATGTCTGTTTGATTGTTTGTTGTTTAATGCCGCACTCAGCAATATTCCAGCTATATGACAGCGGTCTGTAAAATTTAGTCAGCCACAAAAAACGATTTGAAGCTAATATTTAAGGTAAAGATAAAAACACTTTGGTATGTTTTCTCACACATAACATAAAAAAAATTCTCAAATGTTGGGAAAAGAATTTTGTTAGGGTTATCAACCCAAAAGACACACTTGGCACCTCACTTTAAATGATTTGTTTGTTTGTTGTTTAACGCCAAACTCAGCAATATTCCAGCTATAACGTCGGTCTGTAAATAATTGAGACTGGACCAGACAATCCAGTGATTGACATCATGAGCATTGATCTACGCAATAAAGATACGATGACATGCATCAACCAAGTCAGCGAGCCTGATCAAGCGATCCTGTTATTCACCTCTTACGACAAGTCTACCGTATTTTCTTGAGTATAGTGCGCACCCATGTATAATGCGCACCCCCCTCTAGCGGGTTCAATATTTTGGAGAAAAAAAGAAATTTGAATATTATGCGCAGAAAAAATTTACACCGTACCCTTTCAGCGAAGTCCGGCAAACGAACGGGTGCTGAGAAACTTTGTCAGTACAAATTCGAAATTTGAGATAAAAAATCACCAGACATGTTTATTTACCGTTTAAATATTATTTATTGTTCTGCTAGGCATTGTTTTATATCTAGGGATTAAGATTACCTTGTGTATTTTCTCGTAAACTAAGCCGGAAACAGCAATCAGCTGTACACACGTTTTCTTGTAATTGACCGGTGATTCGGTCAAGACACACCCAATGATTTAACTTTATAGGATTTTTAATGCAAGGATCGGCAACTATTGTACCTGAAACTGTTTTTTTTTATCAGGAATAATATATACCATTATTTTCTTAATTATATGAAGCCTTTACTAAACATATTTAAAACAATAATAACCCTAAGCGAAGCAGCTGATCGCTATTCCCGGGTATTATTTTTAACATGGAACCAGTCTGACCAGTCACCGTCAAGGCTCACGCGCACGTGATCGCGTGATCGCAAGAATTTCATGTTGACATAGAATCGTCAAACAAAAACAAATATGACTTTAAACGAGTCAAAGTATGGCATTTATGATATATGTATCCATTCTCTGTCAACTAAAGTTCGTTTCAAGGCGTCAATAGCGGTATTCTGACCGTGGTTGCTGTTAATAACTGTGAGTTGTGCGATCTTCCGATCGCTTCACACACGATTTCGCCGAAATTAATAAAAACAATATTATAAGGAATTTTGAATAAAATTAATGAAATTAGTTACAAACATAAGTCCAGATATACAAAGAACACTTTTTATAGCCAGACAGTGTAATTACATGATTATTTTGCGTACTTCAGTATGGATTTGTTGACATGGTTATTTCCGGTGTTTCGTGCTCACGGTAATGTCTTTCCATGGGGGAAAAAAACATCCAAACTCATAATTCGTGTATAATGCGCACCCCCTTCTACACAGCTGTGTTTTTTTCGAAAAAAAGTGCGCACTATACTCAAGAAAATACGGTAGTTACCTTTTACTGCAAGCATGGGTTGCTGAAGACCTATTCTATCCTGGATCTTCACGGGTATACAAGCCATTAACACACAACAATAATGGATACTTTACCAACCCCAAAAATCTTTCTGAGTGAGTGAGTGAGTGAGTGAGTGAGTGAGTGAGTGAGTGAGTGAGTGAGTGAGTGAGTGAGTGAGTGAGTGAGTGAGTGAGTGAGTGAGTGAGTGAGTGAGAGAGTGAGTGAGTGAGTAATTGGCTAAAATAGCCGATTGAACTTTACATAGTTCATCAACCTGTCTCAGATCTGTGGCCTCATGTAATTTCATTTCAACCCTGCTGATGCTGCCTACCTTGACAGACTCCAGGGAGTCTTGAAGGAGTGGCTCCAGGCGGATACAGTGATAGAGGCTCTCCTTCAGGAGGAACACACACATGTAGGTGGCGAGGCAGGTGTTGAGACAGGTGTCCACATGCAGGTGCTTGTCCCAGATGTGTTGTACCAGGTGACAGTCAAACCACCGGATCACTTCTGCCAGACAAGGCAATACCTAAACAGGAGACCCACACATATAGGTCAAGTTTCGATACAACATATATATACTTTGACTGGAGTAGGTCAGATAGTTTTTCAGATATTGTAGTAAACATCGGTACCTTGAATTACCTTCCAGATTATACTTCATTTGCGAATTTGTTAATTCACTTGGTGGTATATACACCCTCACCAGCTTTGCAATGCAAATGCATTGAGTGAGTGAGTGAGTGAGTGAGTATTGTTTCACGCTGCTTTTAACAATATTCCAGCAATATCACAGCAGGGGACACCAGAAATTGGCTTTACATATTGTACCCATGTCAGGAATCAAACCCAGGTCTTCGGTTTGACGATTGAACACATTAACCACAGGGCCATCAAAAAGCACCATGTTCAGTATGAACCTCCCCAGAACCTCCTTTAGATCCACCATGGAGCACCATGAACTCCTGACCATTACGCTCCGCCACCCATTCCTTGGAGACACTTTACCTGTTGAGCAATTCTACGCAGCTCCCACTGGTTGTCGGCTAAACACTCCATGGTCTGGTACAGGATCGTCACAAACAATTTACGTATACTTGGACAATCTTTGGTTTGTGCTTTGGTGTGTGCTTTTTCCAGTAATGGACTTGATGGAATCCTGTACAACAAGAAACAATGCAGCACCGTTTCAAACAACATAATCTCTTCAGATCTCTCTCTGTGATCAAGATCTGACTAACACTACCTAATTTTGTGTCAGCTGAACCATGAGATAACCTCATAATGAAGATGCCATGGTGCATTTAGCCTGGGCTTTACTTTTTTCCATTCAGACCTGCCCTTTGTGTTCATTTTCAAGATACAGAAATCAGAAATGTTGGGTTTCTCAGATTTTGACGGAGAGGTATCAAAGCGAGGAAAAAGTTATGATATCAATGTGACATGTAACATTCATTCGAAATCATTTTCTGAAATTCTGAACAAGACAGCTGTATGGCTTCAAGATGTTTAACTGAGTGCATGCATTACCAAACCAGTGATTGATATTATGAGCAAAGTCCCATGCAAACAGGGTACAATGACGCTCAATGAAGTCACAGAGCTTGACAACCCAGTCCATATAGACATGCTGGGGACCTGAATAGGTTCTCCAGATCAATTCTAACGTGGAATCCACAAGGGATCAGCTCTTATTACCCACATGGGGCCCCATTCTGCCTGAGTCCAGAGACGGGGAACTTACTCTCCAGCTCCATGCAGGGAACAAGGGAACTTGTCGGGGATCACATCGGATGTCCCAATCTACAACATGGGGATGGCAGGTCAGATACACATCAGCTACTGTAAAACGTGAAATTAATGCGTCTCCAAAAGAATGCGACCGCTGGCCCTTAGCCAAAAATGCGACTCAATATGAATGCGACACCCCCTCCTCTCAAGCATCAGTGGATTTATATCTAAACAAAATGTCCTCTGTCAGGTTTACAGGAGAATCCTCACCTTATTCCAATCTTACATTAATCCAATCAGACCCCAAATGGCACCGCTTATTAGCGCTGAGTAGAGTACTTCAGCTAAAACAATACGTGCGCACTGGCTCGTGTTGGCCTTTGACAGAGTCGCAAAGAGCAAAGACACCGTGTTGGGTGGCGTCTGTCTGGACTTGTAGGTGTGATGAGTGGTGATGACATGAGTGAGTAAACGCTTGTCTTGACCCCAGCAGTGACAATTCACAGGATGTAATTAGTGTTTGAATGACATTGTTTATATACTTGTAAGTGCTGCTCAAAAAACAGTGATGTGGAATACATAGTTGTTTGTTTTCAGCGTATGTCTAAGTTGGTATTTCTGCTTTCCAAAATGTCTTATTGTTGATATAAATGCAATGTTTAATAATGCGAGCAAAGGCCAAACGCATTTTTTTCATTTAATTCACGCGTTAATATCAAGATTCACAGTATTTATAAATTTTAGTTTTTAACTTTGTGTGAGTTCATTGGAGCATGAACCTTCGCAGAGCCAGGGCCACGCTGTATGAACATTGTAATCAAACTCCCTGACTTATCCTAAATATATCCTATATATCCTAGCTGAAATGCTAAGTTCAAGATTAAAGGGTCTAAATGATGAGAAACGACATATTTATTCATTCTAGGGAATTTCCAGGGGTTCTCCCAGGAATGTGGAAGTCGTCCTTCAGTGTTACGTCATTTCAACATCAAAATGCGTCGTTCATACAATTACGAACCACAGTTTTGCAGTCATATAACCGACCTCTCATCCAATGGAAAAGCCGTATTTCGTGTAAAACTTCACACTTAAAAATTCTTTTCAGTTGAAGTTTCATGATTTAAGGCACTGTTATGAGTGAGAGTGATTTAAACTGACAACAGGATTTATCTAGACCTTCTCAGAGGCGGTGGCTGCTTAGTGACGGTTCAAGAACTAAATATACAAGGCTCTGTAGCTCACCTGAATTACGAAGAAATATTGACTGCCATGTTTAAATTGGATCAGGATTATGTGAGCACATTTCAGAGACACCACAGCTGGGATCATTCTTGCAAGATTTCTGCTTCATAATATGTCTTGTAGTTTCACTCATTCAGGTGAGCTAAACAGTAAAGATTCCAAAAACAGTTTGAGCTAGTCTATGTTCTCTCACTCACCTGTCCCTCTGTTTTGCTGTGCAGTCTCAGAGTAGCTATGACAGAAAAGCTTGGAGACTCCTGATTGGTGGCCATCTTCACCTGGATTTCCGGGGTGGCCATGTTGCCTCCTTCCACGGGAACAGATACACGGTCACTGGAAGAATTGACACTCAAACATTCCACTTCTGAAAACATGTGTATAAATATTGAACCGAATTCATGCCAATAGCATTATTGATAAGTGTGCACTCAAATAACATTCTCAGCTCCCTAGGGAGTATGCAACCCAGGATGGATGGTTTGCATTCACAAAACCATCTCATCCTACCAGGATCCACTTAGCAGCATAATTAAGTCTTTGCCAGACAAACCAGTGATTGATATTATGAGCATGTACCATGTAGGATGGTCCACGCAATCCACTTAGAAGCATAATCAAGTCTAGGCCAGGCAAACTAGTCATTGATATTGCGAGCATGTCCCATGCAGGAAGGGGCTGACCGCCAAGTCCATCTTGTTGCCTTTTACAACAAGAATAGGTTGCTGAAGATCTATTCGAACCAGGAATCCGCAGATAGGTACTGTATAACATTCTTTTGTATCATCAGACCGTATTCGATGTATATCTGTCGTATATAAACATTTCAGGCTGTCAGCATAAACCACGAAATTTATCTTTAAATTTTTAACCAAAATACCATTCTAATAAGAGCCCCCTATTTCTAATTTTGAGAGCGCCCAGGGCGCTTATTACGTTGATTACGGTAAGTGTTTATATGAGAAATAAACACTTGTCAGCATGCATGAAGACATTGGGACATGCTTCTACCTGTGGTGATTGACCCTGGGCTCAGGTGTTTGTGCATCACTTTCCAGCTTGCTTGGTTTCCGCCTTGAAAACATCTTCCTGATGTGATTCTTGATGAGGAAACTGCAGATGACCTCGAAGGCAAACATCCGACCTTCCTTCGCCTCCCAGGAAAGAGTCTGAGAGTCTGCAGATATAAAACAACACTTTGATTCTATAGCAATGACAGCAGAGTGAATCAACATGGCTTGAGCCAATGTTTAGAGAAGGTTGTCGATTTGTAGTCATTATGACAATGCCAACAATAGTCTTCAAATGAAGCATGCTGCAGCATGTAGCCAAACATTGATGGTTTTTTTACATCAATATACAGTAAACTACAGTTATAACGAACTCAAAGGGACCACTAATTTTAGTTCGTTATAACCGTAGTTCGTTATAAGCATATACACAGCATACATACAACAAATGGCCGGGACTAAAAATAAGTTTTTTATATCGGTCAGTTCGTTACAAGCGTGTTTATTATAACCGTAGTTTACTGTACATTGAAAGTGTAAAAGTGAACATAGTGCTATTCAATTATTCAATGCCTACAGACAATGATTGAGAAAAAAGTTCTTGTCTATAAATATTATTTTCTGCAGTGATCCAGACATAAAACTAGCTGTTTCAATCTGAGGTGGTTATTGTCATTTGAAACCTCTGATTGACCAATCAGAATTAACTATTTTCAAAATCATGTTAGAATCCTCTTTAAATGCCAGTACAATAAAGAATTTGACTCCAAACTTAATAGACCTTTTCTGAGTATGCTACTACAATGACATCTGTAAATAAAACTTCAGTAAATGTCAGGCTATCCTGGGATTCCGGAGATTTCCCATCATCATCACAACCACCACCACCACCTCCACCTCCACCACCACCACCACCACCACCATCATCATCATCATCATCATCATCACAAAGAATGACAGTGATGGTTTACTTCCAGCTGTGGTAACCATCCCTCTGTGCTGCTCCCTTAAACTGATGTGACACTGACTTGTCACTACACTTGTCCCATAGTGTTTTCCAAATAGATTCCCAATACAAATCTGCATCGCACTTCATATGCTTCAGCCAAGTGCATGCATAATGATCTAACGACAATTGCAACATGATTCGACTTCACATATGTGCACTTATATTTAAGATCATGCAACTTTCAATGTACTCACTGGGTTGCAACCATCAAGAAGGGACAGAGTTTTTTTAACACCTTAACCCATCTGCTTTTCAACTCGATAAGTAATTATATTGTTGCACGGTATAATAACATAGCAACACATATTTGAAGGTCTTAGAAAGAGAATCATGTCGCTTTTGGCGTTACATACCACGATGCATGCACCAGGGCACCGTTCCACAAAGCGATCTTAGCGCTACGACTATCGTAAGCCAGTGTTAAAGTATGGGAGTTACGATCACCTAAGCGCTAAGATGGCTTTGTGGAACGGGGCCCAGGGCTTTGGTGTGACCAGCCAATGCTCCAACCACTCGGCTGTCCCAACACCCCCACTGTTATAGACTTGTTTCGATCCATCTGATTGCCACTCTTCTGGGTTTATTGAGTAAACAGACATCACATCAATCTAAAGTGAATTATTTATCAGGTTGTATGCCAAGTTTATCAGACTCAGTGTCACAGTGATAACACTGTCTATTACACATTGTTACCCATCTTCGCGAGGTGAGGGAATTAACTGTCTGTATAAGTCGTTTCCACCCTTGCTGAACTAGGCTGGAATTATGGAGTTATATTTTGCCTGGACTAATGAGTCTATGCATTGTCCAATCAAAATCGCGTAGCGAAATCAACATCCAGTTCATAAGCTCCTGTGCAGATTTCGGTCAATTGCAGGATTTGTAAAGCATGTGTACCTTCAACTTGGCGTCAACCATTTTGTTAGCAAATGCAAGTGATATGAGAGATGGAATCAGATCATAACAGGCACTGGTGGCGCTACGATCGAGCCCAGAAATTCCAGTCTAGTTCAGCAAGGAAAACTGGACTTTTATAGTCAGTTAACTCCCTTGCCTCAGGAAGATGATTCCTACCTGGTGGTGTGGCCTCGTCACACAGAGATGTGGTCCAGCCTCCAGTCAGGGTGTGCAGCAGCTGGCACAACAAGCCTGTGTTCTCACTCGACTTCTGAACTGAAACACGGAACATTAGAAACATGCAGTGTTTGAAATAAAGCACGGATGTCAAGAAGTCCCTGGAACCCTTACATTATACCACATACCTGTCAGCAATATATAACAGTACTTCAACATGGAAGTTCCATAACGGCATTCAGTAACCTCATCAGTTGCGCCCAACAAGGCCACATCAACAAACATGGTATTATTCATGAACTTTGGTAACTCAAAATTATATTTACTTATGTATGTATTTATTAAAAGCCATTGTGTGGTGGCATTGCCCCACCATATTAGCAAGACGGCTAAAAAGAGTGGCTGAAAACTTCGAAACCGTTATCTAGGAACAGGGGTTGAAAAATTATTAAAAATGTTACTTGACCAAGGGCAAGTATGACCAACATTCTCACTTGCCCTATTTTAAAATGTACTAGCCCAAAATCAAGCTAATAAATTCAGTAAAATGTTACTGCTGCAGAACTGAGAATAAAATTCTGAAATTTGAACATCCATCAATAAACGTTCTCTTACGATTGCAAGCGTGTATGTTTGGGTACTTGAAACAAATGGTGCACTTCATGACTTTCGCTGTGTCATCATACGCAACCCAAGGAAACTGGTCTTTCCACCCAGCGATGAATGTTCGTTTTCGTTTACATTCGTCATACTTCTTATTCTTTGCCGATATATAACTTTCGGAATTTCCCTCTGCCTTCCTTTTAAGTTCGTCCCCACCGCCAAAGAAACTTAAAATAGACCGCTGAGACATGATCGGCCATGTGCGGTACTGGCAATATAAATTGTTATTGCAGATACCCCTCTGGATGCTAATGAGGCAAAGGGAGACTACTCTGTTATAACCAGGGTATTTTGGAAAAAGGGGTTTTTAATATTTACTTAAAATATAGTTTACTAAATGAAGCTTTTGGGTAAAATATGGATGCATATGAGAGAAGTGACTGTACAGGGTCAGGGCAACACTCCTGGGGCAAGTGATTATTGGTTTTGCTTCTCTTAAGTGATAGAGTTTACCTTTCATTAGTACAATGAATTAGTAGAATTGGTCTTGCAATAAAAAATGTCAGACGGGAGATAGATGGATGGAACAAAATTGTTAGTCTTGTGGTGATCAAATATTTATGAGTATTACTGCTTGATTAGAATGTCAAAATAACATGATTAAGTATGTTTTCGGTGCCTTCCAGTCTGGCAGAGTACTTGAGGGTATTTCATTATATGAGTATGTCCGAGTTGACCAATGACCTTAGGGAGGTAATCTAACTGGTTAGTCCGAAGGGCTTGGTGGTAAAACTAATTATTGTGGAAATTGGGGAATGACCATTATGACTCATTTCTCATGATGTCAAATGTGATTTTGGAGGGAGGAGCTAAAATCATCATCGATAGTATTTTGTGAGTTGTCCGAGAGTGGTGCGGGGAGTCGGGAGCATACAGCTGAACAGAAAGGTTCACTGTGGTTTTGGGATCCCGAGTCAGAAAAGAAGTAGAGTTAACGTTCATCAGAAAAACCATCAGGCTCTTCAACCATCATCTAGGTATGTGTTGTATTTATATCAGGCAACAACAAGAATATATCTGAGGACCATGTGTGTGTATTTATGATTAACTCTATCATAAATAAAAAGGACTGGAGCAAACCATCGGACTTGTGATTTTGAGATAGCTACATCATCCCTAGAACCAAGGAGTAGTTGATAAGTAGAAGTGACCATAGGTAGAAGGGTAAAGTACCCGGAACCTAAGGTTACATATGGCGGAGTTGCTCTAAGATCACCGTACCATGCTCATCACAAGTTTGAACGGTTTGCACCTGCAGCTGAGTTGATGTACACTTGATGGTTGTTTGCCTGACATGAGCCGATGCTATTTGCCATTCACGGTAGGTGATGTCCTGTAAAGCGCTAATTGATTGTGAGGGATGTGTTTTGCCCTTGTATTTGTGAACTATGCTCACCAGCGGGACTATGGTTCACTGTCTGAAAGCCGTGGGGTGGTCAGTTTCCCATGAAGAGACTGTGTTATTGATTTCTTTGGTAGTACGGCTACTACCCTAACAGTGATATTGATTTTCTAGTGTGGGACAGTCACACTGATGGAGGACCCTTTCTGCACGCTTGTGTGCATAGGAACTTTCTGCAGTATTATAGGACTGTTATTATCTCTCATCACCAACAATGAGCACAAGAAGTCTTGAAATTATGATGTTGAATTTGGACATATTGTCAGGGAAGAACCAAAGTGACTCAAAATGTTTCATGACAATGAAAATTGTTCTGCCTCTGATATTACAGAGACAAATGACAGTTTATTTTCAGAAGGCCTTGGGAATAAGAACAAATTAGACAAGAGTTTTGCTGCTTTAGCAAGGGCTTTTTTCCCTAAGTCAGTTTTCTCTTGAGAAATTCAATGGAAGTGATCCAGAAATTGCAAGTTCATGGTTAAGCAGATATGAGAAATTTAATTCTTTACATAATTATTCAGAAGAATGGACAAAGACAGCATGTAGTTTATGGTTAGACAAAAATGCTTTAAAGTGGTATGAAGCTCAAGACTTTAGTGAAAAGTCCTGGAATGAGGTGAAGACAGCTTTCCTTGCAAGGTACAAACTAAGTTCAGCAAAAAGATATGAAAGACTAGACAAGCTTTATAATAGGAAACAGAAACAGTCTGAGGATTTTGAGGACTTTCTTTAAGAATTGCAATATGAAGCAAAACGTCTTGAAAGACTAGACGACAACTTTCTCATGGATGCCATCATTAGGAATTCTCAACCTCACATTAAACAGTTCATTTTAACAAGATTGCATGAGACCAAGGATCAAGTCCTGGAAAGTGCGAGAATAGCAGATGCTGCATTTGGACTGGCCACATCAGAGAATGACAGACTTGTGTCTGTTATAGAGGAGCTCGTTGGACAAGTATCCTTATTGACCAGTGCAGAAAATACTCAAACAGGAGGGAACTTTTCATATGAGCATCAGGATGACTCTATGTACAGAAAACAGTACATTAAAACTCGGACTGAGTGTACTGATGACTAACAACCAGTGAAGAACGGGACACAAACATTCCATCAACATCACAGAAGTGGTAATGCATCAACACATGTTGATATCAGGGACATGAGTGACAATGATGTGCCCTGTGGACAAAACTGGAGCCCTGCTCCAAGGAATATGAGCAATGAGGAGCATAGAGTGTCACAACCACAATTATGGAACATTTGTGGACAATGAGGTAGGACACATTTTAGTATGTCTGAGAGTCTTGTGAGATCTATGCAATGTTTTCAATGCTGTAGGATAGGGCACCTAAGCAGATTCTACTTTTCTAATTAAGCCAAACATATGCAAGGGTTAACAGGGGCAGTGCTACATGTGGATTTGAGCCTGCCGCCAATATAGCAAATATTGATTTTGATAATGTTGGTAACATCATAGGCCACTCTTTTACAATGAGAAATAATACAGAACCAGATCATAGAAATGATAAGTGATTTGAGCGAGGTTGTTGTTTTGACTTGTAGTGTGGGCTTATCTCACAGCAGTATTAGGGTAAAGATATCTGGAAAGACTTACAGTGCCCTATGGGACTCAGGTGAAACTTTGAGCTGTATGAATTCAAATGTATTCTCATCTATTGGAGGTGAGAGTAGATTTCCTATAACAAAATGAGGTGTAAGGTCATTGGTTGGTGCAGATGGGAAACCATTAGATGTGTTAGGTGTATCTACAATTCCTCTTACAGTTGGTCAGCTATGTGTTGTACAGGACTTTCAGGTCTTTTAGCCTTATCAATTGATGTGTTGTTAGGCTTAGATTTCTTGAGAAGCCAGAGGCTAGCATTGATGTTAGCCATAATAGGTTGACTTTGTAGGATGGACTTACAGAGACAAATTTCATTGCCTATTCAGATTAATACCAACCTTGTTACATGTATATGTGATGTGGTACCACCACCACACATGAAACTTTGTTGCCGGTGTACATTAAGTTAGGCGTTGTTGAGCCGATTGAGTCTATTGCAGAATGGTTACATGTGTGAGGTGCTAGATATCTCACTTCATCTGTCAATCAAGTACCATTGTTTAGGTTGATGAACCCTGCTAGTTCAGAGATTAAGTTAGCAATAGGTGTCATTGAAGAAGTCGATATTGCCAATGTGTGTGGAGAGTTAGAAGACAGTGACAACACACATACCATGCCTATCACCACAGGTGACAAAGCATTCAACCATGTTGATATTGACAAGACTCATTGATTGACGGGAATATGGATATCCAAATATGAAATGGGAGTTGATAAGTCGTAGAGGAATGAGATACCAAGTCCGGGTGTCATGAAAAGCGAAGGGGTCCTAAGTGAGTTTCTCAATTCAGAAATTGTGGAGGTTTTCCATGTCAGAAGAACAATGACAGGGAAAGTGAAGAAAGAAAACAACAAAAAGTAAACAATAGAACTGCACGTAAGGAAGTGTGACAATCATATAGGTATATGATATACGGAGGATATGTAGATCCAAGGTTATGATAACAAGTTGGTTTTAGTCCCAAGTTATAGTGTCATGTGTCAAAGCAAATGGGTACCCAGATAGGAAATCAAGGATGATAATGAAAAGTCGTAGAGGTAACATGCCTACGCAGATATGAGATGATGAACAACGTCGTAGAGGTAACATGCCTACGTAGATATGAAAAGATAGTAAGTCGTAGAGGTCACATGCCTACGCTGTCAAGCCGTGGAGGAGACATGCCCACGTAGTAATAATGTCGACAGGGACGTAGAGGAGACATGCCTACGTTATTTGAATATAAACACATAGATGAGGAAATGCCTATGCTGTTTCAAAGCTTGAAAGATCAAGTCTAGAGATGCCTGACAGTCTCTAGTGGTGAGGTAGATATGTTTCTACCTCAAGTTGCTGAGTATGTTGAGGACAGTCGAAAGACTAACGATGAATTCACTCGGGACGAAGGACAGAGGGTCGATTTGTCT